TTTAATTATATTTTTATTTCATTCGTTTTAAATTTCTCGCGGACACTAGTTCTAACAGATAACTCTTATTGAGATTATTCTTATGAGCCCAAACACGCTATATCTGCTGTAAGTTTCTGAGGAATTGAGCATCCCGCAGACTATTTGATGCTACTGCATCTGCTCAAGGTTAGCATATCTTGAAAATACTGCCGAAGTAACAGTACACCAAATTCCTAATCAATCGGATTTATGAAAGTTAGTAAGATCCTTTTGTCAAGTAGGAAATGAGTGATGATCATCAAACGCCTGAACAGATCTTCAGAAATTATAGCTAAGAACCATCTCGATCACGTCAGCTTTCATACGAAAAAAACCGCATATAAATAGGTCCATTCGTTTAGGAGCTACGATGCCACAGACAAATACACATACACACAAACAGACGCGTCAAACTTATAACACCGCTCTTTTTGCGTCGGGGGTTAAATAAACACATAATGCCCTTTCATTTGATACCCCACTTGGGTAGGTATATTTGAATATATTCCATCATTATTCCCCACTTTCACCCTCACATCAATCTAAAATGGCTGAGCCGATTTTGATAAAACATATCTAATTGTAATTCGATTCAAGACAAAGAATAGTTGTAAAATAAATATGATTTTTTCACACTACCGCATACACTTACCTACTAGTATGATCATAGAAAAACTTAAAAGTCCATAAAAAGATTAAAAGAAAAGACAGACTCTGTTAAAAATTTTAATAACTTTTATATGAGATATTCACAAATCTGTACCTTACAAAGAATGGATTGTATAGAATATTGATTGGGCCCCTTTTAATTTATATGTGGGGCATTCCACGCCAAATCGGACGGATTCAAAAAAAATATTTTTTGATTTTCTTAATATTTTGGTAATTTTAGTATGTACCCCTCAAAAGAGGCTTTTTTGTAAATTTTTTTGCTCGTAACTTTTCTTACTAATGGTCGAAGTTCAACTTTTTTTTTAATTTTTGTTTTTAGGTTTGTGCAATTTGACCTAGGTAGCAACGGAGCAACATGCACATTAAGTGCTTTCTGAGAGATATTAGTTCATTGTAAAAGATGCGCCTGAACGAATTCATTGTAGGCCATCTGTAGATAATCCATAACAAAAGATTTTAGCAAAAATAATAAAAATAAATAAAAAAATAAAATAGTAAAAATAAGATAAAGAAACAATTTTTAAATAACACGAACATTAATGATGTTTATTTTTAATGTTGGGAAACGCATTTACGCGTACCACCTGTAGACATACAGATGGTTATGTGGGACTCACCGGCTAGAAACTCGTATTACCCACTAAAACCCAACAAAATCTCTCTTGTCTGGGGCGTCGCAAGATCGCTTACGCACTCAATCACGACGCCCCGACGGCAGGTCTGCCGAAGCAGACCACAACAACATGACGTTGTGCTAACGGTCCACTTTGCCGTCCGACAAGTACCAGGAGCAACCCGCATAGTACAGCGCCCACCGAAGTGGACCACCTCCCTGTGCGTTTTTTGGCCTTGCGTCCGGCTGAGCTGCCGGATGCTAATGAGCCCCCCCACCACGACACGGTTAACGATGCTAGATTATTTTGTAACAATAAGTATATTGGAGAACATTTTCAGATACACTTAATTAAATATATCTCATAACTTCTAAATTGCTTCACGGGAGATCATTCAATCAATCAATTATGAAAAGACAGCAAATTCATTCTTATTTTATAGGTTATATAGAAAGTTTTGCTGTTTGTATACACAATATTATTATGTATAAAGTACTGGAACATTGTAAATTCCAGCACAACTAGATATATACCTACCTACTTAGTTTTATTTATGACATTTTAGTTATTATAAATTGTATTAAACACTTCTTATTTTTACACATATGGCATCGTATTAATTTTATTAAAAATATCTATTGTTATAAATTAGATTTATCTTACGTGACAAAAGTACCTTTAAATGATGATATAATATTCAAATTTGCTGTAAAAAAAAACCGTGAAGGAAAACATCGTGAGGAAACCTGCATGTCTGAGAGAACCTAGCAAGTTTTCAAAAGACATGTGAAGTCCGCCAACCCGCACTTGGCCAGCGTGGTGGACTATGGCCTGATTCCCCTCGTGCTGAAGGGAGGCCCGTGCCCAGCAGTGGGACGTTAAAAAGGGCTGAATACACGGTAAAATTGGACATTGCGAATATATCTGGACTAAATCCGTTAGATTAAATAAGTGGTCTATGTATATCAGACATCAGTAAACAATATTGATAATTATGTCGAACTTTAATCGGTTTTTGCATTATATTTATCCATAGACCATGATCAACCCTGCACAGTGATCAAAGTTGTGTGTAGGTACGAATCATGCGCTCCATTCATATTTTATTACCTATGACATCATATCGATTATATGTTCATAACAAAATACAACGTGAGAAAATATTTAAGATACGAGTACTATGCAACGGCATGACGCGAGTAATTGTTTTGTATTTTTTAAGAAGTTATCGTATAATAATCGTTCCTAAAAGCGAAACTAGGGCGCATCACTAGAGTAAGTGCTATAAAAATTAAATCGTAAATCGTGAAAGCGTAATTGTTGTAACCTTAAACATTTGATAAAAAAACACGTACTTAGATTTTGTAGTGTGTGAAAAGTCTCCAAAGAAGGATTTATTTCGAATATTTATCATATTATTATCATAGCAATTGTTGTTTGTAAAATTCAATTCTATTGTTATTATAAAACATTTTAAATACACACAAGCAAGAAATTTTAGGACAATTTTTATTCGTGGGATATGTAGGTATGTCTATATGGGATATCCAGTCATATATATTTCTATATATAGTCATACATAATATATATCTATCCAGGCTTATTGATATGAAATAAAGCTAAAATTAGCTAAAAACGAGGATCAGGACAAACATCTTTACGATAAATACAAACATTCCACACCATGAAAATTATTCGTACTCCAGATTTTGGTACAATGCCATTCAGACACGACCTCTCATATTTATACCACAGAGATTGTTAACTTTGAGTGCAACAAGTATGAGCGTTTGATAATTATTTTTAAAAAATATAAAGGATAGATCAAATTCCCTACATTTTCTGTAGGGTAGAAAAGTTAAGAACATACTAAACCATCGTTTTTCCGTGGCTTCGTCCATGTAATTGAATTAGGTATTATCTTACTAATATTGTAAATGTGAAAGTTTATATGGCTGTTTGAATGTTTGTTACTCAATCACGCCAGATCGGCTAACGGATCTGGATGAAATTTGGCACAGAGGTAGTATGGAATATTACATAGGTTATATATATGCTATATATGTTGCACATTTCTTTAATTGTATTTCTTTTTTGTGTATGTGCCTTTTTACTGTACAATAAAGTATTTAAAGAAATAAATAAAAATAGGCTACTTTTTACCCGACTGCGCGACGTAAAGTAGGATAATGTGTTTATCAGCCTATGTATGTACATGTATGTGGGTTTGTACATTTGTGGCAGTATTTAGACCAAACGCGTGGGCCGGTTTTGATAAATGACACGTCGTTTGATTCATCATGATGGCGCGACTGTCAGAGAAAGCATAAAAATTTGGAAAAATCATTTTGGACGCCATAATGTAAAAAAGAAAAAAAATGAAAATCGACGAACTATGTCAAGTGGGAAAATCATTTTTAGGGTTCGTTCATCATTTTTCACTTTAAATAACAATTTAGGATATATAATGATTTAAAGTTGGTTAACAACCATTCTCGCTAATTTTCCTACTTAAAAATACTTAAAAAAATAAAAAAAATACAACTTATATGTTTAAAAGTAATTTAGATTAAAAAACTGCTAAATATAACTTCAAATGTCTAATTGGCAAAAACTGAAAAGCTGTAAATAAAAAAAATATATATGATAAAAAAAACGACTGCATAAAAGCTAACTAAAATATGAAAACAAGTTCACGAAAGAATATACCTACATAGTATTATGCAGTCGGAGACATACATACGAGTAAGTACATCTCGCGGCAAGTATGAAACGTGTGACATACACTTCCGACTGCATAATACTTAATATTCCTTCGTGAATTTGTTTTTATCTATTTAGTTAGTTCTTATGCAGTCGGTTTTTTTTATTTTTATAACATATATTTTTTATTCCGGAAAAATGTACAGTTCCCGTGGGATAGATTTGCTTGTTTTTCTACAGGCGAACCCGAACAAAGTGCCGCTAGTTACTATACATATTTATTTATTATTTTTAAATTATAACTTACTTATGTGTTACTTTGATGTAAACTAAAAACTTATTCCATAGACTATCCATGATCTAACGCAGCATTAATTAATTATTTATTATACACAATCAACTAAAACTAAATGAATTAAATGAACTACATAGATCCTATTATTAAATTAATTATTTATAATTTATATACTTACTTAATACCTATTTACCTATAAGTGTAATAATAGACCTAAACGCTTTCTTTTGTTGATGTAGTATCAAGGTGTGTATTTTTTATAATTTGCTGTACTTTTATAATATTCTTTACTTTTCACTTTGCTTATAGTAAAACTGAGCATTAACGCAAACCAGTATGTAGTAGCATTTAAGTCAAATCTCAGTTGTTTTTTTTAATGCTACATTATGTTAAGACTTTTATAGTCTTAATTGTAAATGTTAAATAAATTAAAAAAAACAAATGTAATATATCTTATATTACTGTAAAGTTTTATCAAAATTCGTTCAGTAGTTTTTACTGGAAAAAGTAACAAACATATATACATACATCCTAATAAAATTTTACGTTTATAATACCTATTAGTAGGATTATAATTATTGTTAATTAGGATTCAGGATATATATATTCAGGATTATTAGGATTTAGGATTATAATTAAGTCAATGGAAGCTATAATATATTGTGTATTAAATTAATTATTTTTGTTTGTTACAGTATGCCCATCGATAGATATAAGGAACAACCCAGAGTACATGTCAAAACTGCGCGACTGCCGGGTGATCGAAGGCCACCTTAGCATCGTGCTGATGGAAAGAGCTACCACCGCTTCCTTCGAGAATGTATCTTTCCCAGAACTCAGGGAAGTTACGGGCTATATACTAATATATAGGTAAGATCATAAAAAGCTAATTCCACTAATTTGAGAGATGGAAGGCTTGTATTTCTTTTTAAGAATTGAACTTCTAGTCTAGAAAAACTTTCTTTTCACTATCTTAAAAAAAGGTTTTTATTTGGACTCATGTCTATTACATACTTTAAGAATTGCAAAATGGTTACATAGCGAGCTTTTAAATAAGTTAAGAAAATATTAGAATTTAACATATGTTTGCCAAGTTTGGTCACGCACTGCGGAAAGTAATATGTAATCAGGTTACAATAATTGAACTTAAAGGAAATAGAGAAAGTTTCGTCAAATAACAGGTTAGTATTATGTAGTACATGAGTATATGTGTATGTTATATATGTGTAGAATAAAACAATTGAAGGAAAGATTAGTATGAAAATTTTTTGAACTCATTTACACCATACTTCCACAGCTAGTTGAACAAGCAGTAATGTAGCAAAATTCTAATGATAAACACTCGCATGTAATTTTTAACTCAATATCAGCAATGAATAGAACAAATACACCTTTCTTTTCAACCGACTTCAAAAAGGAGGAGGTTCTCAATTCGACTGTATGTTTTTTTTTTATGTTTGTTACCTCAGAACTCCGTCATTTATTAACCGATTTGGACAATTTTTGTTTTGTTTGAAAGGGTATACTTCCAGATTGGTCCCATTTAAATTTCAAAAAAAATACCACCCCTAAGGGTGGAAAAACAACGAATGATGAATTTAACCTACTTCTAATTGTCATATTGACTTGAAACTTTGCAAGTATTTCTATTTCCGTTGATAGTACAGTGGTTCAGTGTTGTTGACCTGATCTGATGGCAAGGTCAGAAGGTCGTTAGGTGGAACTCTTCAATGGCTAATAGCCTAACACGTTAGATTCCTTACTTTGCTACTACTGTCTACACTAAAAAGGGAAAAATAAAAACTTTTTAACAAAAAAATAAAAACCGACTACAAACAAAAGCACTAAAAAGTAAAAAATAACTGATTGGTAGTTTTCATTTACTATACATACCTAATCAAATATTTTCGAAGTCGGTGTGCTTTGGCTAAGTAATTAAAGCCTACCTATTAAATACATACCTAATCAAATATTTTTGAAATCGGTGCCAGCCCATACAAAGCAAAGCACACCGACTTCGAAAATATTTGATTAGGTATGTATAGTAAATGAAAACTACCAATCAGTTATTTTTTACTTTTTAGTGCTTTTGTTTGAAGTCGGTTTTTATTTTTTTGTTATAAAATATTAAAGATAACTGGCAAATTTATGCACATATAGATTTAAAAGTAAGTTTAAATTTTAAAAATGGTAACAGTTCTAGAATTGAAAGATGCGTACAAAGATCGTAGTAGCATTTGGCAATCTAATCACTCTGGGTGCCAAGGTATACATATATTGTAGCTTATTTATAATATATCATTATTTAATGAGGGCAAGGGCGAATATCGAATAAGTGAATATCGAATAAAAAACAAAAGATAAAACTAACTCTTGACTATGGTAACTTTGACACATGACGATGATGTCATTTAAAATTGATAAACAAACGAATTAATTATTTTCTCGTCCTTATGTAGGTGCTGTTAAGTTTACACAATTTATCTAAAATTAGATTACAATTAAAAATAAAATCGGTTTTGTTTTAAGAGAATTAATTGAACACAAAGGTACACTTAACATAAACTGTTAAAATCTATGTGTTCCAATTGGGGATAGAGTCAAAATAAACATCTAAGTTGCGTTAAACCGAATGCCGATTGAATAATTTAATATCATGGAGCTGATCTGATGATGGAGCCAGGATGTAGATAATTTTCGCTATTACGTATTGTTTCCAATTATGCCTAGACGCATAATACTTTCTTAGATTTACGCGAATATTTGACATTTTAAATAAAACTATCTTTTCGGATTTTTTCGCGAATTTATTTGGATTTTTTTTCCCGAAGTTTCGAATGCTTTAGATCAATCATGGTCACCGGAGAGACTAAGTTGTTAGATGTCTCAAAGGTATTATATAGTTGTTACAGACAGCCTACCAACAAATAACAAAATTAAACCAAAAAATTGATATAATATTTATTTAAAATTATTTAATAAGCCTAGACGCATTAAAAAATCATCTTATATATGTATCTAATAATGTACGTGACCGAATATAGTTTGCTAATATTTGTGTTTTTTCCTGCAGATTAAAAGGTGTTCGCAACCTTGGCGATCTATTCCCAAATCTATCTGTGATACGAGGCATGCAGCTGTTCAAGGATTTCGCTCTTGTTATATTTGATAATGAAGGACTCGAGGTGAGCTTTTCCGAGAAATATGAATAAATGTATACGATGTATTTAGATTATCCATATACTTGGGAACTGTGGCTGTGTATATCATTTTCATAATATGAAAAAAAAAATATTTGTACCTTGAATTATTGTTACATTTACCTGGATAAACAAAACGTAAAATAGTAGAAAACACAAACGAAAACTTAAAAATAGTAGAAATACACAATTTACCTATAAGTATACTAGCGGCTCAGTCGCTTCGCTCGAGTTCCTTTAGGAAAACAAAAAAAAACTATCCTACGGGAGCCGTACATTTTTCGGGATAAAAATAGCCTATGTGTTATGCCAGACTATAATTTACCTCTGAGCCGAGTTTCATCCAGATCCGTTTAGCCGTTCTGGCGTGAAAGAGTAACTACAGTCCATACATACTCACAAATTTTCACTTTTATAATAAACTAGCATTGCCCGCGGCTCCGCCCGCGTTTATATGACCAAACAAATTTTTAGGTTTTATATATTAGTATACTCGTATTAGTATATTAGTTGACCCGGATAACCAGCTATTATCATACCAAACTTCTTCAAAATCCCTCCAGTGATTTTTCTTTGATGCGGTTATAGACAGACAGACAGACAGACAAAAATTCTAAAAACTATAGATTTGGCCTCTGTATCGATAATAATGTCTATTTCAATAAGATTTTCTAAAAAATATTTAATGTACAGATTTGGCTTAGTTAGAATTTTATTATATGTATAGATAATCTATACATATAATAAAATTGTAGCTAAGCCTAAATATATTTGAAAAATCTTATTGAAATAAACATTATTATCGATACAGAGGCCGAATCTATACTTTTTAGAATTTTTGTGTGTCTGTCTGTCTGTTACCGCATCACAGAAAAACCACTGGAGGGATTTTGATGAAATTTGGTATATGGTATATGGTGATAGCTGATTATCCGGGTCAACATATAGGATACTTTGTACCCTGGGAAAATATCTCATGTCTGAGAAAAAATACAAAAACTGCAATGTAAGATTATACTAATATGTAAAACCTAAGAATTTGGTTTTTTGTCATCGGAACGCAGGCGGAGCCGCGGCCAATGGTAGTATATAAAATATAAATACGGACGGATTATGATTTACTACGTTACCAGTTGCTTAAATGCTAACTTCTTAATTAAAAACACAATAAAATATTATTATTATTATGAGTTAATAAATTCATAGTATTTTTTTTTTATTTTTATGTAATGTTTTGGATAATATTCACGTAGTCGAATTGAAATTTTTACATTAAAATAAAACAAGTTTAGCTGTGATTTGCAAATTAAGTGTACTAACATTTTTGTATTTTAATTTATGCAGTCGTTGGGTCTTCGCTCTCTTACGACGATAGAGAGAGGTGCTGTTCGCATCCAGAACAACGATCACCTATGCTACGTCAATTCCATTGACTGGTCTCGTATCAACGTCGACGGACCACAGAATAATATAATTAGAGTAAGTAAAAAAATATTTGGATAAATATTACACAAATCGTTTACGGTTTGCATATCTAGTACGGATATGAAAGTTTATGTCTATAAAGTTATTTATGACTCGCTAAACCTAAAGCATTTGTTGAGAAGACTAGAAAGTGCCTTGTAATTTATGATTGTGCATAAACATTAACATTTTTTATTTACTAAAGTACATTCTAAATTTGCGTCTTCAAAATTTATTAAATGTGATTATTCTACCGTTTGAGGTAATGTTAATATGTGGAGTATGGAGTGTGCTTGAGTATTTTTATTTTTTTTTATTGGGGAAACAAACAGTGTTTACAAACGTTTATACAATAGTTTATATAAACGGTTCATAGTCCAATGAAGTTTCCACTGGTACGTGAATCATATCGAGCGGTGAAGTTGAGAGTTACAAAAAAATTACATATTAAACTTAACAAAAACAAAAAAAAAACCAAAATTACTAACTAAAACTATATAACACAAAACAAAATTAATCTAGAAAAAATATCTGCTAAATAGATAAAAAAAAATTAGGTACATAAGTTCTGTAAACATTTTTTTACATTTCATGATGGAACATGTGTCAATATCTATATCATTAAAATGTTTATTATAATTATTCTTCCATGCACGTAACATAAAGGTATTGTTAATATATGTATTTAGTTTTTTTACATGGAATAAAAAATAAAGATTTAGTTGTTGTATTGATTCTGGGACATCTAAAATTAATATTACTTAATAAGTAAGAGGATTCGATGATAATTTCCCAAATCTTTAATAAAACCATATGTCTCTCTCCATTCGACGATTTTCAAGTGTCAGGAAATGCATTTTACTTGAATCAAGATGTGAAAATTTATATTGTAAATATTTAAAGAGTTTATTTTATACTTTTTTTAGCTCCGTTACATGTGTTAAATAGAAAGGATTCCAAATAATTGAAATATATTCAAGTGTCGATTTTACAAAAGAATTCTAAAGAAGCAGAGTAATAACCCGTTTTTGAAAAAAAATAATTTATGAAAATCGATTTATATTATCAGAAGAAATTGCGTAAACTCAAAATATAGCATTTTAAATAAAACTATCTTTTCGGATTTTGTCGCGGATTTATTTGGATTTTTGTTTCCCGACGTTTCGAATGCTTTACAGCATCCATGGTCACGGGAGAGACTGAGGTGTTACATGTCTTGAATGTATAGTTGTTACAGACAGCCTACCCACAATTAACAAAATGAAAATTGCACCAATTACATTACAATATTTTTTAACTTTAAACATTTTTATAATTTTAATTATAATTCAATATGGAAAATTATTTATTTAATTTTGCTATTATTTTTATAATTATTACAATTTTAAAAATATTAATTAGTAATCTATATTTAGTGTTGCCATTATTATATTTATAACCATAAAGAAAAATATAAAATGTAGTATTAATTATTAAAGCCATATAATTGTTCTATGTGTAATTTAAAAAGTTAAAATTAATTAAGGATAATAATTTTAATTTAGTTTGCTATTATTTAAAAAACAACTTACTAAGCAACACTATTAATATATACTTTTACAAATGAAAAATGAAAAATATTAGTCTGATAAGCTGTCATTTTGATCTACACAGTATGAACTTACTACATCTGCCTGTCTGTTATGTTTATATTTATTATTTGATTTTATTATATTAATAACAGGATCCCATGACGATGGTAGTACCCAGCCATCTTCCCTATTGAAATTAGGATGTTTTTTAATTTCTATGGCTTCTCGAATCATTCTAGGGCGATATCGGTTTTCTTTCGCCAGGATTTGAGGTCTATCGAAGCGAATATAATGGCTTGGGCGGTCCTGACTATGTTTGCAGACAGCAGATGTTGTATTGCGACGGACCGTCGAAAGAAAACCGATATCGCCCTAGAATGATTCGAGAAGCCATAGAAATTAAAAAACATCCTAATTTCAATAGGGAAGATGGCTGGGTACTACCATCGTCATGGGATCCTGTTATTAATATAATAAAATCAAATAATAAATATAAACATAACAGACAGGCAGATGTAGTAAGTTCATACTGTGTAGATCAAAATGACAGCTTATCAGACTAATATTTTTCATTTTTCATTTGTAAAAGTATATATTAATAGTGTTGCTTAGTAAGTTGTTTTTTAAATAATAGCAAACTAAATTAAAATTATTATCCTTAATTAATTTTAACTTTTTAAATTACACATAGAACAATTATATGGCTTTAATAATTAATACTACATTTTATATTTTTCTTTATGGTTATAAATATAATAATGGCAACACTAAATATAGATTACTAATTAATATTTTTAAAATTGTAATAATTATAAAAATAATAGCAAAATTAAATAAATAATTTTCCATATTGAATTATAATTAAAATTATAAAAATGTTTAAAGTTAAAAAATATTGTAATGTAATTGGTGCAATTTTCATTTTGTTAATTGTGGGTAGGCTGTCTGTAACAACTATACATTCAAGACATGTAACACCTCAGTCTCTCCCGTGACCATGGATGCTGTAAAGCATTCGAAACGTCGGGAAACAAAAATCCAAATAAATCCGCGACAAAATCCGAAAAGATAGTTTTATTTAAAATGTCAAATATTCGCGTAAATCTAAGAAAGTATTATCAAAATATAGCACTAAAAATATAGCACTAAAAATATAGCACAATAAAGTACAAATTTACAATTATTGTGTATCGTACCTACTTGCTCCTTTTAAGTCGGTCAAAGATATTTTTTTCTCGATGGTTAAAACCTTTTGTGCACATTTTATTATGGTACGTACTTAGCCAGTATTGGATTCAAAGTTTAATAAATTCTTACTCCTTTTATGTTATGTTATGCGGATTACATACCAGAACGGCAGGCGTGTGGTATGTTATGACGGTATTGCGGTTCTCAGCCAATATAATGTGTCCTTACAAAACTAGTTTTGGACAAGGACCGTGGGATTTCTTTGTTATAAGTTCCTTTTTATACTACGTATACTTTAAATATATTATTTAGTGTTCGACATACTTTTCCGGTTCATTTAAACAACTCTTTTATTACTTCATCAACATTAAAATATAATTGTACTGTTGTTTCAATTGATTATAATATATTTTTTGTTGACTTTTATATATGGGTAAATAATAAACATTCAAAACTGTTGCTTGTGTTTTAATTTACATATTTACAAATAATATAAATATTCATTTGAACATATCAAAATATAATTTATCCTTATGAAATTATTTTGACTACATATGTGTACAAAATGTTTAGCTATAGCCAAGCTGCGTTCTAATTAATTTTTATTTTTAACATTTTAGTCGAATTATGACACTCGGCTATGCGGTTTATGTCCAAACGCTCAAAGCCGGATGGAGGATCAAAAGCAGTCCATGCAATGTCCGGTTGATTTTATGCGACGCCTGTTATGCTGGGACGACAAACATTGTCAAAAAAAGGGTAAAATATATATTTTTATTAAAAAAATTACAAATTCTCTTATATCTTGTTGCTTATTATTCAAAATGGTAAAACACGATAATAAATATCTGCTAATGTACGTTTACCTATTAAACTTTTAATAAACATAACAATTTGGAATCAGAGTCATTTTGTTTACAAAACAGTTCAATTATAACTTCAATAACATCGTAGGTATTGCTACAAGTTACAACTGTCGATAATATTAAAGATTGATATATTGAAGTTATTATAAGTCAAGAAACCGATTTACACCAGTTGATGAAGTAATACTTTAATTCTGTAACAGATTGTCCAGAATGTGGAGGGAGAGTGTGTATGGCGGATGGGTCTTGTTGCCATTCAACTTGCTTTGGTGGCTGCGACGGCCCCTTACCCAGCGACTGCCATGTCTGCGCCAACTTCTCTTTTCGCTATGGGAAGGAGCGCACCTGCATGGAAAGCTGCCCTGCGAATACCTATATGGTAAGAATCTAACTTTTGAAAAATACACAACTTATATTATAATAGTGACTCGATCCCTTCGCTAAGCCTGTGTTTATAGATACTCGTAATACATATTATGAAAGCTTTTTGAACGGATATTTTTTTTCGAATAATTCACAAATATACCAGAAGATTATATTCGCAGTACGTTTATAAATAAAACCCTAGTCTACAACCAAATCTATAATCTTTCTAGGTAATCCCTCTTTTTATTAAAAACCATAAGAAAATCCGTACAGTAGTTTCCGAGTTAAGCCCTAACAAGCACAAACTCATGTTTGTGCGTGTCGGCGGGGACTATTATTTCTTATATGCTGTGATAATAATTGTCGAGTGTAGTAATATAATTAACTAGCGGCTTGTAAGCTTTGCTTGAAAGCGACCCGGGTTTTCTTTTTAAGTTTCGTTCGTTTTCATTTCGTCAATACAACGTAGTCACACATAGTATATTTCTAGCGACTCACGCTTCGCTCGGGTTCGTCCCTAGCTTGATTCCCCATGCAAACTTTCATACCCATTTTCAGCCCGTTAAGGGATGATTTCTGGGAAAACAAGTATCCTATGTCCTTCCCAGGGTCTTGAACTATCTTCTTACCAAATTTCATCTAAATCGGTTCAGTAAATCCAGAGATTACCCTCTACAACATCACAAACTCACAAACTTTACTTCTTTATAATATTAGTATAGATTACCCCACTTAAGTGGTGAAGGAAAATATTGTGCTTAAATTTGCGTCTTATAGAGAAACTAGCAAGTTTTCGAAAGACATGTGAAGTCCGCCAACCTGCACTTGGCCAGTATGGTGGACTATGGCTTGATCCTCCTCGTATTAAAGGGAGGCCTGTGCTCAGCAGTAAGACTTTAAACAGGGCTGAATGCAATACAATAAAATTTCTATATATTCTCGTAGCTCGCGCGCCGCTGTGTGACGGAGGAGGAGTGCCGCACGACGCCGCCGCCGCAGAGCACGGCCGCCGACGCAGGGCCCGCCATCCGCGCCTACAAGATATTGAACAATCGCTCCTGTGTGTACGTCTGTCCTAGCGGCTATATGGAGGTTTGTTGATATTAACTTACACAGATATATTTTTTTCAGTCAACAGAAGCAGCTTAATTAACACACATAAGTGTTTTCTTTCATGGATAACAATATTATTATTTTATCGTGTGCTGGTTAGTTTTAACTTTTTATGGTCAAAATGAATAATTTCTGTACAGATGATTTATTTGAAATTTTAATCCGTTTCGAGATTTATTAACTTGCTATGTCTATAAAAAAATGATATGTTGTTTCGTTATAGAAGGATAAACCAGCAAAATAAAAAACATATATTATATAAAATAATCATATTGGGCATCTAGTTATTAACAATATAACGTGAACCACATTGGAACCATGTTTGTCGAATTGACTTTTGCGCAAAAACCTTGGTGTTAGCTTATTATTGTGATCTCGCTATTTAAACTTTTTTCTTTAATATGCGTACTTTTTTTCTTAATTCATTAATAAGAGTCACAAACAGGCTTACAATATTGATTTATATTTATATACATTTTGAGTTTAACTAATATATAATTTACATAAAGGAATTTATTTAGTGTGTTTATTTAGTTATTTATTTAGTGTGTATTATATCTGTTTGTTTTACATTAATTAATTAATTGTATTAATGAATATTATATTCATTCGTTTTAAGTATAAATGCATTGATTTGTGTTAAATTGTAGGATTATTCATTTATTAATATTTTCCGCATTTGATAAGAGATAAATGCACTGCTGTTGTGTCTCATGTCATAGATAGCCAAGATTGTACAGCTGATATATTCGATCATATGATCCACTGATGACAGATTTTAATTGATCCACTGAATTGGCATAGGTCCAGTATGATAACACGATGAATCTGCATTCAACGACAATACCGTATAGTGTATACGGTATACTCGTAGATAGCTATAGAATAATAAATCCTCTTATTTAAAAACAAATCTTCTTATGTTATTTGTAAAGTTCAAATTAAATTTTAAGCATACTTTATGCTTAGATAAATATATGGACGATGTTTAATTAATAAAAATAATATAAAAGTTCCGTGTAAAATCTTCCAACTAAATCGTTTAGTTAAATCACCTGTAGAATGTTGATAAAGATTTTATTTTTACGGTTTCAGTCTTACGTTAGTACGGAATTTGTGCCGCAACTATAATGGAATTTTACTATAAGGTCAAACAAATTAAATGTCGCCAGCAGTATTTGTTATTTTAATTGAATGATAAAGTGTTAGAGAGTTTTAATACATAATATATATATATAAATGTATTTTTACAAAATAATGTTGAAACATTAAAGAAACATAGTAATGAGTAAAGTTTTTTTTTCAATTATTATACTACAGTTATTTAATGATCGATTCAATTAAATGTAGACTTGTGAGAGGCATGCTGCATTTAGAAGTTGAATTCACCACTTCATTTGCAGTTATTCAAGCATTTCAAAGGAGCCGCAGGTTAAGATCCGAGTTGACATTCACTTTTCCAAAGCAGTGAACGATAGGTAAATTGTATTTTTGCCGTAAAATTGATTTGCAGACCGAATGCAAGAATCTTTATTGAAATATTTGGTATTCAATGTGATTAAATTTCACTTAATACCAGTGTAGTTTATATTTTAAAGGTTAAAGTTATAAATGACAAAATAATCATTTTATTATTGGTATTAAAATGTATACAAAATAAATAACAAATTTATTTGTTCATAGAGAAGTTTGGTGGCGTATTTTAATACGCTGTTTGTTTTGAATACTTTTTATATTCAAAACATGCGAGGATGCTCTCTAAATACATTTATTCCAAATTTCCTTTTGCGGAATTATACTGAAGCAGAATAGTTACAATAAAATGCATTTATTCCCTCCCACAATAAGGAAACGAGAACTTCCACATTATTTTCTCATTGTTTGTATTTTATTATAAACTAGCATTGCCCGCGGCTCCGCTCGCGTTCAGATGACCAAAAATCAAATTCTTAGGTTTTACGTATTAGTATACTCTTACATTGCAGTTTTTGTATTTTTTCTCAGAAATGAGACATTTTCCTGCTGTAAAAAGTTATCTATATGTTGACCCGGATAACCAGCTATCACCATACCAAATTTCATCAAAATCCGTCCAGTGGTTTTTTTGTGATGCGGTAACAGACAGACAGGCAAAAATTCTAAAAACTATAGATTTGGCGTCTGTATCGATAATAATGTTTATTTTAATAAGATTTTTCAAAAAATATTTTGTGTACAGGTTCGGCTTAGTTACAATTTTATTATATTACTAGGATAGACAGACAGACAGGTAAAAATTCTTAAACCTATAGGTTCGGCCTCTGTTAGGGATAATGTGTATTTCAATAAGATTTTCTAAAAAATATTTAATGTACAGATTTGACTTAGTTAGAATTTTATTATATGTATAGATAAATGATTGATCGCTTTAATCTTTTGTTTCCTTAATATTATAAAACTTTACTTGTATATTATTGTAAATATGAAATTGTTCTATTATTTTGCGTTTCTATTATACAGAGCGCAAATACTAAATAAAATGAAAAAAAGACATAGGCTACTTGTTATTCCATATTTAGTGGTACTAACTTGTTGGACACAAGTTATAGGGGTCACTGTCAACTGCTCTATAATAGATTATGTTTTATAGTAACTTTTTTAATATTTATATAATATGTATAAAAACAGTATTTTGTTCCCAGAAAGGCACGATTTATAATGCCACTTGTGAGCCATGTCCTCCGAAGGGTTGCGAACGCGAGTGTATGGGTGGAAAAATCGACTCGGTAGCTTCTGCTGAGCCCTTTTTCGGTTGTACTCACGTCAAGGGCACCTTGGAAATCACTCTGCGGGCCAGCGGCGGTGAGTGCAATTAATTCTAATAAAATTATAATTTTTAGTCTTAAATATATCGTAAAAACATATATATTTGATTTTATTCGCTATTTCCTAATACCAAACAAAAAACTTCAAAACTGTTTTGCTATGACCTACCGCATGCAGCAGCATAAAGCATTTTCTTAGCTTTTACAAAGCTACGTTTCTTATTCTTATATTTTATACTTAACAAAAGAAAATATTTCGTTGGCTATATTTTAAAAGACATTCGTTACATACAGACAAGCGGAGGCTAGATATAAGATTTCTCTTATTCTGATTGTTCGAATATAATCGTGTAGCCAAACCAACCAAATATGAAATCTTCTATTTGTATTCACGTTCGTATCCCTAGTATTATTATTGTTAAAATATTTTAGTCAAAGTATCGCTGTTCAACAAAGTATCATTATGCAAAGGAGAATCTCATCGAGTATAAATTGTGATCTCGCGCGCTCGAGCTTTGCTGTTTGTAGTAGTATCCAGTTCTAATCGATATCCGACGGATATATTTTATCAGCCGAAATAATTATTTATACATGTATTGGCGGCCTCTGATATGTTCATTTGTTATTTATTAGACATATTTTCAGTATTTATTACTATTATTTATAATCATTATCTAGACTTTGGAATTATGTTATGCTGATTAAAATACTTTTAATACGTTTACTTTATGCATATTTGGAAAAAATGTTATTGTTTGCTGGGTTGGTGATCTTAGAAAATGAATAAGATTATGAATTAGGTATTTACTAAATTTGTAATCTCAATTTTGACTACCCATTTTAGTTTAAAACTACGGTACCCGCGATTTCGCTCGCGTTCGAACTTCCGATATAAGCACCAGTTTTACGATAACGTATGGAAGTACCTATGTCCGATTTGTTGACATTTATGATAAATGCTCCGCACCCTTGAGTAGTAGCATGATGATAAACCTATAGCTTATAGCCTATCTCAATAAACGAGCTATTTAATGCAAAAATAATTTTTCAAATGGGATTAGTAGTTCCTAAAATTAGTGCGTTCAAACAAATAAACGAACAAACTCTTTCTCTTTATAATATTAGTACCTACATATTATTTTGTTCTGTCTTATACAGATCAGAATAAATTTCCAATAATATAATCAATCTGATCAAGCTTTATTCGAACTTTGTGTTAACATTAGTGTATTTCTATTTGGATAAACAAAGTTGCCTTAATGTAACTGATTTATTAATACTCATTAAACCAAACAGACAAACTAAAATTTCGACAGCCTATATTACAATATTATATTATTTTTTGTAAAATCTACCCTAATTGGGTGAAAAGGCTGACAAAAATTGTGTGGATTATGATATTTTTCAGGTGTTAACCAATATGAAAGTTTAGAATATGCATGTCTGTCCAGGGAACACGATAGCCGCGCTGGAGGGGGCTTTAGGCTCGATACGCGAGATCGAGGGCAGCCTGCGCATCGTGCGCTCGTACCCGCTCGTGTCGCTCATGTTCCTCAAGAGCCTCGAGCGTATACGCGGCCTCACCTCCGACAACAAGTGAGTCTGTAATGTCGCCACGTTTTTGATATTTGTTTCATTTATATTGTAATGTGTTTGTTGATTGAGATCAGTTCATTTTTTTTTTCATTCTTTAGTGTTTATATTTTAGTTCAAAAGAAGTTGCAATGAATTGTCTTATCATTTATAAACCAAAACACTCTTCAATTTAAATATACATTTGCCACAAATTAGTTAGATTGCGAACAAAATAATTTCACATGAAATGAAAAATTATTGTTTTAGAGGGCAGACTTTATACATATTCAATAATCCCAACTTGGAGAGGTTGTGGGATTGGGATCGGAATACGACGAACAAAAGAAGAATAGAAATAACTACCGGCAAGCTCTTCATACATTTCAATCCGAAGCTCTGTTACGATCAGATTAAACCTTTACAGGAAATGACTCTGGATCCGATGTCAAAATTCAGTGAAACGGAAGTGTCTCAAGATAACAATGGAGACCAGGCATCTTGTAAGTAGAATACGTGTAAGTAGTTCAAGAAGGCCTTATGTAAGGCGAGGTAAACTAGACGATACCTACTACTACATTACCTGTGGTGTGGATTTATTGCCATTTATTATTATTATTACTCTACCTACAAAACGATAAATAAATAAATTTATCATTATATCATCATCTATTCCCAAGGAGGGTTGACGTCAGGCAGGCGGCCGGTCGTAAAACTTTTGCCAAATCCTATCAGCAGTACACTGAAGATGTACTGCGCCGACCCCAAGTGATTTGGGAAATGGGCAGGGAGAAGAAGAAGAAGAAGATCATTATATCATCATTATTATCGTTTCTTCATTTTATATCAGTCGAGAACATTTATTTTATATATACACATTAATTATTATAATTTTCACACGTTACATGATAATTTATAAGTAATGACATAATCAACGATTGGTCGCAGGTTTCCAAGACACGCTGCATCTGAAGGTGCACTCGCTGCTACAGCGCGTGGCGATCCTGACGTGGGACATGTACTGCATGGAGGACACCCGCAAGCTGCTCGGATACTCCATATACTACATAGCGGCTGAGCACAACGTCACCTTGTATGGGCAGCGGGATGCCTGTTCTGATACGTTAGTATATTTTTTTTAACATTGGGTAATGCATTTAGGCACGTTGGGACTCATCGGCAAATCCAGTATTACCCACTAAAACTCAACGGAACCTACCCCGTGTTAGTGGGGCGTCGCAGGATCGCTTACGCATTCAACCACGACTCCCCGACAGCAGATCTGCCGAAGTAGACCACAACAACCATGGGGTTGCTCCACGGTCCACTCTGCTATCGGTGAAGTATCAGGAGCAACCCGCATAGCACACCGCCCACCGAGGTGGGCCACCTCTCAGTGCGTTTTTTGGCTTCGCGCCCGGCTGTATTGCCGGGCACTACTGAGCCCCCCCCACCACGACAAGGTGAACGCACGTTGGGGGGGAACCTAGCTCCACCTAGCTGGAGGGCTCCCTGCACTTCGTATTCCGAGAAATGTGGGAAAAAACTACATATTATAAATTGCTGAGATTGAGTTTATTCGGGCTAATTTCAGAAATTACTATATGGACTTTCATATTGTTTTTACCAATAGAACAAAGGAAAGTCTAAGAAGGTTAACGGCTATAATTTATAAGTAAATTGCAATAATAAGCTACTGAGGTGATGATACTTTTGTATTAAGTTGGAAAAATTCGTTTCTGAGATCTATTTACTTAATCTATACATATAATAAAACTGCAGAGGTCGAATGTCTGTATATAGAATAAAAATGGTAAAAATTGAGTCAGGGGATGGATGTAAGAAGAGAAATAGAACAAATCCAGATTTATCTATTTTTTTGTTTCTCTGGATGTTTGTCTGTTTGTGCGGGCTATTCTTCGAAACTTTTGGACCGATTTAAATGAAATTGTGCATGGTGATACCTTATATCCCCGGTGAACATTTTAGATACTTTTCATCCCGGAAAATTAAAGAGTTCCCGTGGGATAGTTAAAAAACTATAGTAAGTTATACAGCTTAGTACACAAAAACTACTAATTGGATTTTAATAAAACTACAATAATATAGTTCATACATCAGAATAACAAATAGGCTACCTTTTATTCCGGAAAAATGTATGGTTCCCGTGCGATAGATTTGTTTTTGTTTGTCATACATATACATAAATGCAAAGGTTATCTAACGATGCTAGGTGGGTCGCTAGATAACTTAATTAATATAAAATCATAGGTGGAACGTCCTCGACATCACAGTAGACGAGGTGCGCAACGGAACAACGTTCATACCCAAGAACAAGAAGGCGGTGTTGAGTAGCCCCTGCTTCGACATCCAGCCGCTGTTCTACCCTCTGTCCCAGCTGACGCCCTTCACGCGCTATGCCGCCTACGTCAAGACATATACCACGCAGGACAGGAAGGGCGCCCAGAGCCCTATCATATACTTTAAGACGTTGCCTGGTCGTAAGTTATCATGTTATTGGTATAGTATAGTATTTGTATGTATGCGATAATGCGAAAGTTTGTGTATGTGTGTGTACGTTTGTTATTCCTTCACGCTGAAACGCCTGGATATACTATAGGATGAGACAGACTATGGGATACCTTGAGTTGCACATACGCTACTAGAGTAGATAGGCACCTAAAGACGCACCAAGTAAAGCGAAGGCCAGTCGCTAGTATTGTAATTTTTTATTTTGCAGTAACTCGAGGATTTGATATGAATATTTCCCGTTGGAAAATTGTATTCATGAAATTATTAATATCGTTTTTCAATTTCAATTTTATATATCATTTATGACAAAATCAGTGGAGAAATCAATACACAAACACTCGTAATCTGTACGATTATATATGCATACATTTCAGGCCTCGTGCATCGTAAGGTATAGCGAAATAATAATATAATCTTTTTTACATAGTATATGTGTTAGGTATTCATCTAAATCTCTATAAAATATTTTTTCATTTCATTTTGAATGTTTTGTTAGCTTGTCTGTCCGTTCGGGAAGGTATAACGGAATGAATTAAGTAGGTAAATATTAGTCGAGTTGCTTTTCAACTTTGACTTTCAAAGCTAACTGGGGTCTGATAGGTTGAAAGTGTTGCGAACTGGAAAATTCGCACTTACAACCGTAAAATAAACTTAGTCATATTTAAGACTTTATTTACAACACTCAGCGCGCTTGCCCTTGAACAATATGACCCCAATAAACTAAATTGCGTATTTTATTTCTTTTGAAATATAATAAAAAATTATGTAGGTACCAGCAATATATCAAATCATTAAATTACAAAAATGTTATAAACAAAAATATATTCACCTTGGCGTCATGGGCCTTGTTAATCTGTCAGTTATTGTGATCTCTCAAACTAGGCTTATAAATACTTGTCCCTTAAATACAAAACTTCGTGTTTCTAACACTTTTTATATATGTATGATGAATGTACATAATTGTGGTCAGTAAGTATGATCTTAACAAGCGAAGATAATTCTAATTATTTATATTATGTATATTGTTAATTTTATTTTTATTTAAATATACTTTCTTTCCCATAGCTCCAAGTCCACCTCTGGGTCTGACTGTAGAATCTCTCAAAGAGCACTCCGCTACTATAAAATGGCAGCCACCATCAATGCCCAACGGCACCATCGGGTTCTACCATGTCGAAATACAAGCGAATAACTACAACCGACCTAAGATACTCGCTCTCAATGTACACTACTGTAACAATCGTACGTATTTTATTTTACAGTATTTACTAATACTTGTAATAAGTAAAAATAAATGAAAAATTACTGGAATTAGTAGAACACTTCTAATTTTAAAATGTTTTACCAAAATTTTATAGGCTGTTGGGTAGTGTTTCACGCACTGTTATCTGTGAACGACTGATGTGGGATGAGCGAACTCACTCTTTTCAGCGTGGAAACTATTTCATCTGTTTTCATTACTAAGCACAGTGAGGTCAAATCTTGACGCATAATCTTTGAACTCAGTAAATAATTTAAACAGTTAGCTATGGTATATTAAAAAGAGTTAATTAGAGTTCCGTACCTCAAAAGGTAAAAAAAGAAACCCTTATAAGATCATTTTCTTGTCCGTCAGTCCGTGTGTCACCACCGATTTTCTCAGGACTGGGTGGACCTAGTAAGTTGGAATTTCTACCAGACACTGAGGTCTATAGTCCCTATTAGGTCTATAAAAATCAAGGTACTTAGTCAACACGATAAAAAGATATGGGCAAATTTGTAAGTACCAAAATTTACCTTAATTTTCAACTCTTTTTATGTTTCGGAATTTTCCCTTTACTTGTGCTGTAAGACCTTGCTATTAACCAAAATTGACAATTCTAGATCAACCGGAAGTACCCTATAGGTTTCAGGACGTTTACCTAGAATCACTAAATTTGGTAAGAAACAAGTTCTTACAGCACAATAAAGAAAAATTTCCAAAAAAAAAAGGTTGAAAATTAAAGTTAAACAGATTTCCTATAAATTTGTACGGAACCCTCGGTGGGCGAGTCCGACTCGCATTTGTCCGTAATTTTTTTTTTAAATACAAATTGTAACAAAGCGTTAAATCCCAAGCAAGCGCACTCGTGAACCTGATCGCGGTGCGCGGCGAGGAGGGCCCCGGCGCGGCCGAGGGCAAGCAGGACACGGGCGACGTGAAGGCCGGCACCTGCGCCTGCAAGGACGACGCGCGCCCCACGCGCTTCAGCTCGGTCGCAGAGGAGGAACGGATTGAGAGCATCAACTTTGAAAACGCTTTGCAGAATCATGTGAGTTGATACATTTGATATCTTTATTTTTAGACTACTATTGATTTATTTTCAGTGATAGCACAGTGGTAACTCGCTCGCTTGGGAAGCCGAGTGAAGCGACTGATATTTTCTGGTGCGAACATTGTGAGAAAACCTGTATGTCTGAGAGCACCTAGCATGTTTTCTTAAGACATGTGAAGTTCGTCGCGAACCCGCACTTGGCCAGTGGGCCAGCGTGTTGGACTATGGCCTGATCACCCTCGTATCGGGACACCTGTGCCTAGTGGCTGAATACAATTGATATGATATATTTCTAATAAAACGTTACTATATTTGAAGGTGTACGTGAAGGCGGGGCGGTCGCCGGCGAACGAGTCGTCCGCGTCGCGCACGCGCCGCTCCATCGACGACAGCATCAACAGCATGCTCGTCATCCTCAGCGACCCGCACGTGCCCAAGCTCGGCCAGAACCACACCAACGCCACCGACGGCAGTAAGTATATCTCTACTCGCATATCACACTAATTGAACTATTATTATAAATGTGTAGGGTCCAGGGATTGCAACCAGTACACGTTCTTCGGAAGTCGCTAAAAGTATGTCATTTCTTTACAATATGTAAAGATATTATAGGAGAATTCAAATACCGTCTCATACTCGTTCTGTCTGGGTTTCCATCTTACTTAATTCATCATGCTTCACTCGTTCATTTACTCACTCGCTCATATACATCCATCTCATTTCCTCAATATAGCTATCACTCAACTCTAATCATCCTACATATGCGAAAGTTTGCATGTGTGTGTGTGTGTGTGTGCGCATGTATGCGTGGGTGGCTGTGTGTTTATGTTTTTACCCCTTCACGCTGATACGACTGAAAGGATCTGGATAAAATTTATTACACAGATGGACAATTACATGGAAGTAACACATATGTTACTTACTATTAGGCCAAGAACGCACCTAAGCGTAACGAGGATAAATAGCTAGTCTTTATATGAAAGTTAATGAATGAGTGGGTGAATGTGTTTGTTACTTCTCTCTACACAAGGTAGGTTAATGGATTTAGGATTGGAGATAACTTACATTAATATCATATACATTGACGTACCTACAATGTGTGCGGACCCGCGAGTAAACACATGCTTAAAACGTTAAATACTTTTGATAAATATTATTACGTAATTTGAATTGTTGTTTTTTTGACACACTTCTTTCATTTATAAGCCTTATATAAAACCTACACTCGTCTAAGTAATTGAATTCTTGTCGAAAATCGAAGTATCTTTATGTAGGCTAATCGCTTGGTAATGTTAGAGAAATATAACTATATAAGTAATTAACATTACAGTATAAAGTAATAAGGTAATAGACCCTATAAATATATAAGAAAAATGAAAAACCTGATTCGAAGTCCAGAATTGTATTTAATAATCGGTATAATTAGGTTCCATATTCTTTTACACATATTGAAAAGTACATATAAATCTATGTTATGAGCAACTAACAAATAAATGCTATAATTAATTAGTCTAATATGTATAAGAATGCATTTTTTTTAATAAAGTAACTAATAATGTTTCTCAATTATTAACACCTCCAGGTAAATTTCTAATAAATTAATTAATTTTCTATGACATCTATTGTTAACTGTAACGCCGGCGTGTCCGCGGTCATTGAGGGATTAATAACTTTGTTAAAAAATGTTATAAAAAAATAATTATTAAAAGTTCAAAAATAGATACTAACAGAACCGATATCGATATATTGTTTTAACGTAACGCGAAAAGCCCCTAGTACCGATTTTTGGCCTATATGCCCAGACACAAAAGTCGTAAACACATTCTTGCTTAGATTAAACTATATTTAAATTATGTTGAGTGAGATTAAATATTGTTTGTTGGTTGGTTTTTTTAAACTATCTGAAGGTAAATTTCTAAAGTGCGGATATGATTTTAATTCAGTTTTAAGTTCAGAAACATTTAATAAAAAAAGTAAGAACTAAAAATTGATATACATACCTACATTATATGTATGTAATTAATATTTGCAGCCAAAAGTGATCATAATCTATCTCAAACAAACTAATAAAAGTCACAATCGTCCGATAAAGATAGCTAATATTTGCAAAATTTAATTGGTTCATCTCCATGCTTCCATTAACTGCTATATTATTTAACAAATCTAATAGAATGCCATCCATCTATGTATATTGTATACAGTAGCACATCTTCGCTTGCCCCCTCGCTTGTTATCTTTACATCCTTTTCGCATTCTACTTTCAGTCAAGTGCAGTCGCCGCACGTATAACGCTTGCATCATTAAGGACCATCCCACAGGTTACATTGCAAAACATAGTCCCTATCGCCTAAATGCGATAAATTACTAATTCCGATTGTTAAATATTTTAAATAAAACGAAAAATCTTTAAAAAACGAAAAGACTAACTATATAATGCCTTTGAGACGTCTTAAAACCTTAGTCTCTACCGTGACCATGATTGCTGGAAGCATTCGAAACTTTGGAAAGCAAAAATCAAAATGAATCTAAATGAAAATATTCGCATAAATCTAAGAAATTATTACTAACTCCAAAGTTCAGAAACTTATAAATATGTGTTTTAAATCTTATTGAGTTTAAGTTTGGTTTTTGTAATTTATGCTTGTTACCCGTCCACGCACGCTTAGTTTGTCTCCGGTAGCTCGTAACTATATGCCGTAGTCGTAAAACATTCTTAAAATGGGCTAAAGGTCTCGTACACTTTACGATATTTTCATTGTATGGGAATTTTTATTTGTCATAAAATGTATTGTAATTACATTAATATACATATGTATAATAATAGTTGTTGTTATAGGTGTGTCACGTTATGGGGTTAGCTTGAGAAATTATTGAACCATGTAGAGTTATTTATAAATTTTTGTTTAGTGTAATGCGTGTAGATTTATTAGGCATTATTGTTTTTTTAAACTTTCATGTCCACTGGTTCATTCTGTCGCGTAATCATACACAAAATAAAATCTATACTACCTATAACTATAAATTTAAATTAATGATTACTTAAAAACTTCTAAAATATTAAGAAACTATACCATTTTTAAAATATTGTAAAAAAATATGATTTTTCTATTTAACACAGTTATAATATTTGGTTTTGAATGATTTAGATTTAGAAAACGCCACGTAAAAAAATATATTTTGAAAAAATAAATTCATTAAACCACCGTGAATTATCACATTACATTATAACTGGGATTGTTAATGAGTGTGTTTACTACCTCTACACTATAACTGTTCAACGGATTTGTTTGAAATTCAAAATGGAAATAACATTTATTTTGGTCACACTCAGGCTATTTAATCAACTTGCCTAACTCGATTGCCAAAATAATTCCTAATTCCTAACACCTACTAATTACCTTACAGAGTACGTGAAGACCCTATACTACGACCTGGAGGGCAGCGCGCGGTCCCTGACCGTGGACAGCCTGCGCCACTTCACCTGGTACACCGTCAACGTGTGGGCGTGCCGCATGCAGCACGAGAACGAGTCCGCCGTCATATACGAGCGTGAGTGGTGCTCGCAGCGTGCTCATTATACCTTCAGGACCTTGCAGAGGCGTAAGTATGAACATTGGAAGCTACAAATGTTCTTGGAACGAAGTACCTTATCGTGCGTTACACGCTCTGAGCGGATGAGAGCGAGACCGAAAAAAGTGTAATAAGACTTTTTTCCGACACTTTTTGCTATAGTTACAGCCGTGTATGAACTATATACATCGCCGCACACAGCTCTCCCGCGCGCCGAAAGACTCTTTCGACTCGAACTTTTATTTATATTTTATAGTAAAAAATTAATGTTTATTTCTAAAATTAAAAAAGTATTATTAATTAAATAAGATTTATACAGTTCTTCAATTTTTATTTGTTAATAACTTAATTATCCCAGACCATTTAGTGTTTAATTTATCATTATTTATTTTATACATAATAAATATATTTTATCGTAAATTTTTCAAATATAAATTATAATGACTGTATTGCTAACGTCTAAGAAACTTCGTTCCCCTATTTTTTTTTATTCAGCAACGATTTTACTAAGTGTTAATATAGGTAGAAAGATCTGACGATTAGGACTAATTAAAGTAATGAATAAAAGGGTCCAACTTTAATAGAGAAAACAATCGACGAATTTAATTGAGCTGGATAGTTTTTTTGGGAAACCCATGTTTAACATAGGACATCTTTTGGCTTAGACTAGATAAAGACGACAAATCTTGGTTTTACGAGTACATAACCCATAACCGGAACATCTGAGTAAAATGTTGCCAAGTTTTTCATTCATCACCAAGATATAACATAAACTATGAGCTCTTTTTAAAAAAATAATAATATATCTTTTAAAATTTTATCTTTATTTAAATAACTATTGTAATATCCGTTTTATTCTATTATAGTGAATGCAGATGTGGTCAGAAATCTGCATGCCGAAGTCTTACCATCGAATAAAACACTGCCGGAGGTGAACGTGACGTGGCAGCCGCCGGAGGACCCCAACGGGTTCGTGGTTGCGTACAGCGTACACCAGTCGCGGGTCGATGATACTAATCAGGTACGATACAACGAAAGTCAAAGAGAAAATTCATAGGCTTATAAGGTCTAGAGAAAGTTACATGATTTGATCGTAATTTGTACTTATAATAGTAGCATAGGCATCAATATTTCACATAATATTACGATTTTCAGTTTGCTCAAGACCTAAAAAGGTTAGCGTTCTGCGTTGTATTTAAAAAACAAAAAGTGATCTATGGTTGCTGGACTGAGAAGAAAATAAGAGCAGGCATAATAAACTTAAATTTTATGAAAGTATAAACATATCTACATATTAAGATATTTAGCTTTGTTAACTTAAAAACTAGGAAATGAAACTTTTGTTTTGTTTTTGTTGATTTTATGAATAATTAATTTATACGCTAAGGCTTAGTGCCATAAAATAGGATTTTTATATGCATGTTGCGTAATATTCATTAAAGGAATAATGACAGTGAAATTAATTTTAAAGACGGTGTATTTTTTTGTTATTTGTTTATAAATAAATATGAGTTATTTATCTATACATATCTATACAAATAAAATTGAAGTTTCTGTTTGTAATGCCAAAATAACTGCGTTTTACTAACATACATCATTATGAAATTATATAAAGTACTTATAAGGAAAACACATTGTTTTAAATTTTTGTCTGTCTGTTTGTTCCGGATAATTTCTAAAACGGCTGGCCTGATTTTAATGGGACTTTCACTGGAAGATAGCTGATGTTATAGGGAGTAACAGAGGCTACTTTTATTTTAGAAAAAGAATTAGGGTTCCGCTCAAAAAAATTAAAACGTACTTAGGGATGAACCCGAGTGAAGCGAGGGTGAGTTGCTAGTTATTGTAATAATATGGTAAATATTGTTGTACAGGCGCAGGAAATGGGGCTAGTGAGCTGCATCACGGCGGACGACTACGAGGCGAACGGGCGCGGCGTGCCGCTGCGCAACCTCGCGCCCGGCAACTACTCGCTGCGCGTCACGCCGCTCTCGCTCAGCGGCGCCGGCAACTCCTCCACCGACCTATACGTGTTCATACCTGTGAGTACATACTGCACACTGCAAACCTCTGTACTGTACATATCATGTGTACAGCTGCAGATATAGAGGTCCTGGGTTCTCAGACATGGGTTGGACCAAATCAGTTACTGGGGTTTTCAATCATGAAATACTCTGTAGCAGTCTATAGATGGGAAGTCGGCAGTGTGATACCCTCGTGCGTCAAGAAGGCACGTTAAGATCGATCCTGAACTTTGTCTGTCACCAGTCGTGTCGAGTTGTTGCCCCACCGGAAGACGAGGGTTAAAAGGAATAGAGAATGCACTTAAGCTTGCGCACATACTTGTGCAATATAGCCTACAATACTATTGCCGTGAACATCTATCTACATTTGGACACAATATGATATACCCATATAAGAGGGAGAGAGAAAGAAACAATGGAAAACTAACAAAAATGATAGAATGATAATCAATGAAAATAATTTATAATATTTGAGTGTTTTTGCAATAACTTCGAATGATCCCGAGGTATGTCAACTGATCGTGTGTGCAGGAGCGCACGGCGGAGCTGACGTACGAGTGGGTGTGGGGCGTGGTGGGCGGCTGCCTGGCGCTGCTGGCGCTGGTGGGCGCGGCGCTGTGGGCGGCGCGGCGCGCGCTGCTGCCGCCCAGCGACGCGCCCAAGCTGTTCGCGCGCGTCAACCCCGAGTACGTGTCCACGGTCTACGTGCCCGACGAGTGGGAGGTGCCGCGCGCCAGCATCGAGTTCGTACGGGAGCTGGGGCAAGGCTCATTCGGCATGGTAAATACATACTCGTGTATTATCCATACTTAATATTATAAATGTGAAAGTGTGTTTGTTTGTTTGTCCTTCTTTCACGTCGAAATGGAGTGACGGATTGGCGTGATTTTTTGTGTGGAGATAGTTGGAGGGCTGGAAAGTGAAATAGGCCACTTTTTACCGCGGAAAATTATCTAATTCCCACGAGAAAACACGGTATAATACAGTCCAAAAAAATATTAATGATCCAAATTACTTGAAACTTGGTATTAATGTTCTTTAATATAATTAAATAAATACGAATACATGTTTTAGCATTTTTCTAAATTCATCCTATACGAGGGGTAAAATAGAGGATGAAAGTTTGTATGAAACTACCTTTTTTGTAGTTTTAGCGCGAACGAAGCCGCGGGTTCTGCTAGTAATATTATAAATATCTATACTTTATTATGCTAGAATATTGTAAACGCGAAATTTTTTGAGAATGTATGAATGTATGTTTGTTATTCTTTCGGATGAACGGATTTTGTTACTTTACTAGTAATTTGTAATTTTACAGTAATATAGCTACATCAGAGTAACACGAAAGCTATAATTTATAATGATATATAACTCGCGTCATCTAAAAAGAACGCTGACTGTCAAGCTGCGCAGAAGCGATTTATCGGTCAAATTGGTGGGGCGAAGTGGGGCGCGGGGCGGCGGTGCACGCGCCGCGTGCTTGCCGGCGCGCTATTGGTTCGTCAGTTCGAAATACCATCGCACACACAAGTTTTTAATTGCGAAATGGTTTTATATATAGAAAGGAGAAAAATTATTTTTGACGTATATTGTTTTACAAAGAGAGAGTCTGATAATAATGCCGTTAATAATTAAAAAAAAGGTATTAAACGTATTAATTTAATTTTTTGTAAGTAGATTAAACATTCTGCACTGAATCAAACATATTTTAATAATGAATAGAATTCTATTTAATGATATCTAATCTATTTTTCAATGTCCCTACCAATAACTAATATATGAAGCCGCCAGCGAAATGCTATGAAAAATAAAATAATAGGCTTAGTACTTTTGTGCGCGAGTACACCCATGCGCAAACATACCCTCTCCACTTACTTCCAGCGTTCTTTTTAGATGACGCGAGTTATAGTAATAATTAAATGAGCTATGCGCCAGTAAATAAGACAGACTAGTTAGTAGTTCAGTGTTATTATTCCATACAGACGTCTAACGAGGACGTGTAGATACTGTCATACATTCTTATACCATAAGAAGGGTTGACCGGTATAAATCCAAGGCGATCTTCATTGTGTGAATTTTTATATTATGCTAGTAGGTTGTGCCACTATTAAACATTATTTATTAGAGGTGGTCTTTTTGTGAGTGGTTTGATATAGTGTTTTGATGAAATTAGTAGGCATCGTTTTTTTTTAATTATATGTAATACTTCTCTTTTATTCGCAGGTATATGAAGGCCTCGCCAAAGGTCTAGTGAAAGGCAAACCGGAAACTCGATGCGCTGTGAAAACTGTCAATGAACATGCCACTGACAGGTGGTTGTTTTAAATTGAATTATATATACCTTTAGTTTCGGATATGTAAAAAATAAATAACTACTCTATTAAATATTGTATATAAACAAAGAATCTCAATATACTATTTAATATAATATATTATTCGAACATCAGGGAGCGCATCGAGTTCCTAAACGAGGCGTCGGTGATGAAGGCGTTCGACACGTTCCACGTGGTGCGGCTGCTGGGCGTGGTGTCGCGCGGGCAGCCCACGCTCGTGGTCATGGAGCTCATGGAGCACGGCGACCTCAAGACCTACCTGCGCTCGCACCGCCCCGACGCCGACTCCTCGCTGCCGAAGAAGGGGCAGCTGCAGTCGTCGCCCACGCCGCCCACGCTGCAGAGCATATTGCAGGTACATATAAAAAAATAAAATATTTTTTTTTTCTTAATCATCTGCACACATATATGTACATATACATCTGTACACTCTACTGTATATTCATATCGACAATAGGGAATATGCGTGATTTATTTTATAGAATAGCTAACATCGTTATATAATAGTTAAAAAATATTCAACCCCAAAAAACTAAAATTTAGTATATCTTTTTTAATTTTACCGATGCGGATACTTTAAAGGTCCGCCATTTTGCGCGTTTAGCGTGACGTCACAGTATGATATACTCAGAAAAATGACTCAATTTGTATCAAAAAAATCGCTAATCCGTCTGACCAATAGCGTGCGTTTCAACTACTTTGAATTTCGCTTGGTATTTCCTATTTTATTAGTAACAGTCTTAAGCTGAGTTCAAAAGTGCTCTTGGATTAAATAAAAATATATACTTGCAAACAAGAAAGAACAATTTTAAAGAATATTATATTAATTATTTTTTATATTTCTTTTATAAAATGACTCGCATGCTGAGTTCCTTGATCCTGATCTCCTTGAACTTTGGTATTTCGACAGTAATCAATATAATCAGTTCATATGTCAGTATGTAATTAATTAAGTATATAGTTTGATCATTTCCAACATGATTATCACTTGTCTTAACGGTAAAGGAAAACATCGTGAGAAAACCTGCATATCTGAATCTAGCAAGTTTTCGAAAGACATGTGAAGTCCGCCAACCCGCAAATGGCCAGCGTGGTGGACTATGGCCTGATCCCCCTCATACTGAAGGGAGGCCCGTGCCCAGCAATGAGGCGTTAAAAAGGGCTGAAACATACATACATAGTTTGAGGCAGATATTTATGTATTGAGGCGCAATTTTCAGATGGCAATAGAAATAGCGGATGGTATGGCATACCTGTCCGCGAAGAAGTTTGTGCACCGCGACCTGGCGGCGCGCAACTGCATGGTCGCCGGAGACCTCACCGTCAAGGTGGGCGACTTCGGCATGACCAGAGACATTTATGAGACTGATTATTATAGGAAGGGCACTAAGGGCCTGTTGCCGGTGCGGTGGATGAGCCCCGAGAGCTTAAAGGACGGGGTGAGTGGCATTTATTTGATTTTTTATATTTTTTATTTTATTATTGATTTATAGCTATATAGGATATTGTCTTTTTGTAGGTATTTTCCAGTAATAGCGATGTGTGGAGTTATGGAGTTGTATTATGGGAGATGGCAACACTCGCTATGCAACCATATCAGGTACGCCTTTTGATTTAAGATTAGAAATGAAATAGTTTCTGAATCTCATTTAGCGATTAATTATATTAATATAATTTATTTTCTCTTTATTCATAAATTTATGATTTTTAGATGCAGTACCTATTCTAATTAACAATTCGTACGAGTATTAAATTTGCTAGATAAATATATGTATTTACCATGTAGCTATTCAATAATTCAAATCTGATGAAGACGAAGCATAAATACATATATGTGATTGATAAGAGAGAGTACAATTTAGTCGGTAAAATTGCAGGGGTTGTCAAACGAGCAAGTGGTGCGGTACGTGGTGGAGGGCGGCGTGATGGAGCGGCCGGAGCACTGCCCCGACCGGCTGTACGAGCTGATGCGCGCGTGCTGGGCGCACCGCGCCGCCGCGCGCCCCTCCTTCCTGCAGCTGGTGGCCGACCTGGTGCCCTCCGCGCAGCCCTACTTCCGACACCGCTCCTTCTTCCACTCGCCCCAAGGGCAGGAGATATACGCGCTACAGAGGACCAATTTGGGTTAGTCTTTCTGTATTACTTATCTTTAATAATACATAATGCATATCTATTTACTTGGCTTAGGCCCGTAATAGATATTATTTCGGTTAAAAGCCGAGATGAAAGACATTTCATAAACAATAATAATATATTTGGACATTAACACACAGCGCCATCTAGTTCCATGGTAAGCTACGAGGCTTGTGTATGGATACCAGATAGTTGATAAACTACACATATATAACTTTAAATGCATACATATTATAGTTATAAACACCCATGACCGGAGTACAAATATTCGTGCTCATCACACAAATGAATGCCCCCAGCGGGATTCGAACCCACGCTGGCACAGCAAGTCATCAGTCGGGTCACTACAAACTGAGCCAAACGTGTCGTCATCTTTATCAGCCTTAGTACACGTACCTATATCATTTTCGTTAAAGTATGGTGCGGGTGACCACTCGGGGTGGCCGGCTGTCAATATTAAACGAATAGGGAAGTGGTAATATTTAATCAATTTTATCGATAACGATTATCAGAGTAAAATGTCAAAAAAAATATGTTACGTTACAGACATAAAAAGTCGCAATGTGTTTTTTTTTATATAAATAAATATGTTGGGACATTAAGACAGCGCCATCTAGTTCCATGGTAAGCTACGAGGCTTGTGTTATGGATACCAGATAGTTGATACACTACACATATATAACTTTAAATACATACATATCATAAATATAAACACCCATGACTAGAGTACAAACATTCGTGCTCATCACACAAATGAATGCCCCCAGCGGGACTCGAACCCGCGACCACTGGCACAGTAAGTAGGGTCACTACAAACTGAGCCAAACATGTCGTCGATATTTTTCGAATGTATTTAAAAATAGTTAGGTACATGTTGTAAGTTCTTTATCTTCAATGATTAAGTGCTTTACGCTCATAATATTAAGTTTAGACCAAAAATATAACGCCATAAATTTTGTTAATCATATAAACATTCATTAGTGAAAAGGAATGGTTTGTCTAATGTAACCTACACCATGCTACAATGCAAAAACGTTCAATAGGACTGCAAACGCAACCTTCTTTCTGCTAGACCAATAAAGCATTACTTATCGTTAGTGATACAAGGTGTGAGCGTGATAAGCGGTCGCTAGGACTGTCGTGCCCACGTTATATTCTGCCACACCAATAAAGTTTGTGCTCATAATTAGCTCCATTTTATATATTATAGTGTATTGATTACGCGTACAGATAAAGAATAGGATTAAATATGGCGGCTTTGTACACTATAATGGTATAAGTATAGATAACGATAGATCGTACGAGAAGTAATCCCTGTTTTCCAATTACAGCACTAAAACGCATTATGCGGCATAATGCTCAACTTCAAATTTTTCAACTACAATAGCGCTCCGTAGAATATAGTACTTTGAAAAGTACTGCTTTGGCGATACCAACCAACTCAGTAGCAGAAAATATAAGACGAATTTTTTCGCGTTGTTCGTGTCTGTGCGCCAAAGTGCGGCATTATGCTCTGTAATTGGAAAACGGGGAATATAGATGATGCCGTTTATGAAGCCATTATTTATCTGCGCGAGTTATGCATCCCATGTAATGATATGAACATAAGTAGATGGTGACTCACTTAATACTAGAGAAACGCAATTCATTAGTATGTAATACATATATGTATATCCTATAAAATTATCTACTTGTATGTCAGCACTTGCATAAGTATTTGTTGAAATATGTAGAGTATATGCGTCAAAGTTGACTGTTTGTGTAAGGGGTTCACTGTCCGCTATATATTCACAATAGACTGCGTTACTACACTAATAGTATACTATACTATAAATATAATGTATTTTTTAAATGGTATGCGAGGGTTGATGTTATTATTTTCTTTCCTGTATTTAGTTTCTAATTTTACTTTTCCTATCATTATATGTAGTTTCAATAAAATTGAAATAAAACTTCCTATTGTTACGTATGGACATTTTTTTAAATACAAGATAATTATATTATGTTAAAAATTAAAATCATTACAATGCAAAATCGGCAGGGATCAATTTTCTAAATAAAAATAATAAAACTAACAGCACCATTCTATAAAACTATTTTTGTAAATAAACATATAATTCAGTAATTGACAGCAGCTATTATAGTACATACATATATGTACATATTATATATAATAATAAATCTATGACTGTTGTCTGTCCGCACGCGCTGCCGCAGACGCGTGCGCCGAGCAGGCCGCGCACTGCTAACTGTAAGTAACGCGCTCGCTGACGTCTTTCGTTTCCAACCGACTGACATCGTAGCGTAGTGGTTCCTTTGTTTATATAGATTCTATACTATTAATTAACTATAATATTTAATGGCATTCGTGATATAAGAATCATTTTTTTGCATTTGCATTTAGATGCCCGATTTTCGCTTTTGTCACTTTTTAGCCATTTTGGATTATGCTTTTATAGAATTATAGAATGTAGCTGTTCGAACTTATTTTATTTTAGAAAATCGATTTTATTTTTTATAATCAATGTACTTACTTATTATAAAATAACGTTTTAAATTTCTTATGTAATCTGTATATGATTTTACTTATTGTATGAATTAAGAATGCTTTTACTAAACATTGCTAGTATGCTAAGGGTTTAGACGAAAACCATTTATATCAATATATGGCCGTCAAGCGATTGATGTTAATTTTTAAATGAAATTACGTAGTTAGTAGCTCAGCTGTGTCAGCCAAAGGCCCATCATAATCGTCTCTTGATCCCTGCCGCTTTTAATCGATAAGGTAATAATACTGGAATATTAATAAGATGAAGGTCTGATCGTAGCGGTGTGTGTATTTTAGCGGAGGAGGAGGCGGACATGCAGGAGGTGGACGTGGGCGCGGTGGCGACGGGGTCCGGCTCCAACCTGTTCGGCGTGTCGGGGCGCCTGGCGTCGTGGGTGCGCGAGCTGTCGTCGCTGCACACGCGCGCGTCCGACGACGCGGCCGCCGAGCCCCTGCAGCCCGCGCGCGCCATCCCGCTCAAGCCGGGGCCCAACGGCGTGCTGCGCGACGCGCCCGCCTGCTAGCCCCCCGCCCGCGCCCGCGCGCGCGCGCGCCCCGCACCGATATCTACCTCAGGCCGGCCGAGCAGGCCCGGCTCATCGAATCCTAGGTGTAAGCGTAGCTAGTGAATTGTTCGCCGCGTTGTTTTATTTATTTTCCACAGCGTCGCCGGCGCGCGTTGGACTCGAGTATAGTGTAATAATCCATACGGAGTGTCAATAATATCAATTTTTGCGCAAGCACTCTATTGCCATCTTATGTAGAGTTACAGTAATAACTCTTAATGAGTTTCTCAACTATCATATAAAAATAAGTATGACAGCGCGGTGCGCCTTGGCTCACCTCGCACGCCCCACAGTATTGCGCAGTCTAGATAGAGACGATTGTATGGATTAGTATACTGTAGACTCGAGCGTCGAATCTTACTGCATTTATTAGGTGTCCAAACGCGCGGCGGTGGTCGCATGCGCGTCGGCGCCGAGCCGACGTCGACGCGGATCCTATATAGTTTACCTCAGTAATATAGTCTTATCGATGTCGTTTATGTCGCAGCCTATTATTATTAAGTTTACCGTGTAAGCTGTAAAGTGTGTATAGATACCTAACGATAATATAGGTAAGATCGTGTACAAATTATTTTAATTCGTTTCGTCGCATTTGACCGGCGAGAGCTATCGTTTCAGATGGAGGCGGCCGGCGCGGCTCGCGGCGCGTCCGTTGATAATACTCATAGTTCGATCGGCGTTTCGTTATCGTTCGTCAGTTCTGTATCGTGATGAGGAAATAATTTCATGAATCGGATTTAGCCACCAAAGACTTTAAACGAATCAAAACGCTAAATTAGGGTTTATTATTATATTTTATGTAGATACGTTGTATTATTTTATATAAGCATGATACCATGCACGCCGGAGGAGATCCTCGTACATAAGACGAAACTGAAATCAATGTGTTCCATATCAATTACAATGCAATATATATGTATATTCCGCCATCGTTGTTACGATCGTAATCATTTACGATTATAATTTTATAATGATCGTTGTGTAATTTTCCTACGTTCTATATTATAATATAGCCAAAGTCTAGCTCATTTGCAAGACCTTATACAAGTAACCGACCACGAACTGTCGTATTTATTATATTACTTGCCAATATAAGGACATACGAGCATCGTCGAAGAACCGTTATGAATTGACGTACGCGCAATCGAAGCATATGCGGATGCTTATAATATAAGGTCTATCTAGATTCGAGTAATTGTATTCGAAATTTTAATAAAAATTTAAATTAGTTAAAAGATTTTAATAGCGATCTATATTATGTAAATTATACGCTAGACGCATTATTTGCTACAATATAAAGTTATTACTATTATATAGTTGTTTATCCAACCAAAGTTAGTTTCCAATCACAATTTACAACAATCCTGGGTATAGGAGATACCGGGATACTAGTGCAGTCTTCAAAGGACGTCGGATTACGCGCACGCGACGCAATGCCTTACACATAAAGATTATTTGACGCTAGTGTTTAAATGTAATTATTTAATACGACTAAAACAGACTTATCTATTGCATGACTTTAGAAGATAACTACATATATGATGAATTAAACGTTAAGATTGATTATAGACAGGACCGACGTGTCGACACGATACAAACGCAATATGGTGCACGTAATCCGATGTCCCATAAAAGTTTTACTATAATGTGGTTTAAGGGTATAAACGAGTGCCTTCAGAAATCCAGCCTTCAAAGGAATGCAGGATTGTTGATTGAATGAGGAACATGGCACAAATACACGAATGTACGTTTTAATTTGTTGGGATGTTTCCTATTACGTTTTTTTTTGGGACAGCTAAATTGGTTTAGACATTAACAGTTTGAAGACGACAGTGAAATCGGTGCGAGCGGCTTACAGATTTTTATATTAGGCAACGTATACACATAGCGTCGCGTCTGATATTCGGAATTGAGCCGTATAATTAAAGAAATTACTTAAAAATATTGTATAGTACTGGATAATTAAATTAGATAGAGGTTATGCAAATGTTTTTGTTATTGTTACTTATTTAGAGCTTAAGGCACGTTGCATTAGACTACTACGTACCAATGTTTTACTCGATTTATATTTGTCCAAAGCTTTTTACAAATGCATAGTGCCTTTTGCTAGCATAAAGAGTAATGGACGCCAAATTGTCGAGTTTTATACTTCTATAGATAATAATCTATTCGAAAAAGCTTAGTTTGTTGAAGCAAAGTAAGCCAGAACAGAAATATTTACTGTAATCTCTATATTCGACGAGTGCTCAGTGGCGCCAAATAACTTTTAACGAGTGCGTCGAGGCACCATGACTTCGCTCTCTCTTTATTTTTTCCTATTGTTACCGCAACTAATTTATAATGTATCTAAAGCAATTATTATCATAGGTGGAAATCTGGCCAACTTTGTAATTGTGATTGTGTAAGCTAGGGTTGCGCCTGTGTCTATCGTTACGATGTTATTACAAGACAACACACTCATCATCAATTGACTTAAAAAAAAACTCTGATATTCAAAATTGTTATACGCTATCGAACTATTCATTTTGACAGTTGTTCTTGGTTTGTTTAGGCGCTATATCTAATTTGTGGTGTTGAGTGATTGGTGCTGCGAATCCCACCCGATTCCTATATTATATTTCTGTTATTTACCATTTTTTAAGTTAAAGTTTTTTTTAGCATACTTTAAAGTCATATAATATTTTTTAGTAGAAATCATCTAGAATAAGAATCAAAAATCATCCTCTTTAATCAAAATTAATTACCACCTTAGTTTAATAATCAATAATAATTCGTTACACGATAAATGGTGACACAAAATTGTAGCATCACTGCTTCGTAACGATAGACAGACGCGGTTGCAGTACAAAACTGTATTTACATACACTTTGTGTTGCTTAATAAAACTATCTATACCAGTTATTGTAATGTAAATATTTGTTATAATATAAAATGAGAGAACACAGATTTCTTCCTGCGATAGCCAGTGCACAGACAAATGGCAGCTAAGAGCGAGGGAGGGCGAGGCCGGCGTGCCGCAGCGCCTCGCGGACTCGCACAACGTTGCCTCACACAGCGTTCGTTGCGGGCTGTACTGAACGACTATATTGTTTGCGCTGTTATTCTGATCAGTATTTTGTATTATTGTGATTTCCACCTACTAGGGCACTTACCTCATATTAGTGTTTATGTTACTCGTAAATTGTTGACTGATAAAATAATTTCCAATCGATGTGTTCCTCGTGTGATTTGTGTGCGTGTTTATGTAATATATGTAGTGTCGGGGTAGCGTTGTGCTATATGCTCAATTTAGATACAATTTCACCAAACGATTGAGATAGTGTATAATTTTTGTATTTAATTTAATGAAAACCGAGTACCTATTAATAATAATTTTAATATTAATAAAAGTTACAAGAATAGCGAATAATAGTTTTGAAACCCTTGTTTAAATATATTTTATACCAAGTTAATGAAAACAAGGTCTATAACGTTCGTAAAATAAAATTGATTTTTTAATTGAAAACGTCTATTATTTTACTTTGTCTATGCCCTTTTTTTGTAATCAATATTGTAGTTCTAGTCTGATTTGAAACGGATCTCTTTAAGAATTATATTTTTCTCCCGAAGTTTACGTAAATCTAACATCGGTGGTTTATCTTTTTTGGATGGTAAAATACATGGACAAGGCATATCCTTTGCGTAACGTAACAAAAGACTAGCCATTTTAAGACATCCCTTTTCCCCATTGTTTTTAATTTTTTCTAAGTTTTGTATATAATATTCAGGTTGTTCATGTTCCATTGCACCGAGTATTATCATTTCTTTGTAAGTCCTGGACGGCCAGCGCTCCACAGGTATTATATCGTTGTCTCCCATTGGCGGAGGGTTTACTTTATGAACATACACCCGACATAGAAATGTTCCCATATAAGGTGTCAAGACTGGAACGTACGTTGGGTAGTAAATTTTCCTTTCGACGCCTTCTTGCCTAAAAACATTTCCATATCATTTTTTTATATGGTAAGTATAACATTTACTTTTACATTCATAAAAACACTAGTATACAAATTAAGTAAAGTGATCTTCATTTGAACATTGGAAGTATCATCTCATTATTGAAATATTTAAATGGAAATCCAGTTTATAGAATTGCTAAAGGCGACGCGACGGATAATATCCTTTTTAAGAGTGTAGGTATGTACCTTAAAATATTTTATTTATTTTTTTGTAAAAAGCACACTTACGATGTCGTAAGTGTGCTTTTCACGTGTGTGTTCATACATATGAAACATTTTCAATTTAATTAATGTAATAATAATATACCTTAAATGCATGTCAATTATAAGTGTACATAGCATTTACATATTCATCACTTAAAGTACAAAAATTAAAAAAAAAAAAATTTATGCCTAACACACTAAATAATCTTAGGTAGGTACATGATTTAAGTAAACTTACTTTACACCTTATGAGTTTAAAGTTTTAAAAAATAAAATGATGTGCTAGTTATTGTTGTGCCAAATATAACCAAGACGAAAATGAATAATGCAGCTTACTCATCAAGTACCGATATGTTTTCAACATTCAAGCGCCAGATTACTCCCCAAACGTGAGCATTTGCAGTTGGGACGAGAGTTGCAGTCGGTCCTCCCCAAAACTTTGAATATTTGATAAAATCTAGTCTATTATTCTGCAAAAACATAATCCAATATTTAATCCCTCCACTACCGCGTGTCAGTTAATAGATTACTCTAAATTTAAAAAGGTAAATTTCTAAAGACTATACATTCAGCCTCTGTATTGATAATAATGACTATTTCATAAGATTATCCAAAAAAATATTTAATGTACAGATTCGACTCAGAATTTTATTATATGTATAGATATAGAATTTTTGTCAGTCTGTTTGTTACCGCATCACAGAAAAACCACTGGAGGAATTTTGATGAAATTTGGTATGATGATAGCTGGTTATCCGGGTCAACATATAGGATACTTTTAACCGCGGGAAAATGTCTTATTTCTGAGAAAAATAAAATAACTGCAATAGGAGTATACTAATATGTAAAACCTTAAAATTTGGTTTTTGGTCATCTGAATGCGGGCGGAGCCGCGGGCAATGCTAGTTTCTTTATACAAGTAAATTGCTGGGAGTTTTTTCATTCATGGCCAAAAATAAGCATTAGGCACATAGGGTAGGGTATACTTATAGATAGGCTAAACTACGTATTACTAGACCGTAGAAATTAGCAAAAAAAAAGCTCAAGTTTAACCCATTTATTTATACTTTGTGGTTCTTTCATACTACCTCAAATCTGCCTCATTGATCTAGAAAGAAGTCCTGGGTTCGAGTCAAGGGTCGGGCCTCCATAATTACTTGGGCATTTGTCACGAAATAATCAGTAGGTACAGCCCGGAGTTGGAACGTTAGCGTAATTTACACCTAATTAAAATTATAAGGTACTTTTATATTTAAGAAAAGGGGGATCCACCATAAAAAAACTGCATTTTTTTTTAATCTTTTTTTTTAAATTTAACAAATTATTAATTAACATCGTCACTTGCTTGATAATGATTTATCAACCATATAATAAAATGTATATTCATACATATATATCACCTTATATATTTGATTTAATACAGCTCTAAATGTTCTATAATATGAATTTTAATAATAATTATGTTCTTACTAAATACTAACAGAAGTTACTTACATCCAAACGTCCTATAGAAACAAATTCTGCACTTGGATTGTTCATATGAATCCTAAATGAAAACATATTACTTCCATAAGAAAAATATAAAAATGTATTAGGCTTATAAATTTCAGATTTCAACATTTTGAAAAGATTAGATATATGAAATTTAAAACAGTGACACAGGATTAAATAAAGAATATCACAGTTACTAGCCAGCTATACACAAAATATATATAATATGTACTGAGTACTATAGTGTGTATTTATTCTATAAATTCAGCATGTAATTTTTAATTGTTTGTTATATATTAAGTTTTTCAATCATTTTGGGGGATGCTTTTTGTCCATTATGAGGGATCTTTTGTAATTCTTTAATATATTCTTCTGGTAAATTACATTCTAAAGCTCCATTAATAATACAGTCTAAATAAGTACTAGAAGGTCTTCTCTCTTGAGGTAGTTCTTCATTCGGTTCTCTTAGAGGAGGATTCACTACCTGTTGATATGTTCGACATTGAACTGTCGTACCCTCAGGAGTTATAATGTCAACTGTTTTTGGAAAATACCAATTGGTGTCAACTCCTTCTTGCCTATAAAATATAAAAAAATAATAGAAACAACAATATTTATTTATAGTAATTAAATATTTACATAAACATACAATAATTACCAATCTAAGGAGGGCATGTCTTTAATATTTAATCTCCAAACTGCACCCCATATGTGAGCGTTTTCACATGGTAAGATCGTAGCAGATGCACCTCTCCAATGATCTGAATATTTTATGAAATCCAACTGATGACACTGTTGAAAAATGTTTATTGGTAATCATAATAAATAGCACTTAGTATACTTTAACTATGTATTTTAATTTACCTTATAAATAATTAATATGTAACTTACATCAAGTCTACCTATTCCTATAAATTCAGCTGTAGGGTTGTTTATCCGAATTCTTTTCTTAAATAAATTACTTCCATAAGCGAAATATAAAAATGTTTCCTCCATTTTGTAACGTAAACGAAGAAAAATGTTTAATAAATATTAGATATATTTTAAAGTTTTAAACAAAACACCGATGTTATCAATTTTCTAAAGTAATCAAAGCCATCTGCCATAGATAATATCTAATCATTAATAATTAAGAGATAGATTGCACATCTCCTCTGTTCAAAATTTTAGTAAACTCACTTCTCCATTCATAGATGGCACTAAAATTTTATCTACTGGTAGATAGGTGGCAGCACATGCAATAATTTAACCAAAAAAAAGTTCACGATTATTTTTTCTTGATAGCAGTTATAATAAAAACGGGAAGTTTATATTTTTAATTTGGCAATATTGCTTTAAGAAAATAAGGATAGAAATGGGAGTTTTGCCTTTTTCTCCCGCCAGATGTCGCGATCACTATAGCCCTCAGGGATTTTTTTTCATTTTATTTAAAATTTAATTAAAATGACAAATTGTGCAGTGCCACGATGCAAAGAAAATGGAAATCATTTGTTGTTTGTAGGAAGTGATTTTAAAACTTTTAAATCGTCTATAGGTAAATATTTTTTTTACTTTGCGTACTTTTTTACATATTAATTTTCATCCCTCATTTTAGCCACTTACGAAATATAATTTCGAAAAATGCTAAACAAGTATTTATTTAATTGTATTGAAAAACATTAATACCAAGTTTCAAGTAATTCTGATCATAAATAATTCTTTGCCCATATAAACTTTATTACCGCTTTAAGGGATGAATTTCGAAAAAATCTAATAAGTATATTTTTTATTTTGTATTTTATAGCTAAACACCACTTTCTGTGTATTTCACACTAAGAATGACCGTTTCATCAAATCTTTGATCCACTATTTTACAGATTTAGGGGATGAATTTCCTAAAATTCATTCTTATTGGATGCCTACATCTTATAAGGAATACGCCCTGCAAATATCACGTTTATACGACCAGCAGTATAGGCTGTGTGTTGATCTATCAATCAAGAAGTCCGAACAACCGCAGGATGCACCTCTCCTAAATTCTTCCTTCAACTTTTCTAACTTTCAGATACAATACAATGCACAGATAAGAAGCGAACAGAATAGAAGCAAAAAAACTAGGTATAAAAGAGATATCACAATAAATTGCTTAGCCTCAGACTGAATGTAAATAGGCAATACGTGTAGCGTCCTCCGGCGACATAAAAATTCGGCGCGCTTTTATGATTTATGTAATAATTTATATTTATTTTCCATCACGACACAGTAGCGTACCCTAACCTAATTCCCGCATAACCTTATTCACGCATACTACACGTATTTGCACAAGTGGTTATGTGGAGACTTATCGACAGAATTATCGACTAAAACCCAACGAAAACCTTCCTATATAAATCTTCCCTTCCTGATCGACAAAACCGGCTGCTCTCTGAATATAAATCCTCTCGGATCTCGGTTTGTACGACTTTAGGGGTGATTTTTATTTAGGTCCCCCGTCCACGACACCCAAGGGGTTGCTCTTACGGTATAATATTAGAGAAGTACCTTGGAGGAATCTGTGAGATACGCCTGCCGTCCAAGGAGTTGGGGCGCCCATTGCGTCTCTTCTGTTCACACCCGGCTGGACTGCTACATTATTATATGATCTGTGATTTAAGAGAAAACGACAAACGACCTGTTCTTAACGCTATACCATCACACAACCAAGATAATATTAATATATGTATTATGGTCGTTTACAAAGAAAGTATTGTGGAATGCCTAATGGAAGTCAGCCACCGGCGCTTCTTTTACAGAAAGAGTATAAAGGATTAAAAAAATCAAACTATATGTAACTAGAAACTGAGTATACATTTATTATAAATTATCATAAATAAAAATTATGCACTCTATGCAATAACAATAACATATCATTCATATTTCCCAATTATTTAAAACTTTAGCTCTGCCATGTTTGCCGATACAATACTGTACCGTGGCATACACTTTTAGCAGTCTACGCTCAACAGCTTTGAAATGTTCCTCTGTAGCTAATCTTTGACCATGGAGAGCCGCTAAAAGTTTAATAGTATCAGTTAAACTGCCACCGGAAACCAATTCCAAATTTTGCCATGTTGATGGTGTCAACCTTGTAATAAAACAAAATTGCATGATGATAAGTTAGTTATTCAACTCAATTCTTTGTTATGTGGCTTTTAGGCGTGCCAGATGATGTTGTATTCAGAGGTATAGCAACTAGCAAGCATTTGTGTGATAATTAGTAGTGTCACCTCTAAAATAAAAAACGTCCTTTATGGAATCTTTAAAGTCACTTTATAAAAAAACTTCGTATCATTGTGAAACCGACTTTACACTTCGTAAACAGGTAATAAATATATATACTAACACAATCGCAAATTTTTCACAGGTGTCACTACCAAACAGATGTCACCTGCAGCGTAAGAAAAGAGAACACTTGTTTTTTTTACTTTACATACTGCAGACTTCCCAATTGGGTGATACCCGGGGCAGACTCGACGATCCCCACCTATGGTTATGGGGTAAAATAAACTTTTTTGTTTACGACTTCTTTATGTATTTTAATATTTCCCACCTCTCTTTACAAAATAAAAGCCAAGCTATAAACGTATTTTATAGCACTGCGTGACTAATGAGGATCCGTAACGTTTTTAGTTGAGAATGCAGATTTATAGAGCTAAGAAATTCTTAACATACAGTGCAAAAATTTTTGTTCTACGACAAAAAATGACGAAGTTATGAGGAAATTACTAGCGAAGTTCACTGCGTGGCCGCCGCGATAGCTGTGACGTCATAAGGACGGTAAGCCGCTTGCAGCAATAAGGCGCGCATGTTTTAATGACTTTGAAACAAATTAAGTGTCCGATTTGTGTCTAATTCACCTTTTTAATACAAACACTACTTTTAAAACGCCAGAAAAACTATTTTTTAACGTACCGAAGGACCGAAAACTTCGTAAACATGGTTTTCCGTTGTAAAAAGAGATGATAAAACTTCACCCTCTGCCCAGGCTACAAGACATTACTGTGAAGATCATTTTGATGTACGTAACTACATAACTATACTTATTATTTAGTACGAGTATAGATATCTATACATATAATAAAATTGTAACTAAGCCGAATCTGTACGTTAAATATTTTTTGGAAAATCTTATTGAAATAGACATTATTATCGATACAGAGGCCGAATCTATAGTTTTTAGAATTTTTGTTTGTCTGTCTGTCTGTCTGTCTGTGGTTGTTACCGCATCACGGAAAAACCACTGGATGTTTTGATGAAATTTGGTATGATGATAGCTGGTTATCCGGGTCAACATATAGGATACTTTTTACCGCGGGAAAACATCTCATTTCTGAGAAAAAATACAAAAACTGCAATGTAAGAGTATACTAATATGTAAAACTGACGTTATTTTCCATATCTTCTGTTAACTAAAATATAAAATATATATGTATATTTTAATTTATTTGTTTCTAACAATAAGGCATAGCTGAGGCAGATACATAAATACACAGCTATTCAAAAATATTATCATTCACTATTTGCTTTTTACCCGAGTATGTCCCTGTGTCATTGACTTTGGAATAATACATAGAAATGGGAACGGACGAATAGGTAGGTATGTAGGTTTATCCACAAAACTAATAAAAAAAGTAGTTAGGTTTTTAATAAATAAGCAGGTTTAAAATAAGAGAATTCATAGGTACACTTACACTACACGTAATAGTAAGTATCAACTTTTAAATAAAACTATCTTTTCGGATTATGTCGCGGATTTATTTACGGGAGAGACTCTCTCCCGTGACCATGGATGCTGTAAAGCATTCGAAACGTCGGGAAACAAAAATGCAAACAAATCCGCGACAAAATCCGAAAAGATAGTTTTATTTAAAATGTCAAATATTCGCGTAAATCTAAGAAAGTATTAAGTATCAACTTATTTATTACTAGCATTGCCCGCGGCTCCGCCCGCGTTCAGATGACCAAAAACCAAATAAAATATGTAGCGCTATTGTTATTTTTTCAAGATAAGCAATTTTGAATAGTGTTTGCCTTATTTAGTACGTAAGTTACCTTGCTAAAATATATGTATATAGTATCATCGTGGTTTTATTCTAACCAGTTTTTGTATTTTTTCTCAGAAATGCGATATTTTCCCGCGCTGTAAAAAGTATCCTATATGTTGACCCGGATAACCAGCTATGACCATACCAATCATTAAAATCCCTCCAGTAGTTTTTCTGTGATCCGGTAACAGACAGACAGACAAAAATTCTAAAAACTATAGATTCGGCCTCTGCATCGATAATAATGTCTAATTCAATAAGATTTTCCAAAAAATATTTAATGTACAAATTCAACTTAGTTAGAATTTTATTATATGTATAGATGTAGATACTTTCTAAATATATTTAAATATCATAAACACACTTAAAAAATCACTTAATAAGTAATTACTAAATATAGTAGCCAACCGCGTCGCGAAAAGTGTGAAGTAAGATGCCCTGGCCGGCTACGTTCGTTCCGTCACAGTGACGTCACACGCACCCGCGTACATGGATTTTACCGGCAGGAACGGCGTAATGTTTATTACTTAATATCTTCGTAAGTTATGGTCCGATTTAGATAATTCAAAAAGATACATCATTATTATGTCTTAATAAATAACGCGGATACATGTTCTATGGAATTTGCTATAACAGTACTGATCCTCATTAAATCCACATTTAAATAATAATTTTCCTTGCCTCATACAAGATGTTTTTATTTGTTTCATTGATTGATGTAAAGTTTAGAAACTTACATACAACATTGATAAAGAGGTGCTAAAATATCCAATTCATCAACCATTGGATTTCCCAAGCCTTTTCCATTATCAAGTAATACAATTTGATCTTTGTAAACTTCAAAGCGGTGCCTGTCTCCATTTTGTATTAAGAAATCAAATATAGCGACATCTATTAAATTTAACAACCTCTTTGAACTCATTAAACCTTTTGCTTTTCTGAAAAGTAACAATTATAAAATATGTGAGTGAAGAAGGTTTATAGTTTAAATTATTTTTAATTATTTTAAAAAGGCAAAGTTTTATAATTTACATTATTCATACTTACTTACAAAAGTTATTATCTATTTCCCATTCCATTTTTTTTGTACTATAAGATCTTCTCCATGGGGACTTGTAAATTTTAAATTGCCTGTCCAAGTATAAAATCGCTGCTCCCTCAATTTCACCATTATTATCTGGACATACAGTTTCATTTGCTTTACAGTAAAAACATTTGCCATAAATACACATTGTTCCACTCTCTGAAACAAGTATCCAAAAGTATTTTTTTTTTCAATTTGGAAATATCAAGTTACAAAGTAAGTAAAAGATTACCATTTTTAACCATAGTCCTTTTCAATCCCACTGTGGCAACGGGCATTATATCTTTATGTATGTGAATATTCCTAATAACAGATGGTGCAATCCACTTGAAATTAAGCACCATTGCCAAGTAATATGCAAAAACTTCAGAGTTATGACGATCAAAACCAGCATATATATTGCCATTTACTATGTGATCTAAATTATAGCGTTTAGGCTTAAAATAAAGTTTTTGTTTGCCCTACAAGAAATATTTTCATATCATTTAATATATAATAATTAATTGTGCAGTGCATTATTACAATGGCAACTACTAAGAAAGGAACTTTATTAGTTTCTTTGTTTTATAACTGAAATTCAATCTCTAAGGAGCAAAGCAACATAAAGCAAATATTATTATTTTTTGACAAGATGAATATATTATGAATATTAATTTTAAAAATAAAATATATTAACAAGCAACAGGCAAAGTGATTAAAACTCAATACATAATATTCAAGAAACAAGTTTCATATATATTGTAACTGAATTACCTCAAGCAATAGTAACAGTTTTAGCTGAGTTCCTTTAGGAGCATTGTCAACCAATGCTATCTGTGAGGTTTGTATGGCATGTAAAAGTTTACCAGCAGTTCCATTTTCATGAGGAAATAATGAATTTTCACTACTCCACTGAAATAAATTGTTTGATTAATACATCACACAGATTAAGATAGAAAATAAAATACATAACAATCTTCTTTTTCCTTAATATTACAATTTTCATACTTTTTCCGCTTCTGTCCATATTCCTTCTGAATTAACATTTTTGCTTATATTAAATGAGTTAAGAAGTTTTTTTTGGGTTAATGCAAATTTTGGATTCTTATTTTTAAACTGACTAGGTAAATAATTTAGATAATCATAAATTTCTTTGAATGCACTCAAAGTAAGATCTAATTTAATATTGGGAACATTGAATTTAGGAGATTTTCTTTCATGAGTATTTAGTGTGTAAAAGAAGTAAATGTTTAAACCTACAAGAACAAGGAGAAACAGTGAGAATCCAAAAGCATAGTTCATAGACATCATGTACATATAAGTATATGGAATACATATATAAAATTATTAATCACATGATTATTATATATAATATTAAGGTATTTATAATTTATCATGCATTAAAGATTACATAGATATTTATATAATCTAAGGAATTCACATATGAAATTATCTGAACACATTATTTGTGAATAATTTGAAACATGATTTTATCAAATTAAGTAAAAATATGTATAAAGATCTATTTAAATTTAATTGCAGTAATTCGTTTGCATTTCTTTTAGATTAATGTCTGATTTTTAATTCCACGGAAATATGACAGCTATCATTCTTTGACAATTCAGATATCATAAACCTTTTCTGCTTTGTATTTTTTTAATATAAAATAACAAAAAATATGAAACAGAATTAGATCAAGTAAACTATATGTATGACATTGTAAATAGTCTTTATTTTGTGCAATCAATGCACGCTAACGATAATGTAAATTTTTAATGGTTAAATGAATAAAACAGAGTAAAACAAAATATTTTACAAACAAAGGGGTTTTACTAAAAAAGGCTTGCAATCTATGGACAGGGATTCCTATAATAGAAAAATAATTTCCTTAATAATTATTGTAACTTCATAATATGATAATAAAAAAAATAATTACCATTTTAGAGTTATCAATAATTTTTTAAGTCTTAGTTTTTCTAATTGAAACCTTAACTTCAAGAAAGGCTTATTTTTTTTATTTTGGTAAAATGTTTTCCGTTTTTAGTGACAATGTTTCAAAGTTGACAACACTTCTGAAATGTCAGAATTCCGTGGAATTAAAAATCAGATTATAGTTAAATTACTTTTAAAGTTTTAACTTTTAAAGTGATATTATGAAATAAGATTGTTATTTAATCTTAATTTGATATTTAATTTTATTTGTTGTTATGACATTAAGGATTTTGCACACGACAACTTTTAACCTGTCGTCTCAGCAAGTTCAACCGTTCACGCCAATCCGACGCGCAGTGAATGCGCGCATGATGTGCGTTTGTATCGATATTCGGTATGCCGCCGTACAATTTAAATGATACGCGCCGTCGCGCGTTTATGAAACGTGGCCGACAGAAGTGAAAACTTAATACTATGTATAAACAAACAGTTGTTATTTTTGGATATTGAAATGAATTGTCTGATCTTAAGTTAGAATTTGTAAATTAAAACTTTTTACATTTATCTGGTTTTGACATCTATCGGCACTCTGAGTGTTAGCGTTAATACGTCACGTGACCATTTCGATGACGACTTACATGAATTGACTCTCCATCCAAACCTTCCCATAGAAATTTTCACTTCAAAAAATCGGACGCAATTGTTGTCTCTGCCAAAGCCATCGATAGATAGAAAGGTTGAACAAACCCGGAGAACTAGAATGAGTGTGTCTCGAAGGGCACGTAAAGCCGTCGGACCGCACCAGGGTCTCCTATCAGTCGTATCGAATTGTCGTTCCATCGGAATTCGAGAAAAAAAGGTATAGGGAGTGCAGTTGTTACTGCACTAGGACCTATAATATATCCTCATTTGGTTAGTCTCAGTGGTTAGCCGGGACCAAAATCGGTCAGGAGCACAGTAGATAGATGCAAAAGACACAGTATTTAGACCAAAAGGCGCTTACATGATTAATGATGGCTTGCGCTCGCAGAATTTACATATTATGAGATATTCATCAAAATATTGTACTATAAAGAATAAATTGTCCACAAGGTTGCTTCGAGGAGGTATATTCTAATATTAGGGATAAGAGTGTCAATTACAATAGTTATTTTTATATTAAAAAACGATTTTTTGCAAAGCTATTTTAATCCACTGTACCTATAGCGCTTCTTATTCACAAAAATATATAATTTTACTTTTCTTGGTAATCAAATGCCATTTACATGATATAGGTATGCGGGTACTTAAGAATTTGTGATCCCGAACCTGTAAGATTATTGTAGATTTTATCCTATTTTGTTCCATTAAATGATTCTTGATTTGGAATAGCAAACGCATTTTGCGTTTTTGTTTAATAATCCATTACAACCTGAATTCTCGCTTGATCTGGTCGAATTCATGGTCATCATCATGGTCCTTCATGCCGGAGATACGCATACACCAGCAAGAGGTCCTAAAAACACTTCGGAACCTCGACGTGGGCAAAGCCAGTGGCCCTGACGGTATACCTGCAGTTGTCTTGCGGAATTGCGCCTCTTAGTTGTCTCTATAGTGCTTGGACTGTAAGATTCTATAGGACTGTGTGGAGTGCTTGAGTCTTCAGCTATAGTATTTTTGTTTATTTATGTTATAGTACTTACCACTTATACTATCAAACTTCCAACCTGATTGTACTACCTTAATTTCCTAAGGATTCGATAAACTATAAATATAAACTTAAACTAACATAATTATAATAGGAATTAATTCTACTAATATTGTCTTCTTCGAAAATATTTGATTAGGTATGTATAGTAAATAAAAACTACCAATCAGTTATTTTTTACTTTTTAGTGCTTTTGTTTGAAGTCGGTTTTTATTTTTTTGTTTTAAAAGTTTTTATTAAAAATATATTTAAATATTTGCACTAAAGTCACACACATTAAAAATGCCAAAAAATATTTAATAAGGCTCTGTTACATTAACTGGATAACCGAGGCTTTCTCTTAACGACAAAACGGCTAGTTTGTAGGAAAAGTAAAGAGAAATTTTATACAATGCAATGGCAAAAACCATTCGAAAGCTCCATATATGATAACCTGAAAATAACAAACATTTGAAATTATTATCTGTTAAATATGCTAATTTCATCGATATTTGTTTTTGTAGGAACAAAAAAAAAGAAACTAAAATAATAATCATCAGAATTTTAAAACCTGTGTGCATCTAATGTAAAAATGGTACGTAGTTTGTATACCTACCTACCTATTAAAAATTAATTTATGCACCTTCTTACACTAGTAATATTATTATAATATTAAACATACCTACTTATTGCATAACTGTAAATTTCAACTCAAAGTTTTTAAATATTACCTCTAAATAAGTTTTAGAAGGTTGTCGATTTGGAGGTATTAAGTAACTCGGGACTTTAGGAGGATCTACGGTTTGCTGATATGTTCTGGCTTTTAGTGTAATGTCATCGGGCGTAATTACGGTCACGTTTTTAGCATAATATAGACCAAAATCAACTCCTTCTTGCCTAAAACAAAAATAACATTCTTTTTTTTTAATTCTTTAAAATATTTAAGTTGGTAAGTGTCTAAATTTTTCATATCTTTTAAATCAAGGACCCATAACGCACCCCACACGTCACTCCCAGAGTCCTCGACAATAGTCGCTACAGCTCCATTCCATGTCGGCCTGTACGTAATAAAATCTAGTCTGTATTCCTGTAATGCCGACAGCCATAAATATGAGAGTCAATTTATTTAATAAAAGACACACGTAATTTATAGCATTTGTAGATGTGTTCTGCCAAAAGTTACAGCATTGTTTGTTGTTGATTTTATATATGTAGCAATATACTCTATGGTTGTTGATGTAGTTTAAATATTAAAATGACATTAAAAACAATTTCAAAATTCACAGAAACTTCGACGTGTAAATTGTATACGTATTTAGTAAGCACTCTCGCACATAATATAGGTTTCTATTATGTTTTACATTACATTATTTAATGTATTATGGAACTTACGTATAATTTAGCTATAGAGTAAAAAATAGCTGATGGATGATTCAAATGCAACCTTCTTGCTAGAAGGTTGCTTCCGTAGGCGAAATAATAAAAAGTTTCATTTTCATCAAAGGGTTCAACACTATAACTTAAACATATTATGATAATGCAACTAGCTGGATACAATGACTTCAATAAAGAATTATATGTATATCTCCGGAAAGTAGAACTAAGTAGTGAGGTGTTAAGAAAATAATCAGCTATGATTTTAATATATTAACTTGTCAATTGTAATGGTTATCGCATAATTTGATATGGTACGTATGAGGCACATCGTAACAGTGCATGGGTTTTTAAGTGTATGTGAATAGAAATTGTATGAAAATTAAAAGAGTTTAATTGTAATTCCATTCACAGTGTAGAGTGGTTGGTAATTGCTATGACTAAAACTCGGCCATGAAGAATAAAATCTTTTTAAGTCCAACTAAATAGGTATTCAATCTCGGGATGAAAGCTATATATATACTTATATGTACTTATCACGAAAATCGGTGTTTTGTAAATCTACTGTTTAAGCGCACTCATACGGCATATAGTTTATAACTTATGTAAGGATGTGTTACAATTTACACAGATTTAAAGTACCTATTAGAAAAATAACGAAATACCAACTAAATGGACTTGAATTTTATTGAACGTTTGATCAAATAAGTAGGTACTCTATATTCTGCACTTTATTAGGTAGTTCGGTTGCAAATATTTTACAAACTAATATTAAATAAAAACTTGTTTTCACTTTTTTTAACTCGTTTTTTATGCGGTCGATTTTTTATTTTTATCATTTAATTTTTTATTCAAAACTTTTTAGTTTGGCCAATTAAACATTCTTATCCCAAATTGTAATTACGAGAGAGATAGAGTTATTACGAGAGCCGTTTAGTAATTATATAGGATCGAACATACATACATAACTCTCTAAAAAGATATTTGACTCTGTTATCCATATACTATAAAACATCTACATATATGTATAATTCCAACATTAAATTGCTCAAGTTGTGCCCTTGCATCCATTCAATCTATTGAAATTAAACTTAACACCTTGTTAATACAGATCTATACTTATAACTATTACCCACCATACATTTTTTTTTGTTTGACTCGATATTATGCATGCAGTTCTGCCCAAGTATGTGTATTTCCATTTCTTTAGTCAATATTAATCATAATGTGATTACGCTTTGTATAGGAGCTCGCGAATTTATTTTAAGTTCATGTTCCTGAGGTTTCGAATGTTTTACAGCAAAACGGCCACAGAACCATGTCTTTCCTAAGAAGATAGCTTTATTTAAAATGTCAAACACTCGCATAAATCTATGAAAGTATTAAATAATAAATTTACATAGCTTTAAAAATACTCGTTAAATATTTTGGGGATATTTGATGTGTAATGCATGCTCTAGACTGCATCTGTGTGAATGTAGAGTTTAGTGTATTAGCTCGCAAGTAAAATCCTGGGCCAGCTTGTCTTCACGCGGTCTGCGACACCAATACGCGGCACCGACAACCGGGGGCTCGGGCTCATCATGTTTGTCTCCGATGCTAACACGATTACGCCCAATCAGCAACGTCGCCGCCGTAATTGGGCGCCCCGATGCGAGGGCGGGCTTTTTTAACAACTTGCGCAAACACAGGGAACGTGTTCGAGCCTGCCTGAACAAAACCCGGTCTCGCGAGCGTAGCGTAAACAAACTATGATGAAATGTCTTGAAAACTAATATTTTGCTCTCGTTGTTTTTTTTTGTTTCAAAGAATATATCTCGTCTTTGAGTAAAAACATAACTTACTCTTAGTACTGTTATTTTTTTCATTTTTTTTTTATAAATAATCATTATAATCGAACTTTTTTCTTTCTTATTTTCTTGACTTCAATTTCTCAATATGAATTTAAGATCTCGTGATAAATAATTAGAATTTATTTTCAATATAAAATGTAAGGGAATATTAAACGACCATTTGATTTTATTATTAACGCCGGCATTATATTATTAACATCGCAATAGCGCTGACGACGGACAGGCTCCGGGCTGCGAGCTCCGAGCGCGACCGCCATCAATCACTGCTGCAAATCTACAAACAATACACGAATCGCTCTGGAACCACCCACACGTAGGGCTACCAGAAGATTGAAATAAAAATAAAAAATCTCTACTTGTATAACTTAATATTTCATACGAATAATTAAAATGTAGCATCTTTGATAGATTTGTTAATATTGTTTTTGTTTGTTATAATATATTTTTTAAAAGCTTGGCAGCCCTGCAGCGGGATTAAGGGTCATATAGAAATTACATCGTCATTGTAGTATTATCTCTCACTCTGTTGTAAATCGATAGTTACTTATTATTATTTTTATTCGGCTCACAATACAACGTGCTTAAAATTGTAGAGTCTATAGTAGTTTTTCTAACAAATGATGTAATAAGAATGAAGAATATTAAGAAAACAAGTTTATTCATATCTAATTAAGTATATAATTAATATTATCATTAGTACATACATACATATCTATGAACAGAGCTTTGATCTTTTAGTCATGGAGTGTTGTATAATTATTACCTAAACACGGAAGTTAAATATTTTTTTAATATTTACAATTTACTTAAACTAGTAGTAACATTAAAATTTAAGACAATCATCGATACGAAGCTTAAAATATACCAGTACGTAACCATAGTTAAAAATTAAATAATGAGATCATCTCCTTTCATCCGAATACTCATTCACTATCACAGTTAATTCATTTACAAATACATTTTCGATAAATTTTAAGTACTCTTTGGTCGAATTGTATATTTTTATTTCGCTCCCTTTTTTAGCGGTTCCATACGAAGTATTCAAAACTATTAAACATAGTATAAAAAAATATATGTGCAGATTCAAACGAGATGATAATTTCGAAATTCAAGTGTGCTTTAACAGTTTTATATGCGAAATGATTTTCAAAGATCAATATGAAAAACATTTGAAATGATTTCTTTACTTAATATCTTTTTGGATTTTTTGCAGATTTATTTTGATTTTTAGTTCCTGACGGTTTAAACTTTAAATGCTTTGCAGCAATCATGGGAAGATCGGCTAAAAAACCGAAAAGGTATTTAAAATATGAAATATTCCCATAAATATAAGAAAACAATTTCTTTACATATAACATAGTTAAATGTTTTTGTTACTTGTCAAGAGCACAGTCTACTAATCCATACAGTCGTCTAATACAAGTATCAGACCGGACTATCATGTGAGGCGTGGTACTGCTTAAATTTTGAGACCATTCGCCATGTCATTTTTTTTTAAATAAATCGCGATCGCTTACTGTATGTATTTTTATACTATGTCTAGAACGTGGGGCGTGGGCTATGTGTCGGCGGGCGCGGGTGAGGGTGCGGTGGGCGCGGAGGGCGAGGGCGCGCGGGCCGCTGCGAGCGCCGCCGCGTGTCGGCGCGCCTTCAGCCTCAGGTCCGCGATGGAGGAGGAGCGACACCGCGCCGCGAGGGCTGCGAAGCCAGCGTAAGGCGGACACAGAGCGGCCGCGGCGGCTGCTGCTGCACTCGCATACTAATACACAACACAAACATATGCATATCTCATATAGTTCACTTATACTCATACTACCAACTTATCCCCACATCCAGGGCCTCGACATAGGGCCGATATGTAAATTTAATCTAAAACCCGTCCAGCCATTTCAGATGAAAGAAGTAACAAAAAACACACATATATGTTAAACATACGTACATATAAACTATGGCATTTATAATACTAGTCCGTTTATACAATATTTTTAAATAGGGATTGATATTTTTAGAAGAACTGATAAAGCTTAAGGTCATGACTTTAATTAACGCAAATATTTATGACTTTGTCATCATATATTGACTACAAAGCATGAAAAATTGCTAAATTATATAAAGTTCAACTAACCTGATGAGCGGCAGCAGAAAGTAAAGCGGAATCAAAGGGCGCGAACGCCGTGGGTGGCGGGTGCGGCGCGAGTGGCAGCGGCGGCGGCGGCGCCCGCGGCGTGGCGCTCGTCAGTCTCGGCACGGAGACGTACGGGGCCACGCGACACGGCTCTAGTGGAGTGCCGCCACCGCCTACTAACAAACCTACCCCATAACAAACGATTAATTGAGGTTTTAATAAAAATAAACATATACAAATCAGACTACTTTTCTTTTAAATGCTTTTGTTTAGTTGAATGAATGTTACTTGATTTCTCCTGAAATATTATATCTCTATAATGTGTTAAATTAACGTGCTTTCGTTCGTGAATGTTTATGACCAAATAAAATATTTATGCGAATAAATTATACTTATAATACTTAGTTGTCTGAATAAAACAATAACAACCAATAAATGATGTTAGTGTGTTTGTATTTTTACTTATAATTATACCTAATCAACATACTTACAAGATTAAACTTTACGTATGCAATTAGATTTATATACAAGCATTTTGAATTTTGATAAACCATTGAATGGTCAGTTTAATTTAAAAACACTCACTTAATTCAGTCGGTGAAGAAGCTACCGCGGGCTCTTTTATTAAGGGGGTTTGGCTGAAAAAAGCCGACGATACACTCAACAGTTACTCTTATAAACATCGAGTTACAGTATGTTAATAAAACATTATACTCGTATTTCGTAATTCCATCCTCAAGAATCTCTTGAACAAAACAATACCATATTGATTATCATTAGATTTATACAGAACGAATAATAATTGATGTATCATTTAATGTGACATACGCATAGAAGACTAAGTTTTATTATAGGTCTTTTGCCCGCTGACACAGCTCACACGTCTGCACTACGTGTTATATATATATACTATATATATATATACTAACATATATATATATATATATATATATATATATATATATGTTAGTTTTAAGGTATATATTATGCTATGGGTCTCTGTTTACATATTTAAGATCCTTATGTAAATATTGACTGAATTAAATGATTAAATAAAATTATAATTAATCCAAATGACTAAAATAATAGAGCTTTGGCGATTTCATTGATCTAGCTCGATTGTCAGAGACAAATGAGCGAACCAAGCGCAAATCCAACGAGATCCGTTCCCGAACTTCACTTAATTAAATTGATATTTAAGTAAAGCATAATTTGCTCGTAAATTAAGTTAGATTCGTTGTTTATATCCCACTTCGGGCGAAGTACGCAATTAATAAATTAACGTGGATCTACTCGACTTAAGGCGTTCGGTGGGTCTTATACAAAAGGTTCATTAATTACTTTAATAATTATTTATATTTACATGTTGTTAATAGATATGACTTGATAAATAAAATATAGCCTATATCCGTCAGCAGTAGTGTAGTTTTCTATAAGTGAAAGAATTTTTGGGGAATTAGTTTAGTAGTTCCAGAGATTACTTCCTACATACAAACAAAGTTTACCTCTTTATTATAGTTACTAGTAGAACCCGCGGTTTCGCTCGCGCTAAAAGTACAAAAAAAATTGGCTTGAATGCAAAAGGCATTTTTGAAAAGAGCTCAGTAGTTTCTGAACTTAAAGCATTTAAACATATTATAAACATCAGTTTACAATAATAATGTATGAAAGTTTGCCCGATTTGTTGACATTTGTGATTACTGCTCCGCTTCCTTGGGTAGTAGCATGATGATGTATACATATAGCCTATAGCCTTCTTCAAAAAAATGGGCTATCTAATGCAAAAAGAGTTTTTCAAATCGGATTAGTAATTCCTGACATTAGCGCGTTCAAACAAACAAACCCCGCCTCTTTATAATATTAGTATAGATATATGAGATAATTAAGTTTAGCTAATAGCTAGTCGTACTTTTGGAAGCTAAACTTTGTACCACAAATGAACATGTAAACATAACATCTGTGTAAGTAAACTCATTTTGAATTCTGACAAAAAAGGCTTAATAAAAAAGTAAAGAGCTTTTTAATATAAATTTTAATATAAAGGAGTTATGCAAAAATTAAAAAGGATTATTTGTATGAAAATGCATGTGTACTAATAACAATAAGTGTAATTCTGTGTGTGTGTGTAAACAAACATAATATATAAACCATAAATGCAGCGCGCTGTAGGAGCACTACGTGTAAATCACGGCTCCGGTCGCCGTCGACATTATCAAAATGGATGCTCTCTGCGCGTATGAGTTATTTCCATATTTGACACCGAATTACTTTCGAGAAGTGCCGACATAAATACGAGCGGGTGCGTTCGCCGTCCAGCGCTCCAGCGCCCTACGCCCTGCGCCGCCCGCCCTACACTGCGGCCGCCGTGCATTTATTTGATTAACTCTGAGTTGTTTAATTTAATCGAATTATAAGGTAAGCTGGCGCGGGGTGTCCGCTCTCTCTTATTTTAAAGCGCCGAGAACATCTTTACAGCGGTTTCTGCGTAATAAAACTTCGCCACCCTCGTAGTGTGCAAATAACTTTACAATTTCATGAACAGGGGAACAATTAGGCGTCTATGTATTTTTTTTTTCTTTTAGAATTTAACAGCGCCTGTTATTATTTTTATAACGGGTGGTGCTCGGCCGAGATTCATTTCTTCGTTAAAAATGAATTCTTAATTTTATGAAGATTCAGCGCCTTTGCTTTATGATTTGTTAGACAGGTAACTTAAAATATTACTTTTATTTGCTTTTATTACATTGTATGAAATATAATTACATTTGTTATTTCTTCTCATAAACAAAATTAATACGAGCGTTTTTTTAATTGTATGAAACATTGAGTATATACATAGTCAGCTATTACTATTCCACACCTAAGCTGCGATGAAAATCAACTAAGAATATCTTCAAAATAATCCTATACTATACCATCAATATAAATCACAAATGATCATATATTTACTTATAGCTGCAGCACAACACAAAACCACGAGCAATTGCGCGAATATGAATCGATAACAATATTTGTAATCTCGACGCTTCGTAAAGGGGCAAAACATAACAAATAACCGTTTCATTTCACTTTACATGATTGTTCTCGTGTTAGGCGGCGGGGGGAGGGGAGGGGGTGAGGGGGCATATAAGTTAATAAGACATTTAGCAGGGGACGGCGGGATTGCGTCCGAATGGCTCCCGCGGGGAATCATTTTATTCGATTCCGGAGAGCGGCTTTTTTCCGCTTTACGCTCTGTTTAGCGGTTCTCGGAGTTTGCAATCACGGGAATGTGTAATCTTAGAGTAGCCGACGCCCGTCACCTCCGCTTTGCTGACGAGCCTTCGCCCTACCAGCGAGGGGGGACTCGCCGCAAAACATGTGTGATTGCAACTGATAACCTTTTATTTTATCTTACAATAGAAATGTTGAATCATAATTTAATTATTCTGCACGGTTAGCGAAAACCAATGCTTTTATTCAAGGGCTGTTTTTATGAAAAAAATGTTATTTCAATATAAAATTTAAACGAAATAAATACCAGATCACAAAAGTTAAGTACGGTAGGTTTATGATTGCTTAAAAAGGTCGGAAACCATAAAATTTAGAAGCGGTGCCCTTGTTGAAATTATAATAATTTTCTTAAAGGTATACAAAAATATATAAATTTGATAAATTAGGCTTAAAAAGATAAGTTAACACTTAAAGGATATGATTACACCTGTTGGTTGAATTTTGGTATGTAAGTACTTATGAAAATAGTTGTTATGTATAAAGTTATAGATGTTTATAAAAATAAATAGCAGCGTGTAAATAAATTGTGAACACCGACCGAACTGACCGTAAGATGGCTCAATCGCAAAGTGGCTTGTGCCGTTTGCTAAATTTATCGTTCCACGTGAATCGCTTGCGCGTTTTTTACCGAATCGCGATTCCCGCCGGCCCGTTTTAATTATTCATCCGTGTGAGTTATGGTCGAATTAAAAAACTGTTAGAGTCGGATCGGCGCGGCGCCAGCGGGAGCTGTAATCAAGTTAGACGGAATGATGGAGAATACGTAATGATATATCTAAAGCTCTATGATACTGAGGTTTTTTTGTCTCTACATTTTATGAGCAACTGAAACAGGTTATATGTGAGTTATAACTAACAATTTCTAAATACACTTAGCATTTCATCTTTATACCTAAATTGTTAAACTCAATAATCACTATGAACAAAGACTCTACATGATATTCTAAATTATTATCTTATCTACTTGTTCATGCATATTGTTTGTATTTAAGTAATTTAAAAATCTATCTACCACGTTTTAAATTATGACTATATACATATGTTGGAGGATTCAGAAGTCCCATATGAGATAAATACTGATTTATAGATTAAACTAGTACTAAAAATATATATAATACTAAAAAATAAATGTTTAGGCTTTACATATTAGTATACTCTTACAATGCAGATTTTGTATTTTTTCTTATACTAAATGAGATATTTTCCCGCAATAGAAAGTATCCTTTATGTTGACCCGGATAACTACCTATCACCATACCGAATTTCATCAAAACCCCTTCAGTGGTTTTTCTGTGATGCGGTAACAAACAGACAGACAGACAGACAAAAATTCTATAGATTCGGCCTCTGTATCGATAATAATGTTTGTTTCAATAAGATTTTCCCTAAAATATATAATGTACAGATTTGGCGTAGTTACAATTTTATTATATGTATAGATACTGTTTAAGAAATTGCGCATCGCTTGGATTTACCCAATATCGAGTTGTTTCACTATTTCCTTTTATTTGTGTAAAAAACACTTTAGTCATTGTGAATTGTATAAAAAATAAAAGTGTTTCTCAATAATATTGTTGCTTCATATTTAATCAAGCCTTAGTTAGTAATATTCAAGACAAGGCTTTAAATAAACTTACAAAATTACATTAAAATAGTTGCATACAATAGTTAGTACAGTATTAAATTTCCACTTGAGCGGATGTTATTGTGCACAGCGATGCCAACGCGGGGGAAGTAGTTTGCCAGAATCATTTGCAATTTCTAGTTTTCGACTACATTAAGCGGTGAATTTATTTAGCATAATACTCTGTTCGAACATTTGTTTCCATTAGGGCTTTCATTATCATCTGTGTTAACTATCCTGCCATCTTGAAGTGAAATTGTTATTTTATATTGAAATAGCATTGCCCGCGGCTCCGCCTGCGTTCAGATGACCAAAAACCAAATTCTTAGGTTTTACATATTAGTATACTCTTACATTGCAGTTTTCGTATTTTTTCTCAAAAATGAGATATTTTACCGCGGTAAAAAGTATCCTTTATGTTAACCCGGATAACCAGCTATCATCATACCAAATTTCATCAAAATCTGTCCAGTAGTTTTCTCGTGATGCGGTAACAGAGAGACAGACAGACAGACAAAAATTCTAAAAACTATAGATTCGGACTCTGTATCGGTAATGATGTCTATTTCTATTAGATTTTCCAAAAAATATTTAATGTAGAGATTCGACTTAGTTACAATTTTATTATATGTATAGATGATTTTTTAAAACAGTACAATGGATTTGGATCTTTTGAATAATACTTAAAATACTTCATTTCTTTCTACGAGTATATCTAACCTTGAATTTTATAAAAAAAAACTGATTTCGTACCTTTATGCATCTGGCTTTCATGCTTTCGACATTTGGCGCGACGATTTTGAAACCACACCTGCAAATAAAAATGTAAGGTAGGTTCGGGTAATAAGGCCTAGCTAAGGGAGATTTGAAATAAAATAAAAACTGTATACCGAAATCAATTAATTTTAATGTTAAGTATACCAATAGAACCATTACTATAAAATAAAAACAAAAAATGGCAATTTTTGCTGTAAACGAAAACAAAATTAAACATTTTTTAAAACACTATCTAAAGGCCTTTTTATACTATGGTCGGGTAATAAGGCCTAAGTCTTTTTACATACATAAATAATCAAAATATGCATCTTATATTTGGTAATTGCGATCAATAATCATAGATATGCATTAATCACGCATGAAGTCTTAAATAAGAAACAGATTCCTTTGATTAACCGCCGTCAGGACACTCAAAAGTGTCCCTATCATCTGCTGATAAACCAACACATTCCTCTTGATACCACTTGCTGCATTTAGCACATTGCCTTATATCTACCCTCTTTACAACTATGACAGTACCAGCTCACTCAGCTCGCTTAGTACCACTTCTACCTTTGAGATTCGATGTTTGTAGCAAGTATTAAGTATTGGCGTTTTTTCCAATCCTAATTATCATAAACTTCACTCAGTCGCTTAAAGTGATTATCAACAATAAATTTATTAAGCTTTTGAGCTCTGGCCGGGTTCATGAATTGAGCTTTTCTTCTAGATATTTCTGCAGTTTTTTCATGAATGCTTTAAATCAATTTTTCTTTACCTGCAACTCTAGGAGATGGGTTGAAGTTATGCTTGATGTTATTAAAATGTTCGCAAATTAAAGATCAAGCGTCGAGAATCAGTGGTGTCACAGGCAATCCAATTTCAGCGAACTTCATGATTCTCCTTACAAGTTCAGTTTCCTATGGATTTTTGACCTAATTTTTTTTTAAACTGCCGGTCTGAATATGATTCCTAATGGTTCTTCTGGGAACTTTATACTTCTCAGCAGCTTTATAGGTACTCAGTATTCCTCTTTTTACCGCTCGAACAGCCAACACCAAGTTTAGAACTTGGTATATTAACCTGGTAAATTTTCAGACCACAATGCTCGTTCGGGAGGCATTGTGATTGCTGTGACTAAAAAGAGACAATAAACAATTAGTAAACAGTTGTTATTACTTTTTATAACACTCCTAGCTATTTAAAAAAGATACTAACTAAAGCTATGATATTGATACAAAAAGGAGGATAATAAGGCCTACGATCAAATTTTGTAGGCATCGGCAACACGTGTAAAGAAAAATAAAAATAATATGATTCGAACTATGATATTATAATTTAAACTTCTAAGGTTATAAAAGTATGAAATTATAGAAATTTATAATGTAAAATTACATAATTATGTGAAATATTTTAAAAAATACTTACGTTTGTAACTGACGGTTTTTTATTATTCGTGGTGTCACAACCGCATCCCACAATGAAAGATGTCGCACTGGCGATATCACACGAGCCCTTTTGTCGTGACATGTTTGAGGCACCATCTTTGAGTGTTAGCTACCTATGTTTGTGATCTTGAGTAATTCAAACAATTTAAAGTTGAATTTCTAGAGCTTAGGCCTTATTACCCGACAGGCTTTATTACCCGAACCTACCTTACTAATTTTGTGATAACAAGAATATTTATTTTATTTAATATAAAAACGTCTTAAATTAAACGGTTCTATAATCATAAGAAATCTAGATATAAGCGTGTTACGGTATTGTACGATACATGTGCATAAACTGTACGGCGGACTCACAGGCAAACAGCCAAACACGGTTAACCGCATTAGCGAGGAGGGCACGCGCTGTGCTGATTGCATGCAGACAGAGGGATGCAATGCCTACTGCGTTTCGTGGAATATTTTACCAAGATATTACTGGTCGATCGGTTTGAACAAATATGATTTAAATGATCCCTGACATAAAATTAAGACTCACAATAAACTTTTTATAGAAAAGAATCAAATACGATGACACATTTTTCAAACTCCGATAAAAAGAATTGGAAAACTAAGTATTTTATAAGGCCTTTTCTTTTTTTAGGCGTTCCAAATTCAATAAACATTCCAATAAATATATATATATATATATATATATATATATATATATATATATATATATATATATATATATATATATATATCAAATAATATCCATGTTTTAATTCAAAGTTCGTAGAGCTAGTATCACTGATAGTGATACCAATAAACGCCTAGTATTGATTACTGGAATAATGTATACTTGACGTTCAAACATACGACCTTTTTACTCGAAAATGCATTTATTTTCCAGGTCACAAAGCATACGTTTAATTTGATTACGTTGTGTGTATACCAATAGGAATATTTAGCACAAAATGAAGAGGTAAATTTACATGTTTGCTTGCTATTTAGTCGAAATTGTCTAATGTAATCAAAGCTAATGAATTCGCCCCTAGTTAGGTATCGGTCGTCGGCTATAGATGCGACAGTTTGTTTAAATATACAGTAGAGTTAAGCAGACGGTTAAAGTGTCGACTCGAAATGTTTACTTTAGAAATAAGTAACATCGAGCAGTATCTAAGTCTTTGCTTTTATAGTTACATTAATATAAAATATCAACACACACATACACACAATTTTAAATAATTTTTAATCCCTCAACGATCGCGGACACGCCGACGTTACAGTTAACAATAGATTTCTTAGAAATTTAATTAATTTCTTAGAAATTTAGCTGGAGGTGTTAACCACTTGTAAAATATTTTCAGTATATGATACAATTTTCTACAAATACCATAAAACAAATTACAGAATATACATAATGGCCTCACGAACATTTTATATGTATTTTATAGTATTTTTTGAGACATTTCCACCAGCGGATTTTTTTATATCGGTTATAGTTCAAGTATGTATGTGCTATGTTCCAAAGTTTTTTTAAATATTGCGTGTCATTAAATACGCAATAGATATTGGAAAATACAACGTAAAATTTAATAGGATTGAAATATTAATAAACAAAATCGAATAAAGTGCACAAGCAAATATTGCGAACACCTCTACTTGACGCTACGTAAGATGTAGTGCGAGGGTCAAACACTTTTATCTATTTATTCGTTTTTCCCCTAACTGGACATGGGACGGAGCCACTTAACACTGATCGGTCACTAATAGCAATATATTGCCCATAAACTAGAAGTTGTTGGATACTACGTAACTTAATAAGGGAATTAAATGAACTATTAAGTAATGAATCTGGAATAAGGATGTAAGTACCAAGTGTGTAAAGTAAGATTAGAATCTTTTTTTTTAATTTCAACCAATTATATTTCTAAAAACATCTTGTTGGTGAAATTTAAAAAATATATCGCTTTTGCTTGATATTTATGCGCTCGAAGCAAAGCCTTTGCTTCGAGCAGGGTTCATCTTTTCCCCCCCAACGTGCGTTCACCTTGTCGTGGTGGGGGGGCTCAATAGTGCCCGGCAATCCAACCGGGCGCGAAGCTAAGAAACGCACAGGGAGGTTGCCCACTTCGGTGGGCGGTGGGAGGTGGCCCTCTTCGGGGGGGCGGTGTACCATGCGGGTTGCTCCTGGTACTTCTCTGATAGCAGAGTGGACTGTGGAGCAACCCCATGGTTGTGGTGGTCTGCTTCGGCAGACCTCCCGTCGGGGCGTCGTAGTTGAATGCGTAAGCGATCCTGCGACGCCCCATTAAGACGGGGGAAGGTTTTGTTGGGTTTTAGTGGGTAGTACTGGCTGTATTACGCCGGTGAGTCCCACACGTCGTGCGTAAATGCATTTCCCAACGTTAAAAAAAAAAAGGGTTCATCTTTTGCGACCAAAAAATATCCTATGCATTTGATGTACCGGGCTGTACGAAAGAACCCATTGTCACTAACCGGCCTATAAATTGTCTTTACGAGTATGTGGAAAACCACGAGGCTGCATGAAAGAAGGCGAACCTAAGAACCATACTTTTGTATTTATAATATCTGCAATGCAAGGACAGTATATAATTCTATATTTTATTATGCTTTTAAAAAGCTTTTTTTAACCGACTTCAAAAAGAAGAGAGGAGGTTCTCAATTCATCGGAATCTTTTATTTTTTATGTATGCTTCCCAATTACTCGAAGATGCCTGGGCCGATTTGGAAAACTCTTTTTTTGTTTGAAATAATGATCCTAGAGAAATCAAGGGAACTTTCAAATTTTATAGGCACACTACTTGTCTACACTAAAAATTCCGGACAAGTGCGAGTCGGACTCGCGCATTGAGGGTTCCGTACAAATTTGTAGGAAATCTGTTTAACTTTAATTTTTCACTTTTTTTATTTTTTGAAAGTTTCCTTTATTTAAACTATAACACCTTGATTTTTGCCAAATTTCTTGATTCTAGGTCAACGGGAACTACCATATAGGTTTTCGACCCAAAACCTATAGGGTACTTCCGGTTGACCTAGAATTGTCAATTTTGGTTAAAAGCAAGGTAAGACCTTGCTTTTAACAACACAAGTAAACGGAAAATTCCAAAAAATGAAAAAAGTTGATAATTAAGGTAAACTTTGGTATTAAAAGTGTTCGCGAAAACCTAAATTTGCCCATATCTTTTTATCGTGTTGACTCAGGACCTTGATTTTTATACACCTAATAGACTATAGATCTCAGTATCTGGTCTAAATTTCAACTTGCTAGGGCTACCCTTTCCTGAGAAAATCGGTGGTGACAGACGGACAGACAGACAGACGGCCAAGCGAGTGATATTATAAGGGTTCCTTTTTTTACCTTTTGAGGTACGGAACCCTAAAAATGAAAAAAAATTGACTGACTTTTGTAAGAAAAAACCGACTTCAAAACACTAAAAAGTAAAAAATAACTAAATGGGAATTTTCATTTACTTATATATATACATCCAGAGAAATTTTTACTATTAATGTATGTTGAGTTTCAACTGTATTTTTCATTCGATTTGATCAATTTAAATGTTTGTATTAAATTTGTATAATCAAAAAGTTACACTAAAACCTTTTTAACTGTTCTCGAAAAATACGAGTTAATCTATACAGATCTCAAAATTATTGACACACTTGTTATCACAAACAGTCCTCAAAAATATTTTTTTTTTTTATCTCAAGAAGATGGAAATTGAGCAAATATAAAATCTGTATTTTTGTCACTCCATATCCCCTATTATTGGACAGTATGTACTTAACGGCTACGTAACACTAATAGCGATATATGGCTGATAGAACTCTTGTTGGGCGGTAATTACGTGCATTAGTAATAAGGGTCGCAGCTATACGCTACACTAAAGCAAAGGGGAATCCCGTACTGCTAATTGATATCGCACGTGATGATTTTAAAGTGTTATGTTACTTTGATATTATTTCGATTGCTTATTTCATATTGTGGATGGTTTTAGTATATAGTTAATCTTACTACTTGCCTGTTGTTAAACGATTGGACTCATTAGGAACTTTATAACCATCTATCCATCGATCTATATTTTGTCTTCTCAGTAAAATGACATTATACCTCCTATGTTTTAAACTTTAATAGAACTTATCTCAACAATAGAAAAGCGAAAAGCTTTAGAAACATTAACAGTTTTTTTTTATTAAGTATAATACATATATATACTCACAAATAATAAATGCAATTTAATTCTTTTGCTAGAAATAAGCAAATTTTAAGTTATTGTCATTAAAGTAACAATTAAATTCAAATAAAAAATAATATAATTAGATAAGAGGAATCATCAGTTATTTTAATTATTTTTGTTACGTAAATTTGCGTAAATATATTTATAACAACCTACTGTGTCTGTATCACAAAGAATTTATTGTTGACATATTATTAAAATTGTTTCCATAATTATTTTCATTTTGTTAATTTCTGGTCCCTAATATTTTACTTACTATGTTGCAAAACTAAAAAATAAATTTATTGCTAATCGTGAAACCATTGGTGTATAACTAATAATTTTGCATTGTTTTAGTTTTTGCTACTGGCGCTACATTGCCGCGATATTTATAGAATATTGAGATTTGTGAAATACCAATGGGTCATGGTCACATTTCAAAAATCAAAGGTCCAATATCTTTTCACACCATCATTTTTACAACATACGCGTAGTACAGTGTTGCATCTGTATATTAGACTGGCACTGTCTGCTACGCAGGAGCTCGCACAATCGATTTCCATATGAGTTGCAATTTGATATCGCTCATATGGATATTTGCTGTCACTCCTAAAGTACTGGTTCATCCCTGTCTATACTTATTAGTTTACTTAAAACATTCGCTGGATAAGTACTATGTATGTACCCAATAATGGACATTACATTTTTTTTTCATACCTGTACTCTAGCTTCACTGAGTCCAAGACGTTGGCTTAGTTCCTCGCGCATGAAAGCATCCGGGTAGTGAGTTTCGTCGAACAGCCGCTCCAATTCGCCGAGCTGCTCCAAGGTGAAATTTGTTCGAGAGCGTCGCTGTTTTCCTCCGCCTGTTCCATTGTTGATTCCGCCATTTGACTTATCAGTAAAGTCTAGGGTGATGAAAATATACAAAATTGTAATATAAAAGTCGTAAAATATTGGTATAATAAAATGTTAATTGAAAAAAAAATACTATAAATTCATACATATAATAAAATTCTAACTAAGCCGAATCTGTATATTAAATATTTTTTGGAAAATCTTATTGAAATAGACATTATTATCGATACAGAGGCCGAATATATAGTTTTTAGAATTTTTGTCTCTGTCTGTCTGTCTGTTACCGCATCACGAAAAAACCACTGTAGGGGTTTTGATGAAATTTGGTAAGGTGATAGCTGGTTATCGGGGTCAACATATAGGATACTTGTTAAAGCGGGAAAATACCTCATTTCTGAGAAAAATACAAATCTGCAATGTAAGAGTATACCTACTAATAACGTAAAACCTAAGGATTTGGTTTTTGGACATCTGAACGTGGGCGGAGCCGCGGGCAATGCTAGTATACTATAATAAATTTTTGATTTCAGCATATGGTCGAGTAGTTTACTTATATTTTATTTTACTGATATTATGAATGTGGATATGTGTTTGTTTATTAATTACTAAAACGAGTATGATAAAACTTAGTGATGTTTTCCTGACCGATTCCGGCTACGGCGGCCAATCTCATTGAGACTAGCCAACTGCGCAGGAGATATTATAGTGCACAAGTGCACGCGCAGACACAAGTGCACTCTCTATTCCTGTCACTCTCATACTCCGGTGGGACGACCACTCGACACGACCGGTGAAACAACTTAGTAATACATATCTAAAGGGATTTAAGGGAAAATCAGAAAATTTCTACAAACTCTACATAACTCATAATATGTGTCCATTGATTTTTTTAGTACTAGCGACTTTCCCTCACTTTGCTCGGGTGGTTCCTTGAATTTACCTTTTTGTTATAGATTTCATTGCTTAACGCATACCTATTTTTTCAGAATTTAATAAAACAAATTACATTTTTATCGGAATAAATATGTCGTATAGCACTCGACGACAAAATAGCTCGCTAGTGTAAGACAATGAAATATTTTTCTTGTATTAATCGTTATATTGTCAGTATTTTTTTTTATATAATGGCTTATATATTTTTTTTTATATGGCTTATAGTTGCGTTAACAGACACAATCCATTCTGCCAGTGTCATTGTCAGTAATTAATAAAATGTATACACAAGTAAAAATCATACGTCCCGCGCCAAACGTTAAAATATATTCGTCATCATACTTTTCCTGCCTGCCTGGCACATGTGTAGACGAACACCACAGGGGTTGTACGAAGGCGCTTGATTTCTTCGACTAAACTAGCGGCGCGTAACACTATATTATCTATAATCTAAGTATATAATTTCGATTTAGTAGTTTCAAAAGTTACTCCCTACCTCCAAATTTACGAACTTTACCTCTTTATATTATTAAGTATGTATTCCTTAGTAGTAGTAAGTAACAATACTTAATTATTTTTATTATTTATACCGTGATAGATAAAAAATATATTTAAAAGTGCAACTACTGAGCTTATGGCCGCCATTTCTCATCAGAATTGTCAACGGAACTGGTAATAGCCTCCCTACGGACTTCAATACTGACATATTTAATGTAAAGACTGACTCAAAAGTGCTTGTAAAAGTCTATTTCATTAACTTGAAATAAACACTTTTTTGGTTTTGATTCGGGCAAGGATCAGTATATGTGGGTTATTTTTTCAATCTTTAAGCAAGAGTTCCCTTGGAAAGGATTTAAGTATTTTAAATATTGTCAGAGTTCAGACCAATCATTAACTTCCATTTTATTCACTGTATTAATTAATCATTAAGTACGCTAAATTATTTTTCCAATGCATATAATTGTTAAATTTGTTAAAATTAGATACATTGTGAAATGATTAAGCTGTGCTTAAAGTTGTACTAAATTAAAACAGGAGTAAAAGGTATTCCAATAAAACTACCTTACCAAGTACTTACTATAACTTAATAGTGAAATGGAACATCTTAATCGAATAGATTGCTATTGAGAGAATCAAAGTGCTAATAGGGTTGGGGACGTTGAAGCTCGCTCGAGACGGTGACGAACGAGCAGGCGATACGTTTAAGATGTCGTTTGAAGCAATTTAGCAAATTGGGAAGCTTTCCTTTTTATACGGCAATTATGTAAATGGAGGGATTATCCAAACGTGGGCGGCGCTGCGGGCCACACCCTCTCCCCTTTCGTCCCCGGGGTATTTTAACTCCTTAAGCATCTAAGACTCACGAACGGTGATTAATTGTGGAACGACGCTCAGAATGCCCCCATTAGATACTCAATGATTTATCCCATAGAAAAGCTCTTCCCAACAGCTATTAATAAAGTCATCTGCGCAATTAATTTGTTATGTTTTTGTATATTGCAATGAATTAATTAAATAATATTACTAGCATTGTTCGCGGCTCCGCCCGCGTTCAAATGACCAAAATCCAAATTCTTAGGTTTTACATATTAGTATACTCTTACTTTGCAGTTTTTGTATTTTTTCTCGGATATGAGATATTTTCCCGCTTTAAAAAGTATCCTATATGTTGACCCGGATAACCAGCTATCGCTATACCGTTATTTTATCAAAATCTTTCCAGTGGTTTTTCTGTGATGCGGTAACAGACAGACAAAAATTCTAAAAACTATAGAGTTGGCCTCTGTATCGATAATATTGCCTATTTTAATAAGTTTTAAAAAAAAAATTAATGTACAGATTCGGCTTAGTTACAATTTTATTATATGTATAGATTAGTGGGTCTCATAGGCAGATGTTTACAGGCTGAAGACTAAAAATTTAGGATTACTTTTTTTATGTCAGTAATCTCCAATACAATACAAAATCATTCTTAGATCTCGATAAGAGCAATACCTAATGTGTCCTACTATAGCTAGAAACATCGAGGTGACCCCCCATAAGTACACAAAAGAAAAATCGTCAAAATCGGTCTAGCCGTTTTGGAAAAGGACTACGATCACACGCACATTGGTATTTTATATATAAAAACATAGTATGAAGCGTAATTTTAAATATTAGATCTTTACATATGTATGAAATTAGCGTTTAGTCGAACTGGCCACTTTGATCTCAAATATCTGACGTTTGGTTAGGAATTCCAAATTCAAATTTATTTTAAATTTAGACTTGTGTATTTGTTTCGAATCAAATTAGTGACTTATTTGTTTTCGCGCCATTTGATTTTTCTTTGACATCGTTCTGTTTCCAATATGAAAAACTTAAAATATCGCGTGTTTTACGAATACGTGTTCCACCGTGGCACCAGCACTGAAGAAACACCTCGAAGGATTAATGATGTGTATGGGGAAAGCTACTGTAAAAGTAAACAAGGTATGTTTTTGGTTCCAACGTTTTCGTTCAGGAAATTATGATCTATAGAACAAACCCCGTGGACGGTTGGAAACCCTAGTTGACAATGAAGAATTAAAAATGATCGCGGAAGCGGATCTATCGCAGACCACATCAGAGTTAGCGGCAAGCTTCGGTGTGAGTGAAGTAACAATTTTAATTCACTGAATCACTGGAAACAAATAGAAAAAGTGAAAAAGCTCTAAAAATGGGTAGCTCATGAATTGAGTGAAGCACAACAACAAACACACGTAAAGCCCTCCGATACAGTACTCAACCGTTACAATAACGAGGGGATTTTGAATCGTATTGTTACTTGTCATAAAAATGGATCCTGTACGATAATCAGAAACGCTCATCATAATGGTTAAACCCAGAAGATCCAGCCAAATCCTGCCCCAAGTGAAATTTGACTCAAAAAAATCTACTGGTGAGTATCTGGTGGATCAGTGCTGGTGTCATCCACAACAGTTTCATAAGATCTGGCCAGATGATTGCGGCAGATCTGTATTGTTAACATTTATAAACCATGATGGAAAAGCTAGCCGTTAAACAACCGAGACTGGTCAATTACTTTAGGCCAACGCTAGCCCAAACATTGCAAACAGACCTACCTATTTGCGTCTAAATCCTAACTTCAAAAGAACCCAGCCCAGGTCAATAACGTTCCGATGTAATCCTATTATATTAAACGAGTAATTTTTATATAAATGTATACATATAAATTTATTTTTTCTATCTCGGAAACGGCTCTAACGATTTGGATTAAATTTTGTATTTAAATAAGGTTTTGCTTTTTAAGTTTATCTATATGGGTGACTTTTCTTAAAAAACGCAATTTTTACACTTTTTTCGAAAAACAGGTTTTTTTTGTTACAATAACTTTGTTCCGGTACTAGAAAGTTATAAGGTATAAAGGTCTGTTTTGGTATTTTATATGTTGACTCAAAAGTCTCATATAACCTGTTATTAACATTACACTCACAAGTATCATAAGTCAAAGTTCGTTAAAATAAAATATGTTTGGTAAATACTCTTTTTTTAGTAGGGGAGCCCAAGAGGGGATTTTCTGTAGTCGACTATAAAGTTTATGATGATTTTTGCCTCTTAGGCTTGTGCAAATCGGCAGATTATTAAATTGGACACTTTTCAGGATGTGACTAGCCTACCATACCTTAATCTGACGGTTTCAAGTATTTTTACCTTATCAAAACATTTTTTAAATATTTTAATCGGCTTCCCTAGACGCGACCCTTTATATAGAAGACTTATATTGTGGTGAAAGTACTCAATAGAGTGCAAGGTAACCTCTTTTATGTTAATCTGCCGCGCTCGAGTAACTACAGAAAATCCCCTCTTGGGCTCCCCTACCATTCCTTGATCAAGATGAGATTTGGTCAATACAAAATTGTAGAGCATAAAATTCTCTACAGGTCTAAAACAATAAACCCTTCAGCTCAGCAAATCTTGGCATGAAGCGCAAAGCCACTCTTTGCTTAGCAAAGCGCTTATTTGTATGTATTACTAGTATTTGATCAAGAGTCTTATTTAGTTTACTAAAAATAATAAGTAATATATATAAATATTATTCTCCAGTTCGCCCAGTGTTCCAAATTTGACCATATATGTATAAGTCTGGAGGTGTCCTGGGACACTAGGTAGGACCGCAGATGCATTCGCTATAAAATTTTGAATAAAAGAATATATGTATTAATATTATAATTTAAAAAACGTTGGTATTGATTTTGTAAAATTAAATTTGTTGAAAAAATTACTCTTATTCTGCATAATTGTTAAATGAAATATCTAAAAAGATAAAAAGACGATAAATTAATATACTCGTAAGTAGGATACGGATAATGCCAATATAGATTTATTGGACTAGCGACTTGCGTCCCTGGGTACGTCTTAAAAGTTGAATATAAATAGTTATCGCGAGTGTGCCCTCGGAGATAGAGTCATGCTTTTTTAGTCGAACTTTTTTCTGTAGGCCTTTTTAGGTTAAATCTTGTTAAACCTAACAATATGTTTAGTGTAGTAAAAGGTGTACTAAATAGTGCCTCGAGTAATAAGTTATCATTACACAAAAAGTAAAAATCGCTTAAATTTTAATAACTATTGTTTTGGGGTGTGTATTAAGGTAAACAATATGTTATAGTCATTGTTTTAAAAAATATTTCATGTAAAGATTTTGCCAAGTTATTGTTTTATTATATCTATACATTAGGAAGCCAAAAGAGCAACTGCTTTACATCTAAGCCATTATCTTATAACATGAAAATATACGTACATGCTGCACATATGTATATATATACATATATGGATTTACAAAATATGCGGGTTAATTTATATACTTCATAATATATCATTTAGTAAACTTGGTACATCTTCATATTATATTTCTTTTAGGATAATGTTATAAAAATCTTAAAATGCGAGCTCCTTTTTTTTTTTTAAGAATACTCATGTAGATATGTAATATATCTATTTGATTTTATTATTTTAAATATTTGTGTGTTAATCAACTTATATTAAAAGATTTCTGTACACAAACCAAATTATCATTTATAAATACGAGGTTGCGCAGACATTCGTCAAATAATTGGCCATTTTCTATAGGTATAAGTCAAAAGCTTAATGTCAATTTACCTATACTTAACAACAAAAATAATTCAAATTTATATGCAACAAATAAAACATTTACCTACTTAGAGAAAACGCGAAGTAAAAAAACACCATAAATACAAACCGTGTTTATGATCATCGTCGTCCTCCTCTCTCTTATAATTTTGTACGGGTACAGGGGAAAGAAGCCAGTTTCTTGGCCTTTTTGCTGGTGGCGCCTTTTCTTCCAATGCAGTGATATCCACTTCTTCATCCACATCATCATGATCACCGGGCTCCGGAGGTGGCGCGGGTGCTTCGCCCCCTTCCAGCGATTTGCTGACGAAGTCCGCCAGCCGCTCCATCACCATTACTGCCCCGAGCACGCGACCGCACGCGCGGCCATCGCTCGCCACGCTCTACGGAACACACTGCAGCGGAGGCGTTTCAAACGCCTACACTACCACATAAACAACAACCCCATCTCAAAAGCAACCCTAATCTTAATTAAAATTCGGTTCAATTTTGCATTACAGCATATTTAGGGCGGAAAATAGACCCCGCCCCAGTTTCGCGCACGCGCCCGCCCTAGCATTTCCTCCGTGCAGAAACACTGAAGTTGCCGACGGCGAATAATACACGCCTACATTATCGTTATATTGAAAATGAATTTTTTATGCGGTCCTTTTGTGTTGTGTACTGATGTAAATCTTATTGTTAGGTGTGAAACGTTTGGTGAATCTAAAAATTTTGTGTACTGACGGTTACAAGACTGCTTTGTTTATTTAGTATTTCAAAATAAAGGTAAATGTTATATGCACCTACACTTTTCATTCTTTTTCGTTACGTAATATATTATAGCATGTTAATACTAGATAAGTCTCATTTACTGTAAATTAATTTTAAATCAAATCTTGATATTTAAGGATCTAAAAAATTCTGTGATTGAAAAATTTATTTTAAAATATTTTATTGACAAAACATCTATAAATATTTAAGCTACACTAATAATATCTAAAATAAAGAGTTAAATTTAAAGAGTAATAGAAAAAAGGAATAAAATCAGCAAAATTGTATAAAATTTTAAGCATCAAATCCAGCGATTCCATTAAAAAAAACCTTTATACTTTAAAAGCTTAAGTAAAATTGGGAAAAATTATGCAATACATTAAATAATAGCCGCTGTTACTCCGAACCCAAGTCGAAATTTGTCATTAGGATGATTAAGAAGTGCAGAAATGGCGCATGCTAGCTGCGCGTGTTTGCCTCCCAGAGCTCTCTGCAACGTAGCGCCGACGAGCCCGTCGGAGTCCACAGAACTTCGCACTGTCCACTTATCAGTATGCCACTCATATGCTAACGTCGCTACAGCTCGCCGTATAGCAAATCCTACCTGGAATGCAAAATACAAAATATTGTCTATACATTTGTTACATTGTACATACATATGTGTAACAGGCTGTACAAAGGTTTTATTTTGTAATTAAAGTTTTTGGCAATATGTTGGATATGCTAAACAGCCCTCTTTACCTCAAGCATAGCAGCAACAGTAAGAAAAGGCTTAATTGCTCTTGCATAGCATAAGTCTAGGCCTCTATTGCCGAGGGTCGCACTGATTGAATGGTCTTCGTTCATCCAACGCGCTGAACCCGACGCTGAACTCAATTCCGCAACTTGTCCTCGAGCTACGAGCTCGGCGCCAACGGATATATTTTCTGTTATTGCCTACAACATTGTACATTGTATAGTTTAATTAAATAGTTTAATTGTTTTTAAGTACTATATTAAAAAATAACTAACCTGTAAATAATGTAGAGCAATAAACTCTCGATTAACAGCAATAACAGAGGCAGTAAATGTATTGAAATAGGCATCAAATATGCTCTCGAAACTGTAGAATTCGTTATCAGCTATCTGTGCCACCACCGTTGCCCTGGTCCCCTGTGTTGGTCCTACGCGCATCTCACAACTCATTTGACCACCTGGTGCAGCTTCCATAAAGAAATAAGGTAATGCTATAGGCTTATTTTTATCAACGTATGACAATAACACCTTGTATCCTCCAGGAGTTACTGAACTAAATGACATAGAATGTCCTAATACCCAATTATTTATAGAACTTTGCTTAACTGATATACAAGCGCCTTCAAAGCATTGCGGTAGCCTGTAACGAGCGGCGTTATGTATATAACGAAGTAAGCCAGGATTGATTGCACCCGTTGGTAGAGCTGGTTCTTTGTCTCTCTCGCATATGCGACCCGTGCGGGAGCCTGTTACACCAGCCCCTGTTATTCCTCGATCACCTGCAGATTTAGTTGATTCGGGTCCTAGACATGCACATTTTTTAGGTGGTGCATCCCCTCCGGCTTTGTCAACTGATGGTGGACATGGGGCATAATTTTCTTTTCTAGGGCTACTTGTTCCAGAACATGGATTTGATTTTGCATAAATTGTTTCTATATTAATTAACTTTATCAGATCAGATAATGAAGGTTTAAAATTAAAACACTTTGCTTGGTTTCGAGTTTCATACATTATTTTGATAGTATTTATTTAAAATATAAAATGTAAAATTGCGATTTTAAAAATAAAATATCATTACTGTCAGAATAACTGTTAAAATATTTTTTCGTAAATAGAACGAGTTGATACAACATGTTTGAGTCCAAAACAAATTTATTTTTATTGTAGGTATTTTAAACTGTATCAATTTCTATACTCATTTTTAGTAAATCAGTTAATCTTAGAGATACACGACGCTTATACGAGTAACTTGTAAGAAAAGATGTAATGTAACAATTTTGAAAATGTAATAAGAAAATTAAATAATCTGTTATATTGTCTGGTTAAGGGATTTTAAATGCGACTTTATTGATGATGATGGCAATAGTAATAATAAACCTAATAAAATAATTGCTAAACCTTTTCTCATATTAAATAGAAAATATCTTAAAATATATAAGTACATATCAAAATCCGTAAGTACAAATAACCTGTCTAGAGCTACACACTTTATATAGATTTAAATGTAAATGCGAAAGTAAATTGTTTATTTTTTTGTTTGTTTGTTCGCCCTGGAAAAAATTAATGGCATTGAAAATTAAATTGAAAGGCTACTTAATATTAGCCTATTGCTTAAATATTATAAAAGAAAAATAATAACAAATTTACGCGCTTAGAAGAGTTAACAGCAGTTAAAACTTAAAGCGGTAGATATTCTGACCTGATTCATAGTATAAAATATAATTTTAAAAATTTAAAAATATTAATTTTTATATTTAAAGTAACCGTTTAGATATAAAATAAAAAAACTCAAGGTAGTGTTAAAAATATATTTCTACGATCAACCCAGTGCTGCCAGCACTTAAAATTTTATCCCTCTAAAAGTAATTTCAAAAACCTCTAAAACCCCCAAGTTTAAAGTATACATAAGCTATAAAGCGCGCGCTAGCAAGTATGAACTGTAAGCACGGGTATGAACAGCCTCGAAATAGCAAGAGCGACGCTATTAGCTCCTAGAGTTTTTTTGTTCTGTGACACAATCGAAAAGGCATTTGACGCGTATACGTAAATCCGAAGTCGTCGTCTAGCAATTAAACCGTTTTGATACTTTAATATTTTTTACGATTCTTTTACTTTCACTCTCATGGATTTGTAAAATTCAATATTACCAAGAACTTTTTTTAGTAATAAGTTAGGTACCTACCACATCCTCATTATTTACTTGTTCGTTAGTCACCACACTTGTTCCGTGGTGTGATGGTCAAATTATACTCCAAGTAACTGTTACCTACTCTTATTTCTAAAGTGTTAGTGCCTTATTGCAGTCTCCTAAAGTTACCGTGTCTCGTAAAATAATTGCAATTAATTCTTACTTTATAGCTAATAAATATTTTTTGACTAGACTTGTGGCCGTTGTATCTAAATTGCCACACCAATGTTTATGTTGCTAAGTATTTTTAGACACTTTTTTATGGTACTCAGTGATAAACAAGCAGACAGCCCACCTGATGGAAAGCGGTACCTACCTGTCGCCCATAACACCTATGGTTCATGCACTTAGGTATTACGTAAAAAAACTACAGAGCCGCCAGTACGTTATCACTGTGAGGACTAAGAAAATATGCCTCTTACCTATAATTGCGCTGGCTACCTTATCCTTCAAACGGAAACACAACAATGCAATTATTGTTGCTTGGCGGGAGAAATAGATAAGGCGATGGTACCCATCCAGTCGGACTCCACAGAGTCCTACCACCGGTGAAGCCTACTTACCATATACTATAACTCAATATGATGACTTTAAATGAAATACAAGTTTCTTACTTTATCAAATTACACACAATACCCATGATATACATTACATATTGTATTATACAACAACTAGCATTGCCGCGGCTTTGCCCGCGTTCAGATGACCAAAAACCAAATTCTTAGGTTTTTTCTTAGAAATGTGACATTTTCCTGCCCTAAAAAGTCCTATATGTTGACCCGGATAACCAGCTATCACCATATCAAATTTCATCAAAATCCCTCCAGTAGTTTTTCTGCGAGGCGATAACAGACAGACAGACAGACAGACAAAAATTCTAAAAACTATCCATTCGGCCTCTGTATCGATAATAATGTTTATTTCAATAAGATTTTCCAAAAAATATTTAATGTACAGATTCGGCTTAATTACAATTGTCAATTTTATTTGTGTGGAGCCCTCCTTTCGAGAAATCTTCCCCATTCTTTTATTTCGTGTCTTCTTTTTTTTATTGAAATGACATAGACAACTGACAGTAGATGTCATAAACAGATAATGTCATCTACTGTCAGTTTTGATTGACGTAATTGGGATTTTTGTCAGGATATTATACATTTATGATTCATAGTTTTTACTGTAACTAAACATTAGTAAACATGACGAATAAATTTAGTGCAAAATTTTTAGAGATTTTTAAAAACCTCAAGTCTGATGCTGTACCACGCCCGCCACGACAAAGGGAATCATTCTCGAGTCCGGAAACACCACCAGCAGAATCTTTTAACGAAAATGTAACTAACTCGCATAACCAAGAAGATCAGTTTGGTGAACAAAATGATTCGAAAAAGAAAAACAAAAAACCAAAATTTAAAAAATCTTTTTCTGCGCCCCCGATGGATACTCCTGAGGATGAGGAAGATAAACAAAGAAGTAATGGTAGCAACGTTAATACTCAAGGTGAACATTTTTCGTCCTTCAAACAAACATGCCATTATTATAATATCTTATTAATGTACAATGGTTAAGCAGAGAGACTTATAGTATACTAGCAGTACCCGCGGCTTCGCTCGCGTTCCAACTACTAAAAAAACACTCTTTGGCTTTATGTTATAACTAATAATAATTTGATGACACACCGACTGCAGCTCCACCTATCAAGCCCATTCGTGAATTCAAACCTTGCAGGGACCCACTCGAATGTACAATAAAAAATATCATTAAAATTGTCCCTGGTGTTTAGGAGAAGATCAGCAACTGACATCCCGACGGCAGCGAACCTTCCGGGTCTAATTGTATTGTCAAACCATCCAGGAACCCATTGATATATACATACAAAATTTCATCATAATTGGTCCAGCCGCTTAAGAGTAGTTAGGTGACTGATACATGTGCAGAAGGATTATTTATATTAAGATAATAAAATCATTTATTTTTTTATTGACATTGTCAGTCATGCAATATTATGATGGAAGTCTCCTACAGTGTTTAATAAAATTATTTGTTATTAGCTAGTGGGAATGTTATCAACATTGTAAACTCCAAAAATGTGCGTTGTGGAAATGAAATTGTATATTATATGGGGCCAGTTTATGGTCAACCTAGCCGATCGAAAACACCACCAAGTGATGATGATAATGACGAACCTATTGTAAAAACCAACCTTATTGTTCTACTACTAGAAGCAAACCAAAAGGTTAGTAAAATATAAATTAAAAAGGTAGGTGGTACTTTAAACAAAAATATAATATCAATTCTTTAATTATCTTTTAGGTTGAACATGAATACATGGATTACATATCAAAAAATCTTGGAAAGAATTGGCACAATTTTTTTAGACGATTGGGTTATACACAAGGACAAATAGAAACAGCTGAAATAGATATGGCTAAATATGGAATAGCTGAAGTAAAATATGTTTTATTTTGTATTATCATAATTATTTTATAATAATGTGGCCTTGAATATTATATGTCATCTAAACATGAAAGCTATTGAATGGGAATTACATATTATTCCTAACTATTTTTAGGTTTATTAAGAAACATCCATTCTTGTTGTTGAAGTCAAACAAAGTTGTCAGTGTCAATTAGACAAATCTAATTCAATTATTACCAAAAAAAAATTATTTTTCAACACCACAATTGCTCTCATTATCAGCTAATTTAATATATTATATTTAAGTACTTGAACTTATCCTTTTTCACAGAATTCTCCTCTCTTTTTAGTGAGCTCCGTATAATTGATTTAGTTTTGTCTATAGCAAAGAAAGACTACATAAAATAATATATATAAGTTAAACAATTCTTTTTGGATAAGCCAACAAAGTTGCTACGTAAAGATAGTAAAATAGTAGTAGGAAAAATGAACAATATTGTTGTATGTGCATTTTTTAATAAAGCATTGTCTATTATAGGCACGGTACAAATTACTTTTGGACTGGGTAAGGAATGATGATGATGGTACACTAGGCAAGCTGGCAAGAATTTTATGGGATGATGGAGAAAGACAAATGGTCAAAGAATTAGCAGCCTTGTACAGTGATAATAAATGATACAGATAATATAAGCTGATAAAATATCACTCTTCACATAATGCATACGTTCTGCCAATAATGTTAGTAATTTTTGGTCATGTGTATATGACTTTTTAATCCCCTTTTTTTGCATTTTATACTTTCACCAAACTATTTTTATATACATTTAATGTAAGAATCTTTTTGGAATATATTAATTCTTTATATGAATGGTGCAGGCAAACCGTAAAGAACAGGGAATATCACAATGTTTGTTTTATTATAATTTTTTGTACTGGTAAGTAATCTATGACTATGGCAATTGCATTCCCAACCACTGGTTTTTACAAATACTCAATGGATGCCGCTAAAAATATGTTTTTACCTATGCCTAAAGAAAAATGAAGTGTGAATTTCTATGACATACCGGTAAAGAAGGAGGATTGTCAAAAAATGTACATAGTTAAAAGTTACTGCATACTTTGATCTCAATAAAAATGTTATAACTTCTAAACTTTAAATAGCTTTTTTCTCATAATATATTCATTAGGACATTCGCTGTTCTTTGCCTGTATCCTTCATGTGCTTAGAGTACAATATATTTTCAAGGTGTCATACTTAGTAATTAGCTTAGTCTGATGGTGATTTTAGATTTTGATATGTAGCTTATATAGATTATATTTATAGGGCAAAAAATGCATTAAGTCATGGTATGTAGGTTATATCACAATATTAGTAGTGCAAAAGTAGCCTAAAACATTTAAAATGAAATATAATTAATAATTTCATTCATTTAAAAATATTATTAATATTTAAATTTTATTGTTGTATATTCATATACAATATGTGCAATTATTGACGAAATTATTCCCGATCCTTAATTTTAGGCCTCTTTTGCACTATTACATAATTATAAATAAAATGTAAGCTACAATAAGTTCCCATCTAATTTTATAAAATTATAACTAATAAATAATGACTAGCACAAAATTTTATTCCATTAAGTATTAAAAAAGTACTAAAAGTACATAGTATACAATTGTGATATTAATAAATCAACAATATATTTTTTGATAAATTTTTCTCGCCTGAATTTTTGATTAGCTTTTGTAATTATCTAGTCATATAGTGAAACAAACAAAAATGATATTTAATTAATAATATATTAGTAATAAAGGATTTATAGATGTACATACCTATAATAAATGAAATTATTCAATAAATAATATTTTAATTTTTATATATGTATTTGGTTATTCTGTATTATTATGGCTGCGACTTAGTCATGATGGTAAACTCATACCTTTTCCCTAGATGATAAAAATACTAATTTGATTATAATATCAATGACTAGCAAAACTCGCGGGTTCGCTCGTGCTAAAATTACAAAAAAACTAAAAAGTGGGTTTGAAGGAGGAATGCGTGTGCAAAAATTAAATTTTCTAGCCTTAAGGGTTTGGCCTGTGCGTTGATATATCAGTTAATCACTTTTGCCTTTTATATATATAGGTATACGTATATTATACCTAGTCGTTATCACTACTTAGAATAATGCAACATCTTTTGTTATTTGACTATGTCAAATCCACACCTTTCTTTTAGTCGGCTTATAATTCCTGATAATAAAGTTAAAATAAAATATAAAGAAATATGTTAAAAACAAACTTTTATTTAAGCATACGTAGTATAAACTCGCGTCATCTAAAAAGAACGCTGGAAGAAAGTGGAGAGGGTATGTTAAATGTTTGCGCATGGGTATACTCGCGCACAAAAGTACTAAGCCTATTATTTTATTTTTCATAGCATTTCGCTCGCGGCTTCATATATTAGTTATTGGTAGGGACATTGAAAAATATATTAGATAGAATATCATTAAATAGAATTCTATTAATAATTAAAATATGTTTGATTCAGTGCAGAATGTTTAATCTACTTACAAAAAATTAAATTAATACGTTTAATACATTTTTTCTTATTATTAACTGCATTATTATTAGACTCTCTCTTTGTAAAACAATATACATCAAAAACAATTTTTCTCTTTTCTATATATAAAACCATTTCGTAATTAAAAACTTTTGTGTGCGCGATGGTATTTCGAACTGACGAAGTAATAGCGCGCCGGCAAGCATGCGGCGCGTGCCCCGCTGCCCCGAGCCGCCCCGCGCCCCGCTTCTTACCACCAATTTGACCGATAAATCGCTTCTGCACAGTTTGACAGCTGTCATCCATGTTGACAGCCAGCGTTCTTTTTAGATGACGCGAGTTATACTAAAACAAACAACAGTAATTTCGTTAAATCAATATTTAAGGCCATTAGCCTCAAAAAACATGTCTAGTGACGTGTCTAAGTAGGTATGTAAAACCCACTTCGTGCGATAAAGTTATTGGAAACCAATAAAATAAACGAACAATTAAGTATTTGTTTTAGTACATAGCTTAAATAAAATCTTTTTTTTTTAATTATTCCCCGTTTTTGTTTTCACAAGTATTGAGTAGTATCATCGTCATCAGCAAAATTTCAAAGACGTAAGTTTAGAGGGCGTTGTTCAAATTAGGCTTGCAGCATTTGAACTAGCCATACAAACATATAAAGTTAAATATAAAAAATATATATGAACGCATACTCTTCATGAAATTGACTAACAAATTTTATATTGGCTTTAAACAATACTTAAACAGAAATAACACGCTTTAAATAAAATAATTATAAGCAAAGTAGAGAAAACCTACCTTCTTATCTTTGTGTATACAAAACAAACATGTAAGTGAAATGAATGTTTTAGTTTGTCCTTGTTATTGATAGTGTTCTGTCACATTTAAGCATGTCGCCTCTAAATCGTAATGGTTTAAATATAGTTAATATCGACGTGAAAGATGTGAGGTTCCCAACAAGTCTTGGGGGCCATGGATCTGATGCTTTGGTAACTATACTTTTTGTCTATTTATAAAAGAAATAGATATACTTAAAGGAATATCTAGTGTAGCAGTTATTTTTCGCTATTTTGACGGTGATTAATACACATTACCTACTTGTAAAATACCCGCTTACCTTTTATAAAAGTCTGTAATTGCGTAAAAGTCCATTTCGTCAGCCGCACCTACTTTTTTCAATATTTAGAGTTATAAAAATGAAAAGAATTCAAGTTCTATTATTTAATACTTTATCATCTGACTTACTGGAAGCTACTGCCTGGCATATAACAACGCATAGAAGGCAAAATATTATGAAAGCCGAAAATGCTGTATCTTTGTATCGAATCTTTATTACATAAAATTTTGTTAATCTGTTCATGAAAATGAAATCTATACCTACTTAAAATTAAAAAAAAAAAAAACAAACAGCACACAGATCCCAATTACTCCTGCGCATACGTCACAACCACGACTGAGAACGGCAAGCAAGGCTACGGGCTCACCTTTACTTGTGGACGAGGCACTGAGATCGTCGTTTTAACTATCCGCTCTTTGAAGAAGTTTATCCTAGGACGAAATGCGGCGGACATTTTTGCAGATTTTGCTGGTTTCTGGCGCGCAATCACCAATGATTCTCAAATGAGATGGGTAATATATACTATTATACATGCTGCATACATACATATATACGTAATACTAGCAACCTGATCTCCCTTTGCTACGGGCTACTAGAACCCTCCATAGCCCCTGTCCTGCCAGTAAAGGACCGATTAAAATGGTTGACCCATTCTTCTGCTATCCTTTATCTCCATGCTATCGTAGGGACGTTTTTCCGGGATAAAAATTAAACTTACCTATGGCCTAATTTTTACAATCTTGTTGAAATCAGTTAGACCGTCACAGGGCTTAATGAAAAGAAGTAATTAAACAAAATTTAGTTTCATAGAACTATTCATTTAAAGCCAATCTTTATATATATAATTCTTCTGTGAGTGTGTATGTCACTGAACTTCTCTCAAACGACTGGACCGATTTTGATGAAATTTTTTGTGTGTGTTCAAGGGGATCTGGGAATGGCTTAGATTCACAATTTGAATAATAATTTTCATCAAAAAAATTATTAAAAAATGTTTGAAATTTTCAAATTAAAGACGTGTAGACAGGACAACGTCTGTCGGGTCCGCTAGTAACTTAATAAAACTTTTACGTAGATATAAATTTATATTGCCTATTTGAACCATCATTTATTATTAAGCTGAATTGGTCTGGTATTCTTTTATACTTTTTTATATCTATACAATAAATAACAAAATCGTAAATTTAGTAAAAATTAGGGTCGTGAAAATTAGTAATAGAAAGTTGTCTGTTTGTCAGTTCTTATGTTTGTTTGTTCATTTCATTAACAGCAAAGGTTTCCTGCGATGAAGATGATAAAAGTCTCACTAACTCCAACTAAGCTGAACATATCTATACATATAATAAAATTCTAAGCCGAATCTGTACATTAAATATTTTTTGCAAATTCTTATTAAAATAGACATTATTATCGATACAGAGGCCGAATCTATAGTTTTTAGAATTTTTATCTGTCTGTCTGTAACCGAATGACGGAAAAACCACTAGAGGGATTTTGATGAAATTTGGCGTAGTGATAGCTGGTTATCCGGGTCAACATATAGAATGCTTTTTACCGGGGAAAAATATCACATTTCTGAGAAAAAATACTAAAACTGCAAAATAAGAGTACACTAATATGTAAAACCTAAGAATTTGGTTTTTATTCACCTGAACGCGGGCGGAGCCGGGGGCAATGTTAGTTGCTAATAAAACAAATTAAGGAAATAAAAAATCACATTACGTCTTTTTCATATATTTTTTTAATTTACCTACCATAAGTACAGCTAGTTTCTAATTATAAATAATACAATACCTTGCTGCTTATACTTATATTTTTTCTAAAAATATAGGTAGGAAAGATATACCTAATTATTATATTGTTTTAACAGCTTGGACCTGAGAAAGGTGTCGTACATTTGGCCGTTGCTGCTGTTCTGAACTCTTTATGGGATTTGTGGGCAAGATTAGAAAATAAGCCACTTTGGAGACTCTTAGTTGATATGTCACCAGAGGTTTGTAATAATTCACATAAGTATTATAAACTTATTAAGCGTTGTATGAATTATAATTATACTTATTATAGGTATTTACATAATATATCCTAATAGATTTTATTCTAAGTTTTACCATAGTAGGTAAATGAAGTTTCTAATAATAAAAAATATTGTGTTTGCATGTAGGTACATAATACATATGCCATTACGCCATTGTGCATAACCCATGTGCACCTTACGGTGTAAATTACTTTTTCATTCCGTTATCTTATGTGTAAACAAAAGTAAAATCATTTTGTACATGACCTTTTATTAACAATCTTAGCGAACACACAAAGTTCATCTCTTTAACCTCGCTTATCTTGTCTTTTCGATTATTTCGTTGTCAGGAGCTGGTGTCAACAATAGATTTTCGTTATATAACTGATGTAATTACAAAAGAAGAAGCTACTATATTATTAAAAGAAAAGCGTGTTGGAAAAGATGAAAGAGTAAAAGAATTATTAGAAAAAGGTTACCCAGCGTATACCACTCAAGTAGGTAAGTTTCGTCTTCGTCGATCTTGCAAAGATTTTTTAAACGCAGTATTGAAAACTGCATTTATTTTGCCTTAATCTCTACATATAATAAAATTCAAACCAAGCCGAATCTGTACATTAAATATTTTTTGGAAAATCTTATTGAAATAGACATTATTATCGATGCAGAGGCCGTTCAACAGTTTGCTACCGCATCACGGAAAAACCACTGGACGGATTTTGATGAAATTTGGAATGGTGATAGCTGGTTATCCGGGTCAACATATAGGATACTTTTTACCGCGAGAAAATATCTCATTTCTGAGAAAAACACAAAAACTGCAATGTAAGAGTATACTAATATGAAAAACCTAATTTGGTTTTTGGTCATCTGAACGCGGGCGGAGCCGCGGACAATGCTAGTTATATATAAATTGCAAAATAATAATAATATCAATAATTAACAGTTAATCATCAATAAAATTTTATAAATTCCGATTTACCACTTGGTCTTTCATGCCAGAAAAATAATTATTATGAAATGTTAAAGGTTGGTTGGGTTACAGCGACGAACTAGTGCAGCAACTGTGCAATAAATATTTAAGTCTTGGATTTAAACACTTCAAAGTAAAGGTTGGACTTAATATAGAAGATGACTACAGAAGATGCAGCGCTGTGCGCAGATCTATCGGAAATGATAAATTTTTGGTAAGATTTATGAATGAATGCTATTTTCAATATTATGGTGACATAGTTGCATAGCTATAAGCATGTGTGAAACCCAGAACGATAGTCAGATAGAATAAATATGGATAACGAACTAATTTTTTAAATGTATATGACAACATCAATGCATTTGTGTTATCGAACGTCACCCCAAAAATAAGAAGCAGGCGCTGCAAAAACATAATAATCATAGATTATTGCCGGTGTCACTCCCAAACACTAAGAAAAGAATGGTTACTTGGTTTTTTTTTTTTTACTTTACATATTGACGGATTCATTTTGAAATACAATATATTTAATTTTTATTTGAAATAAAATTCTATTTGATTTAGATGGTAGATGCAAATCAAGCATGGAGCGTAGGCGAGGCTATAGAATGGATGAAGAAATTGTCTCCCTTGAAGCCAATGTGGATCGAAGAGCCGACTTCGCCAGATGATGTACTGGGACACGCGGCCATAGCTCGAGCATTGAAGTAAGTGGTAATTTTAAACAATCTATGATACATAATTATCATATTATATAATTACAAAGTGACAATTTATAATTCATATATTTGAAAAGTTCACGAATATTAATTCTATATTGAATGTTCATATTAAATTAGTATCTACTCATTAAAATTGCGAAAAATTATCGAATTTGTATAGGATAATATATTTATTTTTCAATTATTTAGTGGATTTGATAGTTTCATAATTACAAATTGTGACAAGAGTAAAACGTCTCATTTCTGAGAAAAAATACAAAACTGCAATGTAAGAGTATACTAATATGTAAACCCTAAGAATTTGGTTTTTGGTCATCTGAACGCGGGCGGAGCCGCGGGCAATGCTAGTTACATATATAAACTTTGATAATAACAAAGGCACCATCGCCTTTAGGCCCTACGGCATCGGCGTGGCGACGGGCGAGATGTGCGCCAACCGCGTCATGTTCAAGCAGTTCCTGCAGAGCGGCGCCATGCAGTACTGTCAGATAGACTCCGCGCGGATCGGCGGTATAAACGAGATACTTGCGGTTTATCTGATGGCAGCTAAACTTAATGGTCAGTGATTAATATATTTGAATATGTCTTATTTTACCAAACGTAATGGAGGATATTATAGAGATTTTCAATCAAATTAATAAGGAGGTGGTTCTATAAAACCAAATATATGTAACAGAACACTTTAATATTAAATTTATTGACACTAAAATATGTTTCAAACAAATTTACACCACGTCGTTGAAAATATTTTATATAAGTAGGTACACAAAAGTTACCTATATGTTTACTCATTTACAAATAATTTACTAGCAAATGTGCTAAGAATGTAAAAATAACTGTAAGTTTGTGTGATTATAATATGAATATTTTAAGTAATATTTTTGTAATTTAAAAAATTAAATAGAGAAACCGTGACTCGTATGAACTATAACTATTTAAAAAATAATATTTTATTCGTTTAAGTTTTAACTTAATTAATTCTTATAAATAAACCCTTACTAATATAATCATGCGAAAATGGGTTTGTTGGTCTAACCAATGGACTAATCCATTCCGCGCAGTTACGGTCCAACGGATTGATTTAATTGTTTTAAAAAAAAGGTTTCATTTGCCAACCAACAACCATACAGTTCCTGTTTTCCAATTAGAGCGTTAAAGCGTATTATGCGGAATAATGCTAACTTCGAATGTTTCAACTGCAGCAACGCTCCGCACGATCGAGCACTTTGAAAAGTGCTGTTTGGCGTGACCAACCAACTCAGTAGTAGAAAATGTAAAAAGTGTTTTTTCAAATTGTTCGTGTTTGTGCGCTAAAGTGCGGCATTATGCTCTGTAATTGGAAAACAGGGTGAATGAAGTGAAGGCATGTTGCTTGTTTAGTAACACCCCCATACTGTTATTTTTTCTGAATGAATAAATGAAAAAATCTTTATTATGACACACTGCTAAAAGACACATAAAACAAAAAATAATAAAATATAATATCTGTACAGTAAAGGTCTGCCCACACGCGGGCGGCGTAGGTCTCTGCGAAATGGTACAGCACTTACAGTACTGGGACTACGCGTGCGTGTCCACCACTATGGAAGACCGCCTCATAGAGTATGTGGACCAGCAACACGAACACTTCTACGACCCCTGTGTTGTGGAGAACGCTAGATATATGGCACCTAAGGTAATAACTGGGATTTAATTTAAACTCTGATATCATTAAGGAATATACCGACTATATCATAGCCCGGGAGGCGAGCGACCAAAAGCTGCAAGCATTTTTTAAAGGCTAATTTATTAACATTACGTCACATTGGTAGAGTAGAGAAATAGTCTGCCATCAGTTAGCCGGTTTTCTTAGCGTTTGGCTTTAATTATGTAAAAAACTATATTTTTAATTTAACTTAAATATTTATATATCTTGCAGCTATTTTCTAAAACCAAATTATTTTGCGAGCAGTATATTAATTAAAAATAAGTTTTACCATCGTCAGTCATACAAATCTTTTATCTCGTAACGCGTCAGTCACGCGTTAAAATTGATCGCTCGCCTTTCGGGCTATCAGTGTGTCCAACAAATACAAGTAAAATAGTAACTAAGATTTGGATAGAGATGGCGCTGTCATACCAAACAATTTGTATTGTTTGAAAAGTGATGACTAATGAAAATACATTAAGTGTTTTTAATTTTTATACTGTTATTTTTAGTATTTCAATGTTTAGGAAAAAGTCATTCACTTAATTAAAAATATAAGTTGGCGTAACTTTTGTCTGTTTGTCTGTGCGTTTGTGCTCGCTAATCTCCGAGAAAACCGGTTTGGGAGCGGTTTTCACTAATATATTGCGGTTAACTTCATTTAACATTTAGCATTTGTTTTATTTCAATCGGTTCATAAATAAAAAAGTTATGTCAATTTAAAGAATCACTATATAGTTAGTTACATATTAATAAAAAATACTTTACACTGTAGGAATAAATTTTATTTATGAATATATTTTTTCAGTCACCCGGATACAGTACGCAATTTCTACCGGAGACGTTAGAAAAATTCTCATATCCCAATGGAAGTGAATGGCAGCGAATGTTCAAAGAAGGCATATTCCCTTTGCCAGACGAAGCGGAACGTGTTAATGTGTAGATAATAAATGAAACAACAAATATTTTTAATAAAGCTGTTTATTTTTTGAAAAACTGTTTGTGCCTAATTACATATATTATAAATATATTTAAAACTATCTATATTAATATTATAAAGATACTGTTTGTTTGAACGCGCTAATCTAACTACTAATCCGATTTGAAAACTTCTTTTTACATTAGATAACTCGATTATTGAGAAATAAGTATATATGGAGGCTATAAGTATATATCATCATGCTACTACTCAAGGGAGCGGAGCAGTCATCATAAATGTCAACAAATCGGGCAGACTTCTGTACATTATTACAAATAGCATAAGAAAGTTTTCTTGTAGTTTTAGCGCGAGCGAAGCCGCGAGTTTTGCTAGTAGTCTTATAAAATAAAAGAGTAAATAAATAAAGACATAGTACTCTGTCACTGTCACAAATATAAACTAGTTTTGTTATGATGTTGATGATAAAATGTTGTAATTAAAAAAAAAACTATAGTTATTGTTTAAAACAATTAAATATATAAAAAAAACACTTAATTCCATTTTTAAAAAGTAACAGTAAAATCATTTCTACATAATGCGACTTAATTTATATTTAGACTTGACAAATCGATTTTGATTTCGATAGGAACTAAGTATTCAATTATATATATATTTTTTTTTACATTTCAGTCGTTAAATTTCTGTCTTAATCGACGCTGTAATATTCACAAGTGACAGTTAATATTTATATTAATTTTAAGTCTTTTTAGAGAAAGCAAATGCACTAAGCTTAGACTGCTTCGGAGCGCTAGTAACTGGAGTCTCGTCCACTTCTTCATCAATTTTCCGTTTTTGACTACTTTCCGTATTCTTTGTTTGAAGATCTTTAAATTTCCTCACGCAATGACGTGTCAGTTCTGAGGGAGTCAGCTGAGGGTTTTGTTGTTCTAACAGAGACTTGTTACGAGAGAACCAGTCTACGAAGGTCTCTCCGTCGTTGGGTTTGAGGGACTGGAACAATTTAATAATTTATATATTATGAAAATCTTACAAAATATGTTTGGACGATTCCGGTAATATACAATTTTTTTAGTTAAAACTATCTTTTCGGATTTTTTATTTATATTTATTTTGATTATGAGAAAAATCCGAAAAGATAGTTTTATTTAAAATGTCAAATATTCGGGTAAATCTAAGGATGTATTATACATACTTATATCATGATTACTAAATAAAAATTTTAGTCTAAGTTTGTTTGTTTGTGCTAATATCAGAAGCTACTGTACAGATTCATATACGGTTTCCAATAATATGATGATGTTCTCCTAGCCGATTCCGGCCACGGCGCCAATCTCAATGAGATTAGCCAACTGCGCAGGAGATATTATAGTGCTCAAGTGTACGCGCAGACACAAGTGCACTCTCTATTCCTATCACTCTCATACTCCGGTGGGACGACCACTCGACACGACCGGTGAGAGTTAAGGCGCAGGACCGACGGCTTTACGTGCTCTCCGAGGCACGGGGATGAAACACCGCCAACTTCCCAACTCCGGGCTGTTACTGAGACTTACTATACAGGAAGACTCAATAACTAAACTTGGCCCGACCCGGGACTCGAACCCAGGACCTCCGGGTGTGCAGCCGTACATGCTAGCCACTACACCACTGAGGCAATATAATTTTCTAGTAAGGTTATACATATATAATTTATAAATCGAAAATAAGCTAATTGTATGACGTTTTTTTTTATTAAGTTTATTCAGAAAACCGTAATATAAATTGCGAAGGACAACAGATTAATATGAATATATTTATTTGTATTATACACTTACATCAGCAGCACTCTCTATAGGTTCCTCAGTTGAATGCACCTCGACCAGCGTCCTGTCCGTGAGGCTGAGCGGACTTTGCGCTGCTTTGACCGCTTCTTGTTGCTTCTTGAACGGGTTACGCGCACCGCCGGGCGACGATCTGATTGGCTACAAGTTAATATTAATTTATTATCTTACTAGCGACATACCCTCGCCTCGCTCGGATTCGTCCCTAGATTGCTTCCCCATACAAATTTTTGCATCCTCTTAAAGGATGATTTCCGGGACAAAAACTATCCCATGTCCTGCCCAGGGTCTCAAACTATCTTCTTACCAAACTTCATCTAAATCGGTTCAGTACATCCAGAGATTACCCCCCTACAACGTCACAAACTCACAAACTTTACCTCTTTATAATATTAGTATAGATATGGTGATCCTTTGGAAATAACTATTGACATTTTATAATATCTATTGGGAACAGTATGTAACGGAATAGAAAGCTAACTATAACCAAAATATACAATAATTCTACTGGAATCTAAGCGACAAGTAAATGAACAAACACACATACTCTTATATCATTGGTAGGGTTAAAGTTGCACTGCAACCTCAATTGCTCATAAAAACTAAATAACATACAAAAGAAGACTTTTATATACCTATTATTTTTTATTCTAGCTTTTTCTTCCAACCAACGAAAAATAAAAAAATTAAATCTTTTTCATAACTAGCAATATTGCGCGATAATACAAATTTATTTATAAAACAAGCGAATTATCCTCACTGCGCTCGAGTGCGTCCCAAGTATGTTTTAATTTTTATGAGCGGAACCCTAATTCTTTTTCTAAAACAAAAGTAGACTAATTTACTCATAACATCAGCTATCTGCCAGTGAAAGTCCCGTCAAAATCAGTCCAGCTGTTTCGGAGAATAAACAATGATGTCGGAACAGAGAGATTTTTTAAATTGTGTTTTTCTTATAAATACCATATATAATTTCATATGCTTTTAGTAAAAAGCTGTTATTTTCACATTACACAATTTTATTTATCTATATAGATGATGTACTTACAACAGGTTTTATCGGTGTTTCAGACTCAATTTTCTTTTTATTAGTTTTTTGTGGTATAATCAAACTCGCGTTCAGCTCTTGCTCTGTACTGGTGACGTCATAGTTTTCTTGCGTCTCTAGTTCTTGAAAATGTTTGTTTTGAGCTACATTTAAATGGTCAGAATCCTTTTCCCAAGTTTCCGCCAAGTTTGTTAGCTTCTCGGCCAAGTGCATTCTACCTAAGCGAGACGCATACTTGGCTGCTAATGGTAAGAGTCGGTCGTCTTTCAGTAACTCCATGAGTTCTAAGGCCCTTTGTTCTATTTCACTCCGACAGGCAAGCTGTGAATAAAGTAGGTGAATATAAATAAATTATAAATACTTATTTATATTTATTATTGGTATGTATTTTATATTTAATATGTTTTTTAAAAGTATTTATTTAACTACGATTGCGAAGGAGCCTATTAAAGTCACTTTTAATCGAGTTTAACTAGTAGAGAGTCAAAAAATGTTTTTTGTATGTTTGTTTGTAATGGATAAATTAAAAATACGTTGAACCGATTTAGGTGGGATGTAGCTAGTCGACTTTAATTTTAACGTCAATCTTATTACAACGGTGGCGACATCTGTTCGTTATGAAGTTTTAAATCTAATAAATCATAAAACATCATGTCATAATTACATTACAATACTATTATAAATGCGAAATTTTGTGGTAAGTGTATATTTTTTATGTATGTGTTAGTATTTTTTCATACATACTTTAATGAAATTCAATATGGAAAAGTTTAATTTGGAATTTTTGGTAATTCAATGAGACCTATACGCACAAACAGTAATTTTATATTATAGGTTTTTATTGTATATTAATATTTTTAATCAACATTAGAGACGGACTTACAGCAAAGAGTTTCAATGCAGTTTCTCTTGCAGCTTTCACGTCGACGTCAGTATCTAAGTGAGCCCACCGCACCAGCTGCTCCTCGTACTGAGCTTTCTCTGTATCCAACTCACATAATGGTATCTGAAATAAGGATTGCAAATGTTAAATTCCAGGTCAAAATAAATCAATTGAAGTTATTTAAGAATTCGTGCTATTTATAATCAATAATTTATAAAATAAATAATATCTTATTAACAATTTTATACTCTTTCTTTAGCTCCTTACAACCAAGACTTGAATATAAACTATTTAATCATATCTGGGAAGTCGATTTTAATCTATTTCTAATTATATTTTTTGTTTTTTTTTTGATATTATAGGTATGTTAATGAGATTTTGTATGTGAAATTCGTATGACAATACGATTGAGTTTTTTTGTATAGTAAACAAACGTGCAAACAATCCACCTGACGGTTTGTGGCTATCTCTACTCAAGCTTTGAACTTTTTATTTTGAAATGAAGTGAATATAATGTCAATTTGAGAAAATTTCTACTTTCTTTATACTTAAAATAGTAATGTGTAATAAAGTAACAGATGCAAACACTTACCTGAATTGGCAATTCATTTATAATAGGCTTTGGAACTGTAAGTGGGAATGAAGTCCCTCTACAAAGTATCGCACGAACCTTCTGAGTCACTTCGCATACCTGAAACAATATTTGTATTTATGTTATAATAAATATAAAAAAAAATGCTTTATACAACACTATTTTATTCTATTTGTTAATGTTCACCAGCGATTGTTACAATACTACTAAAGTTAATATATGTAATAAATACAGTGGTAACAATAAACCGTATATACTCACGAAAACAATAAACCAGGAGTAGGAGGCGCCTTGGACGCTTGACATACACACACACGCGCAAAAACACCCAAAAACGCACGCACGCACACATATATACAAACATACACATAATAATTATAGACCACATATTAAGCGAGTAGTAGGGGGGGGGGGGGTGGGGGCTCGCACTACTAAATTAAATTGAAGTGTCTGTTTGTAATGTCAAAATAACAGATTTTTACTAAAAGCATATGGAATTATATACGGTATTTATAATAAAAACACAATTTTTAAAATTTTTGTCTGTCTGTTTGTTCCGGCTAATCTTCGAAACGGCTGGGCCGATTTTGACTGGACTTTCCCTGGCAGGTACTTGATATTATAAAGAGCAATTTAGGCTACTTTTATTTCAGTAAAAGAATTAGGGTTCCGCTCAAAAAAATTAAAATTTACCTAGGGACGAACCCGAGCGAAGCAAGGGTGAGTCGCTATAGTTCCTAATACAATTCCAATACTAACAGAGACAATGAACCATGAGTCGGAAGCGCCCTTGCAGTGCGCGGCGGTGTCGCACACGGGCAGCCACACGCCCGCCGCCGCGTCCAGCAGCCGCAGCGCGCCCGCCGCGTCGCCGCCGCACGCCGCGCCCGCCGCGCTCGCGCCCAGCCACGACAGCCGGCTGCCGGCCGACAGGGGCACCGGGACCGTTTTGCTGCGGACCTGTCTGCCTGGAATGTATACAATAATGCCAATAATTTACTGCCTCGGTAGTGTAGTGGCTGGCATGTATTTGTATTTTTTTATATGAGATATGGTATCTGTACTAGTACAGTGTTATGTCATCTGTGCTCTAAGCTAAATGGTAAATTACTCTAGAACAACTAAAGTTAAAGCGGTTATATTATATCTTACAACATAGAAATAAAAAAAAAGTTAACATAGAAATACTTTTGCAGCTGATAATAGAAACTTAACAATATTGCTTTATACAGTGTGATGATGATGTTCTCCTAGCCGATTCCGGCCACGGCGGCCAATCTCAATGAGATTAGCCAACTGCGCAGAGATATTATAGTGCTCAAGTGTACGCGCAGACACAAGTGCACTCTCTATTCCTATCACTCTCATACTCCGGTGGGACGACCACTCGACACGACCGGTGAGAGTTAAGGCGCAGGACCGACGGCTTTACGTGCTCTCCGAGGCACGGGGATGCAACACCGCCAACTTCCCAACTCCGGGCTGTTACTAAGACTTACTATACAGGAAGACTCAATAACTAAACTTGGCCCGACCCGGGACTCGAACCCAGGACCTCCGGGTGTGCAGCCGTACATGCTAGCCACTACACCACCGAGGCAGTTAAACAATTCCTTAGTACTTAATATACAGTGTATATTAAGTACTAAGGAATTAGTATAATATTTACCGTTAAGTGCAATAATATCCATAGCGAGGTGTTGGTCGGTAGGGCCGGGCTCGCTGCGGTGATACACCGCCATTACTGTGGTGTTAAAACCCGTCAACGCCACCACAGGGCCCGCGAGCGATATTACCTGTTTATATTGGAAAACAAAAAAATATTTACATTATAAACTTAAGAAAGGGTTAGCATTTAAAAGATCTTGGAAGTTGAATATTGATGAAGATATTACGATCATTAATAAAATTTCAAACGGACAAAGGTAAGCAAATAAACTTTTACAATTCTCTCAGTAAGAGTAATAGATTTCAATTGATATGATTTGTAGTCCAGCCAAATTAGGTAAAAAAACTTTTATAAAAAAAACTTTAATAAAACACTAAAAAATGCTTTGATTTGTATCAGCTGACACCACCGACTTCGAAAATATCTGATTAGGTATATATAGTAAATGAAAACTACCAATCAGTTATTTTTACTTTTTAGTGTCTTTTTTAAGTTGGTTTTTATTTATTTACAAAAATTGCTTTGTAAGAGTATACTAATATGTAAAAGCTAAGACTGGTTTTTGGTCATCTGAACGCGGGCGGAGCCGCGGGCAATGCTAGTGAATATATAAAGTCGCTTTGTTAGCTTTATGACGATAATATAATCAGTATATGTGGGCCGATCCCGGCGGCACTGCAATGCCGGGCCGACCCGTGACGGGAGTGGAGCGAGCCCCGAACATCCCGTCGGTTTACAAAAATCAGTTTAATATACTGGTCCCGCAGTGCGGGAACTTTCAGATATTAAGCTGAAAAGAACAGATACTACACTTTGATCTTAGCCAAAAGGCCGAGAAGCGATACTAAGCTAATATAATACGAGGGAGGTCATTATTCGTCAGAACATCTTGCCAGCGCGATTCAGAATATGAGACTAAAGTAACAGCGCCATCTATGATACAGTAAGCAAACTAACACGAAATGTTTTGAATTTCGCTTATGATACAACTATAATGTCCAATTACCTAAAAATAGTAAATAATCGTTTTGTGAACTGTTAATTATTATTAAAACTATAGATATTTTGAATTTTGTCAGAACATTTTCTCTTAATATGATACTTATGAATTATAACCTCTCATACACTGCAACAAATATTACCCTATGTCACATGTTTTAATATATTTTATTAAACAAATTTAAACTGGCGAAGAAATTTATTTAGTGAATTTAAGCTCAATAAGAACAGATAGGCAAGAAAATAATTGATATCACATTAGATTGTAAAATTAGACATGAATTTTTAGGCCACTGTTTTAATTTGTTATAAAAATGTGTTTAATCTCCAATCATTTATATATTTTAGTACTAATTTATATGATGTATTTATTTTACCTGTCTCTGTGTACCCATAGGCGTGAATAGCCGAAGTAATCTAGCATTAGTAGCGCACGCTACGAGGCCACTGGTAGCTACTATGCAAAGTATTTCCTCAGTGTCTGTCATAGAGATGCTCCATTCCTTGCTGCTCCCTACCAATGATATGCAAACTAATTTACTGTGAACAAAAAGTTTTACGTAAAAATAGGTTTCGTGTGAGTTATTAATTTATAGTAAAAAGGTCCATTTGCCTTAAGTTTAAATATTAGGATTCAATATTTTTAAAGTGAACAAACATTCTGACAATTGAAAAAATAACAGTAATATATTAAGAAATGTTTTCATAGAAGAAAAATGTATTGGAGATTCTATTGGTTTTACACATTTGTTTAAATATAAAATAATAAATATTTAAAAAAAAACTTGGATTGATTGAATTGAACCATTATTAAATATAAGTAAATATGCAACATGAATAGTGTGTTGTGTTGCCCTCAATGCATAGGTTGACTCGCACTTGACAATTTACTACTAAGTGTTTAAATATTGCAATAACATACCTCGGCGTCTCACAAGCCAAGGCCAATACAGTAGACGATAAGCTAGCCATGGTGTGGTTTAGATAATTGTTGAGATGTATGGCATGGTGAAGGTTGGAGTCGTGGAACTCCACATCTATTGTTGACTCTCCATTGGCTGCAGTATGGCAGCGGACTATTCCTATGTCGTTCCAGCACATATACCTGAGGAGGGAAGTCACATGAATATTAGCTTTGTGTGTAATTTTAATCACTTTATTTAACTTATATCAGTATTTAGCCCCTTGACACTACTAAGATTCTAAATTGTTCGGAAGCAATATTCATTATACATCATTAAACTAAAGAGTAATTAAAATACATTTGAAATGACAAAAACTAATATTATATTTTTCCATTACTGTCAATCTTATACTAAGACATACCTATGTTCTAAATGAACAGGGGTAGAGGAAGGTTGAAAAGGTGGCTGTGGTGGGACATTCATAGAAACAGGAGCAACTCTGGATTCTGGCCTAGAATCCTCCTTATGAATTAGACCAAGTGTATCATTTTTAATTTTCGCCAATGATATTGCATTCTCATCATCACTTTCATAATTCTCTATTAGATTATCTAATATTTCATCATTATCTGTAGAGATGAGTAAAGAAGGCTTTATAAATATCATGAAACAGCACAAAAAGTATATATCAGAAGTATTAACAACTTATGTAAAGACGAAATTAAACTCCATGATAAAAGTTCAGCACTTAACTTATCAATATGACCAATTTAAGCAGGAACTTGGAACCAAAAATATATTTTTGCCTAATATATTATTTAACATAGACAAAATAAAACTTATTTTCGTATATTACAAAAACACTAGGTATGATTTAAATATCTTACCCTCATCCCTATCAACCATTTCAACATCTTCACTATCACCTTCTGCCGACTTGGAACTTTCTTTACCATAGCAGTTAACTAACATACCAAGTTGACCAGCCACATCACAGTACGCCAGAATCCCATTGCCTGCAAAATATTAAAGTTTCAAAAACGTTTTTTTATATTACATAATTATACTAAAATTTTACTAATAAACCTCATAAACCTTACTTGTTTTAAAACAACTCAGTTTATTTATGACTCAAAGTTTTTTTAAAAGGTCACTTTTTTTCTTGCTTAAAATTATATATATTTTTTTAAATGACATAAAATGTTTTAACCTTTTGGATTCCAAGCCATAGCTGATACATTATGTGAAGTGGGATGTTCAATAATGCCCAAGCATGCTCCAGTATCCACTTCCCATATAGCTATCTGGCCGGCCACAGTACTACCAGCCAAATATTGTCCACATGGTGAGAATAAGCATTGGGATATTGCACATTTTATCTACAAATAATATATAAAATTTAAAGATATCTAGGAAGTAAGTATGTTTTTATTTGTAAAAAATTTGAAATACAACATACATAATTGTTTAATTATTCTTAAAATGCAAATTTGTCATAATAATGTTTATAAATAAAATTATAATAAGCTTTGGCCAACCTTAGAAATAGTTTAGTGATAATTATAGATAGGGGTTACGGTGATTCATTTTATAAGACAGTTAATATTTGTACAACAGAATAAAACAAGAGAATTTAAATAGATGAAACAGAAATACTCAATAATGTCTAAAGTTTCACATAATTTGCAAACAAATTAACATTCATTCTAACAATTATCTCTACTCAATTTGGAATAAGATATTGACACTAATTAATCAAATCATTAAATACTAGCGACTCACCCTCGCTTTGTTTCAGATTTGTCCCTAGACAACAACAAATCTATCCCATAGAAACCATACATTTTTGTATGATAAAAATAATCTATGTTCTATTCCAGGTAATAATCTATCTCTGAGCCATATTTCATCCAGATCCGTTCAGCCGGTCTGGTGTGAAAGAGAAACAAACAAAAAAACATACATCCTCACAAACTTTTTCATTTGTAATATTAATATGGATGTAACACACTCCCCCCCAACGTGCGTTCACCTTGTCGTGGTGGGGGGGCTCAGTAGTGCCCGGCAATCCAACCGGGCGCGAAGCCAAGAAACGCACAGGGAGGTTGCCCACTTCGGTGGGCGGTGGGAGGTGGCCCTCTTCGGGGGGCGGTGTACCATGCGGGTTGCTCCTAGTACTTCTCTGATAGCAGAGTGGACTGTGGAGCAACCCCATGGTTGTGGTGGTCTGCTTCGGCGGACCTGCCGTCGGGGCGTCGTAGTTGAATGCGTAAGCGATCCTGCGACGCCCCAATAAGACGGGGGAAGGTTTTGTTGGGTTTTAGTGGGTAGTACTGGCTGTATTACGCCGGTGAGTCCCACACGTCGTGCGTAAATGCATTTCCCAACGTTAAAAAAAAAAAAAGATGTAACACGCTCAAACTTTTAGATTTCGTGGCTAAACCATTATGGATTTAGTAGAATTTAGTACATATCAAGCACTCATACATAGGATACATTTTATCCTGGATAACACTGCTTACATAGGTTAAGCCTTAGAGAATTAGACAGAGAATTAGTTTTATATAAATACTTACAGAACTGTGTGTGAAAGTCATTCGTTGAGCCCAATTTTCACAATCCAAAATTATAATTTCTCTGTTATTGGGATGAGCAAGATATTTGCCATCTGTTGGGTCAAAATCCATTCTACCTGAAAGAAAGAAGCGAAACAAGATTTAAATAAATATGAGTGCCAAATTATTTTTGTATATTTTTATCAATGTACTTTACTTACTGTAGTTATTGCATTAATATATACTATTTCTGGGACTTTACACACATAGTTTATATAAGTTTAATTGCTCTATTACTAAAAGTTTTAAAGTGAACCTTTCTCAATAAATAGGCAAACAATATTTTAAATTAGACTATAGGTAGTTTGAGAAATTAATATATTAATTAAATTAGACTTTTCAAACAAACAAAATCTACTTTATATGAGTATAGATAAATACTTACATAAAACTTTAGCAGAATAAAATGTATTTATTTTAGGCACACAAGATATTTCTTTTACTACTTTTTGTGTGTCTATATCCCATATCCTCATTATTCCATCTCCAGAAGCTGTACTAGCATATTTCATGTGAGGACAAATTGCAATACTTAACACAGGACCTTTATGTTCTGACATCACAAATAAAGGTGCCCCTCCTTCTAAACTGCATATCTTAGCTTCCATATTTTCTGAAGTACATCCTAAAGCCTTTATGAAAGTAGGTTAATATATTACTTCATTTTACCTAAATAATAAAATATAAATATCTTACCCCATATATCATCCATTAGGGCCAACTAAACAAGTGATTTACAATTAATGATAATTTATATAATTCCCATCTTAACTTTATATTTTAATACTTACTTCTATCTTGGGCTTAGACATGATTTGAGTAACTGGTGCTGTAAATCGTGATATAATCCCATCTTTATCAAATGCAGGAAAAGTATATGCTTGTACTGCATGATTATCAGTTGCCACATATAACCTGTTGTCCTTAAAGCATACAGCAAGTGCACTTTCTCCAACACAGTGGGAATTGGGATCATCATCCTCAATATCCAACCAAATTCTTACATCACCATCGTGACCACATGTTATTATATGCCTAAAACATAAAGTTGTAATAAAGTATCAATGAACATATTACCAAGTACATAGTATATTGATAAAAATAATTACCTTCCATCTTCAGTATAGCATACATCTGTATGACCCTCAGCATGAGCGTAGCGCAACGGTTTACTGTCAATTTTCATGTTTATTTTGTTTTAATATATTTGTGAATTTGTCAGAAAGGTAAAAAGCACCAGCTTTAAATAAATTTCATTCCAAAATCACATACACCCCATGAAATTTTAAGTTTAAGTAAATAATGTATAAAGAATTAAATTTAAGTAAGTATAAGAAATTATATCCTTATTCAAACAAATGCGATACCAATATGCCATTAAAATTTTAAAGTAAAACTTAAAAACATTGAGTTTTTGGCGGTAAAAATTAACAGCTGTCATGTCACAATTAGACATGCGTAGGTCCGGATTGAAATAGTTCCCGGAACTATGTCCTAGGCCGAAACGATATCGTTCCAATCCGCGATGTCAATTGAAACAGGTTCACAGTTCCATATAGTTCCGCATGTGCAGGAGTGAGATGGAGCGAGAAACGAATATATTGGACCGATCACCGGAGCGACTGACTGAACTGAACGTAACCGACTCCTGCCGAACCTACCCGAGCTATAGCTATATATTAAATTTTAAGGTGCGTCCTCACAAGCGTTAATTTTTTTTAGTAATCTGTTAAGCCGCGTCCACATGCTGGGCGCTTGCCACAAGCACCGAGAATCATAAACACGTGCCAAACACCGAACACAAACTAAATACATTAAATTAAAATAAAAAAGCCTTTCATTTCTTGCGCTTACTAAAATTGCTATTAAAACAATTTAAGAAAGTAAGTATTTATTAATTATTAATAAAATCCTTTCATATTCAGTTATATTATAATAATAGTATTAGATCTAATGTTATATTAATTATGATGTATATAAAGAATGTTTATTAATTTAAACTTTTTTCTTAATTTTTACAATACCTAATATGAATTAGAATTTATAATTAATAAAAATAGTAACAATAAATAATTAAAAATTAAAATCAATGTATATAATAAAATAATTCATAAGTTAAACAATCATTTACAATATTTTCATTTATTTGAAGTAGTTTTTTTTAAGTTTTTATTTTCCATTTTTAGTGTAGATATAGTAGATACCTAGTACCAAAGTAAGAAGAGGTCAAACAATAAAAAAAATATTTATACGTGTCGAATTGAGAACCTTCTCCTTTTTTTCGTGGGTTTAAAATTATTTCATGTTAAAAAATGTTAGGTATGTGATGTTATCTGCTGCACTGCTGTGTGGAAGCGCCATTATATCGCGTAGGTACTGTGTGTAAACTTCTGTAGTGACTAGTGCGTGTGCGAGTATTCGCAATAATTATAATGTCATCTCTTACTATGCTATTACAATTAATAATGTGCCAACTTCACTGTGCGTTAAAGTCGATAATTCATTGATTAAATCTGATTTTCGTTTTGAACTTTTAAAACATTAATAATATATTTTTAAATTATAATACTCTTTCACTTTTGACACAATATTTTTGTACTTTGTGGCGTTCGTCTAGAGTCACATTGCGCGCGAAAGCACCGTAGTTTTCTGAAGTTGGTTTAATTTTTTTTTAAACCTTTTTTATTTCGTAATTTTTAGTTTTAAGTAAAAACTGAAATAGTTTTTGTAAAAAGTAGTAATTACAAAAAATACACTTTTTTATCCATATCTTCAAAACCAATGAACCAATTTTGATGAAATTCTTACTATTCCCTAAGTTAAAATAAATGTAAGCAAATAAAAAGGCATGATCACGTCGGAATAGTAGATTCGGCGAAATGCGTGGACAAACATACATACACACAAACAAACAAACAAACAAACAAACATACATACATACATACATACATACATCTATACACCTATAAAATTTTGTATATTTGCTTCGAAGCCCTAATATATCATATTATGTTAATATCTTGCAGTTCTAATAATATTATATACATACGTGTCGAATTGATAACCTCCTTTTTTTTGAAGTCGGTCAATTAAAACAATATCTCCCGCTATGCTGTCCTCGGGAACCGATGACAGTGATAACCTGTTAAAATCGGAACGATCGGATCGGATGAACTATCGGAACTAGATAGTTCCGCGAACATGTTTCGTGAACATAGTTCCTTTATGGAAAGGAACTATTCCATGTTCAATCCACTCCAGGACCTAGTTTGCGCATCTCTGGTCACAATTGTCAAGTCAACCTACGATTGTTGATGTCGAGGACAATATGACCATAGACTAAGTAGAAATTAGATACTTATAAAAAAAATATGTATTGCAAAAAATTAGTAAATGGGGCTTAAGTAAGGGATGAATTTAGAAAAAAAAAATCATTTAATAGATATTTCTTACTTTTTACCTTAAAGCTAAACACCACTTTCTGTGTATTTCACATTAAGAATGACAAAGTTTCATACAATGAAATGGATGAATTTCAAAAAGCCTTTTCTTATTTAATGCCTGAATCATATCAGGAATACATCTTCCAAATTTCACGTTTCTACGACCAGCGGTGTAGCCTGTGTGTTGATCCATCAGTCAGTCAGGACCACCGCAGGATGCATCTTTCCCTCTCAATTCTTCTTTCAACTGGTCTAATTTCTAGGTATAATACATTGTACAGGTAAGATGCAAACACAATAGAAGCAAAAAAATGGGTATAAAAGAGATATCACAATAAATTGCTTAACTTCAGACTGAATGTAAATAGGCCATACGTATGGCACTCTCTTTTAGAGAAATCTTCCTCATTAACAGCTTCAAACTAAATCCTCTCTAGAACAAAAAGGCAACATAAGTTTTTGCGGCTGGTAGCACTGGTATCAGTACACATGTTCACGGACCAAATATATTTTTGAGCCGATTTGAAATTTTCAGTCAGTTTCTCTTTGACACTCCGTATTTTAAGTACGTGATAGCAAAATTTAAGGTTAGTTTGCCGGTGTGCCGAATAATTCAAGAATAAAAGTCATTAAGTTAAATTTACTATCTTAAAATAAAAAAAGTAAGTATTTATGTAATAATTTTTTTTTAATTCATGAAACTATGTTAAATAAAGTTTTAATTGTTACGCGAATGCCAATGCGAAAATATTGGCTTACTTTTTAAATAATGTATAAAGGTAAGTATACATTTGTTTAAATATTAACATTAAAATGTAGATTTAGTATTGAAGTAACGTAAAGAAGTCATTGAGTTTTTTTAAATAAATTTTATTATTTTTCAATATTAATGTTTCATTGTTCAAGATCAAGGTCATAATAATTTTACGTCTGAATAATTGATCAATTTTGGCCAATGTATACAATTTGTCGTTAATAAATATCAATAAGAGCTTTCAATATGAATTATGGTTTTAAAAAAATGAAATTATATATAATATTTACTTAAATAAATTTTTAATTAATGTAATATTTTAATACAGATGGGTGATCAAGGATTTCTGAAACAAAAGCCAGGATTTGCCACTACTGCAATCCATGCAGGTCAAGATCCAGACAAATTTGACTCAAAAGCTGTGGTTCCACCTATTGTAACTGCAACAACATTTAAACAACCAGCACCTGCAGAGCCAGTGGTGAGATTATACTCATTTTAAATACATTTGATTTTCTTTCTTATTTACAAAAAGTCATGCGTCTTACATTACACTTGATCATCATTCAATAATCATCAATACAAAGTCTGTGTCTGTCCCCACCGCGTCTGTGTGTCTATCTGAACGCGATAAACTCATTACTCAAAAACTACCGAATAGATTTTCGTACTGTTCTCACCAATATTCGGAGTGCCGGTTGATTCATGAGGAAGTTTTTGTGTAAATTGGCTGAAATATGACGATGATTGTTAAAGATTTCGGAAAAAAAAATGCCGATACGGAGCTTCACTGGCGTGCACTGCGTAAACTATTGCAGGCAGAAACACAAAATGTTCTAATGAAGTGAAAAATATAAAAATTATCTACTCACAATAACCATTTTAATTCTTATGGTTGTCAAATTGGGTCTAAATTAATGCTTTATTGGCGAGAGTGTTTTTACTGACATGGTGTTAAACCTTATCTAAATAAATATGTTAGACAACTTAACCACTTAATTTAGAACAGAAATGAGATGTACATCATTTAAATTAGATGAATATTTTAGAAGATATCACAGAATTAAAATAAGTCGCTAAACGTATTTAACGACGATGACGACAGCGGGGGCAGCGGCAGACGGAGGTTTTTTGTTTCGTGTTCTCTTTAGGTAGGTAGATACTAATTGTAGGGCTACATGTAGGGCATGTTTTATAGCTGAAATATTTAGGCTTCCAGCGCGAAAATCGAACTTTAAAATTACTCAAGATTCGAATTTACGTTGCATTAAAATTTCCAATAGAGTTATCTGTTATTATGAAATCAATGTATTATGGAATTATTCGAATTTAAATAAAAATATAAACTAACTTAAATCTAATATATTTAAACAAGCAATTCTTATATATATGTCTGAATCTCGGAAACGGCTCCAACAATTTTCATGAAATTTAGTACACATGGGGTTTCGTGGGCGATAAATCGATCTAGATTAGTCTTATGTCTGAGAAAAGGCGAGTTTTCGAGTTTTCATGCAGTTTTCTTTACATTATTCCACGCAAAATATGGTTGGTAATTTGCATGCTTGGGCATAAGCATCGTGGTCAAGCGGCCAATGTGCAAGATCAACAATCACAGGTGTCCAGGTTCGAATCTCGGTCGCATACAAAGTTTTTACTTTTTTTTAAATATTTATTCAAGTCTTTAGTATTAAAAAAAATGTACTCTAGGCCAAACACTCCGAGCGAAGTTCGGTGGCCCAGGTACTTAATATTTATCTAAATAAAATAATATTCTATATAGAATAGAATATGAAGTGAATAGAATAGCTAAAAAATAATTAATTAATTTTTTGCCTCATAGATATATAGATACATTTACTTTAATTTATTTTGGTAATAAGCTTACAATATTAGTAATAAAAAGAACTGTAATTATGAATATTTTATTTTTATAGAGCTTTGAATATGGCAGATCTGGAAATCCCACAAGAAATACATTAGAAGAGTGCTTAGCTGCTCTTGATGGGGGCAAATATGCATTAACATTTGCCTCAGGCTTAGGTGCAACCACTACGATTGTTTCTCTTCTTAGCAAAGGCGATCAAATTATATCGTGTGATGATTTGTATGGTGGAACCAACAGACTATTTAGGTAAGTTATTGGTTTTTTAAAAGAAGTAACTATTTATTTTTTAACTTATTTTGAGTGGATACCTGTCTTTTTAAATAAAACCATCTTTTCGGATTATTTCGCGAATTTATTTTGATTTTTGGTTCCCGACGTTTCGACGTTTTTGTATATAAATGTAGCAATAGTGTTGCTTAATATTTTAACTTCTTTTAAACTATATATAAAAGAATAATATTGCTTAGATAAATAATTAATATTTTTAATTATTTTATATTCTTTATGGTTATACATAATATAATAATAACAACACTAATAGAGCAAGATCCCAGGGCCACCAGACGTCACGTATTTTCTGACGAACGAAATGTGGACGATTGGGTAGTGTTATTATGTACTAATATCGCATGCCTACCTGCTAGCTTGGTGAGATGGCCAATTTCCAGGTATCAGGTAATCAAGGTACATAAAAACATTACTTACCTCACGTAAATTCTACAAGCTAATCACCTCACGTATAAGTTACACAATATCGTTAAAAATAAGTCGTCAATACTCCCTCTCCCAGACACTTTCCGTTGGCCGTATTGCTTTGCAGACGCTTTAAAGGTCTCAAAATAATTACTTAACTCCACGTAAATTCTGATATGCTCCCTTTTTATATATGTTCGCCAGACAACTATTTTAAAACCTTTTACAAGAAGACAGACCGATCCAAGGCCCCATCATCCCCTATACTAAATTTTCCTACCCACAAAGGCATTAAATTTATAATTATATCATTAGATGGCTAAAAATAAATAAAACAGTTCTCATAGAGCATTATGCATTATGATGACTCAATAGGCAATTGTGTTGCATGGTCAGCCAATTTATCAATAAATGTAATACTACAAAAAAATTTCACAATTTATCATTTCGAGAATTTATTGACACATCTAAAAATATAAAACAAAGTCGGGTTTGTTACAACACAACTCGAGAACTGCTGGACCGATTTTTATGATCTTCACGCCGAATAGCAGAATAACTATCAAAACATAGGAAAAATACACGAAAAAAAAATCTATTCCATACTAAGCGTCAAAACGTACCTAGGGACGAACCTGAGCGAAGTGAGGGTGAGGCGCTAATAAATAATAAAACAATTACTGCTTTTTCAAAGAACATTTAGAACATAAAGTGTAGAACGTTAGTTCTAGGACATAAAATTTTTCAGTGGAGACACACACATGCTATGGATTTATTCGATAGCAACGCGTTAGTAACTAGTTTCAAATGACACGGAGCTCTAAATTAATTAAAATCTTAGCCGTATAAAAGTAGTATTTGTAAGGATTATTTTAATTTTCATATTGCTTTTGCTCCCGACTCCGACTGCTAAAATCCTTTAATTGGTCAATAAAAAAAGTAACAATACTTACCTATTATCAACTTTGAGTTAATTTACAATATTATTATGCTAAATAAAACATTAATGACAAAATTAGGTTCATATGTTAAGGTGATATGCGTAAATAATACTTATAAAGTAATAATTCTGAAAACCAATAATTATTAATTATTTAAATATGTGACCTCATATACCTAATGTTTATAAGGTCAGCTCACATCGATTAACATTTTTTTTCCTGTCTCTTTATAATAATAATGTCCTTCTGACCGATTTCGACCACGGCGGCCAATCTCACTGAGACCAGCCAGCTACCTGATGCGCAGGAGATGTCATATTATAGCGCACAAGTGTACGCGTAGGCACAATTGCACTCTCTATACCTTTTTATTCTCAAACTCCGATGGGACGATACTTCGACGGGTGAGAGGCACGGGAATGAAACACCGCCAACTTCTCAACTCCGGGCTGTTACTGAGAATATCTTAACAGAAAAACTCGGTAATTAAACTTGGCCCGGGACTCGAACCCAGGACCTCTTTATCTGTGGCGCTACATGCTAGCCACAAGACCATCGAGACACTCTTTATATGCGTAAATGTATATAATATTTCTAAGAAAGTAATATAATACATCAAAATAAACATTTTGTTTTAGGCAAGTAACAGAAAGATTCGGAATCGAAACAAAATTTATTGACTTCACTAAACCTGAACTACTTGAAAATGTTATACAAAAGAATACAAAGGTGAGTTATATTTCCTGTAAAAAAAAACACTTTACATGACAATGCGTTTATTTATGCATTACGGTATTGTACTTATTATTCTGTTTTATTTGTGTTGTGGGTTAGACTACAGTCTACTACCTACTGGCAATAATATAAGGCACTGTAGCCTTTATGATAAGCAGGTATTTTCTCTGCTCAGATGTCGACATTCGATCAATGAACAATGCAACTAGATTCTAGAAAGTGAACTCGTTAATAGGTATTAGTTTCTTTAGCTTTGTTGTACGTTATTTGTGTCTAACATAATAACCATATTATAATTAGCTATTTACATATGTCTATATCTATGTATATATTATATAACTATCTAAATATAGGTATATAGTATTGGGTATTATGAATATATACAACCAACTGACTTTCGGGTGGTATAAACTAAAATTATGTTTTTTCTACACTGAAACAAATTATTATACTAATAAAATTAGAATGTACGTGTTCGTGTTCAAGACTCGCTCTCAAGAGTCGAATTAAAAAAAAAGTACGCTAGTTCTAAATAATATTATATCTAATATTATACCTATATATATATATATAATTTTTAATCGATAATTTTGTTTAAATTTTCATTTCAATTTTGATAAACGTGCAAAATATATTAAAAGGCATTTGAATTTTACATATGCCTTACAATATTTGCCATGGTTTTTCTTTTAATTTGAAATAAAAAAAAATATTTTATGGTAATTTTAGTGTATTGTTGCGAGAACGTTTATGTATGTTGACAAAGTTAAATTTTCTTATCTGCCTTAAGTAATCCATTTCAGCATAACAAGTTTTATCGTAAGAGTTTTGTAAATATAAGGAGATAAGCCTTTAATTGCATATTAAAAGCAATAAAATTATTATCCCCGATTGATATCGATTGCAAATAATTCATAATAATAGCTCTTAAACAGACAAATGTTTTGATAATTATTCGTATTATAGAAAAATATTATGATCATCATATTTTTTGTTTAAAATTCGTTATCTATCTTAAAATATTATTATAATTTACGAATGGAATCTAGATAATATGCCGAAGTTAAACTCGCGGCCGTATCTTTTTGTACGTTTTTCAGAACATTAAATTCATCAACTGAACCTAATTTGTAAAAACCCATATCTGTTGAAAATAGATACCTAAAGTTGTATTTGCACTAGTCATGACGGCAAAGAGCATTACTCATTACACCAGAGATCACAGGTTCAATTTTACACATGTAATATTTGTTTGGATCTGATTATAAAAATACGTAGGTATAATTAAATGCCCTATTCAGCGTTTGTATAATAAACCTAGTAGTGGTAAAGAGAGAATTAATGATTTTTTGTTCTTTATAACATTCTCCATAAGAAACAAAATAAAGAAAATGTCAATACATAAAATAAAGTATAAATAATATAGTAAATTTAATGCAGCTCTCTAAAACTTGTAAACGATAAAAATAACCTTTTTTTTAGATGATCTGGATAGAAACACCGACAAATCCGCTATTAAAAGTTATAGATATAGCAGCAATTTCAAAGATTGCCAAAAGCCATAATAAGGAGATTTTGGTGGTCGTGGACAATACCTTCCTCACGTCCTACTTACAAAGGCCCCTTGACCACGGCGCTGATGTGGTCATGTATTCCTTAACGAAGTACATGAACGGCCACTCAGATGTTATAATGGGAGCTGCTATACTAAATGATAGTATCATTGAAAAAAAACTGAGGTTTTTACAAAATGGTAAGCATATTTTTTTACTACCGCTGATTTATAAAATCATAAATTAAATCAACATTTACACTAGTAATTTTACAATTATACGTAGAGTATACGTAATTGTACATATTATTTATTTTGAATTTCGATCGTTGATGAAAGTAAATATTGTTGAATATTTATTATTAAATGTAACCAAAACAAAGTGATTTACAATTTATATCAAAATATTAATGTTTAGATTTGAATAAAGTATTGATGAAAGGTCATAGCTATATATTTTAAATACATAATCTACATGCTTACATATAATTAAAGAGTGGCAACTGTAATGTTTATAAAAATAACTTTCCTCTATTTTGAACTATCGACCTTCAGTTTGCTTCAGCGTTAGCAGAGAGTGTTGTATCACTATTTTTATCAATTTTTGCGTTACCTGACTTAACAGGGCCATGCGGTAGATTTTGTCAGTATGATGCAAGTTTTAGCCATGCCAATGCTGCCCCTAGGTGATTTTCATTTGGGTTTCGTAGCTGAAATACAAAAGCGAAATACTTATAATTTGAGCGTCCGTCCATATATCTCAATAGTATAATAATATTATGATAGGGCTGGCATATTTTTGAAATAAAAGCCCTTAAAATAAATAGAAAAAAAATATATATTATTCAGAGACTATTGGAGCTATACATATATTGCCGAAATCTAGGTAGGGAAATCATGTCAATTGCTAGACAACTCTGTAAAATTACGAAGAAAAGGGGTTCTCCTAAAAAATGAGTCCACATGAGTTGAGCATGAGAGTTTGGGGTATTTTTAGCTCCCAATTACATATAATTTGTAATTAAAAACAAACACAATTAAAAAATATTAGAAATTACAACAAAAAAATGATTCTTACTTGCATTTTATCTATACAGATAAATAAAATCGAATTGTCTGTTTTTAATGTCAAAATAACAGCTTTTTACTAAATGCATATGAAATTATATACGGTATTTATAAGAAAAACACAATTTAAAAAAAAATTGTCTGTATGTTTGTTCCGGCTAATCTCCAAAACGGCTGGGCCGATTTTGACGGGACTTTCACTGCCAGGTAGTTGATGTTATAAGGAATAACTTAGGCTACTTTTATTTCAGTAAAAGAATTAGGGTTCCGCTCAAAAAAATAAAAATATACCTAGGGACGAACCCAAACGAAGCGAGGATGAGGTCGTATATAATAATGAAACATTTTTGTATGTGTCTAAATATTATAAAATCTATTTCTATGAATTTTTAAGATAAACACGTAGGTATATACTTATCAGTACATAGCTATCATTATTTTGTATAATCAAGCTAGTAACAGCATTCTTAATCAATATGACACGACCATTTTATTTGGAACCACACTAATTACCAATTGACCATATTAAGGATATTGAGTTGCGTCATCCTATTAGAAATTCGAAACTTTTGGTTTACCGCAGAATACCTACAAGTTACAATGTTGTTATAAAACATAGGTATTTAGTTAGTTTTGTATATTGGTTTCTGCACCTTATTACTCTTACCGTCTGTCTGGTTTCGTCATGCAAATATACATATTACATATTTTTACTACTAAGAATTTTCACTAAAATTAACACAGATAAAAGACAGGCAGATCAAAATATTTCGCTCATTGAATAAACTATAAAAACACAATTCCGTTAGTTAATATTGCCATAGGAGTTGACACCATAAATATTTAAATGCAAGTCATGGTGTGGCCCCGGTCTATTATTCCTAATGAAAAACAATCATCTAATTAGCAAGCGATTCGGCTCTAATCACTACATAGTATAAAACAAAGTCGCTTCCCGCTGTCTGTCTGTTTGTCTGTTGTCCCCTATGTATGCTTAGACCTTTAAAACAATTTTTTTTTAATAGATAGAGTGATTCAAGAGGAAGGTTTTAGTATATAATTTGTTAAGTTTTTGTATACATTGGTTAAAATATAACGATATTTGTTGGGAGGTGTCGGAAAAAAATAAACCGTCTGGGAGCTTTCAACGAAAAGCCCTTTGATTAATAACAAAATAATGTATGGATGAATTGTATAATTTATATAGGTCTATAGAAAAGCCCGCGATGGCATAAAAGTCTATCGCTTAAGGATAACATACTATATCCATTTTAATTTAAAACGTACCTAGGGACGAACCCGAGCGTAGCGCGGGTGAGTCGCTAGTGATTGGATAAACATATTCATTTTAGCGAGATGACTAGTAAAATAATGTTATAATTAGTGTTTCAGAAATGTAACATGAGTATGAAAAGTAAATTATTGCGTAAACCTATAAACTGGCACGTCATGATGATCGTCATTTCGACGATGACGACACATTTTCAATTTTTCCTAGAGACATAATCTCTAGGAAAAATTGTACTTGTATGGCACTATCATAACAAGGTCGTAGTACTTAATGGAAATACTGTTATCCTTAGTAATAAGTAATCGTGACTTCTTGTAAATCGCCTACATTGCTTCCTTTAATTTAACACAATATGAACGTACATATATGAGGTTGGCTTTATGTTTCGAAGTAGATTTCACTATCGTATTTTTCTCGTAACAATCTAGTTTTTGCAAGTTGGAACAAGATGTATCAGTGCTTAAGGTCAAAGTGTCATGTTTTTATAATATAATTTTGCATAAGATAATAGAAGAACACTAGAAGTATTATCGCTATCGGCGTATAATACAACAAAAAATTTTAGATAAGATGGAGGGAGATCTATCGTTTCTCTGACATCTATACATATAATAAAATTGTAACTAAGTCGAATCTGTACATTAAATATTTTTTGGAAAAACTTATTGAAATAGACATTATTATCGATACAGGTAATTTTAGATTAGGAATCTAAAATTATTATACTATTATATATAATAATCTTCTTCTCCCTGCCCATTTCCCAAATCACTTGGGGTCGGCGCAGTACATCTTCAGTGTACTGCTGATAGGATTTGGCAAAAGTTTTACGACCGGCCGCCTGCCTGACGTCAACCCTCCTTGGGAATGCTCTTGTCTTTCTTTGTCTGAATGGTGTTAAATATTATGCACTTTCGATTTTGTTGTGTTTTAAAACATTTTTTATACTATTAATTCAATTATTAATGTTATTTTTGGATATATTTTAAAATAAATTTCGATTACACAATAAATTTTGTATTGACATTGTCAAATTTTTTCTTCTAATAAATTATATATAATAATACAGGGATAAAAAAAATCACGAGATAATTTTTGGGTTCTGTGCAATGTACATCCAATAATTAGAAACCAACTTGTGTATTTATCTACTTAAGGTCTAAGTCTGGTTCGATAAATAAAAAAGGAACAGCCATTTTCTTATAAATACAGTTACGAAATATTTATTAGTTGTAATAAGAAATACAAATAAATGTTTATGTATCCTTTTGGAATGTATAGTTATTAAATTTTAAGACATTAAAGATACTTAATTCACGAAATTTAATTTTTTTTCTACGAGTAAAGTCATGCAAAAAGTTTCACAATCTTAACGTGCAAAATTAGATAGAAAATTATGGCATTGTATAGTAGTATAGTAAATTATAATATACAGTGATGGAAGTCTTGCGCGTTTGTCTTAAACTACTGCGTTTACGTTTGAATATTCTTGGTAAATATAAAGAAAATCTTAAGCTTTTAAACCCCAGATATGGTCTACTTCACGCGAATCTCTTAAGCTCAAGACTAATAATAATCGTCATTCGTCGTATTGAGCTATCGAAAATAGAAGGAAATAATTTATTTAGCCATATCAATATTGGATCCCAAATTGTAGAAAATCACGTTGATATTTATATTGGTGGAAATTTGAAAGAATCAAATGGTGTTTGTTATTTCTTAATTGTAACGGCTCTACAGATTTTAGATCCATGCATTAACCCATAAGCTCATAGCTTATTTTTTATCGACGTACCTATATTGAAAGAGGAGTCATGGACAAAAAGTACTCTATAAACTACGAGTAAATAGTCCTAGGTGTATGTATGTATATGTAACTATAGTGCATACAAATAATAATTCCATTATTTTTCTTATATAGCGATGGGTATTGTTCCGTCTCCAATGGACTGCTACTTCGTGAATAGAAGTTTGAAGACATTAGCTTTAAGGATGGAACAGCACAAGAAGTCTGGTCTCATCGTCGCCAACTGGCTTCTGAAACATCCAAAAATTGTTGAAGTCATGCATCCAGGTATTTAAAATATGCATATTAAAACTAGTTTCTTAAATTTTTTCTGACCTGTATTATAATACCGATATAATGACCCTTTCATTATGAGACGTGATGAGGGAAGCTCACGTACAATTTTTATATATTACGTGTTAGGCCAATTGGTATGAAATATGTTTTACCTGCAAATAGTAGTTACTTATACAGAAAAAATACTAAAATTATTGTTTTAGTCAAAAAATATACTCGGAAAAGAAATGCTTCAAGTAATATATATTATATATATATATATATATATATATATATATATATATATATATATAAACATATTTTGATAGCTGCTGTGTTTCCCAGGTTAAAGGATAGAAGGAAAACATGTCGTAACATCATGCACTTGTATCATAAGTCATAACAAAATTGAGAAGTTTCCTGATGTTGATAATATCATATTTAACAGAATGGAATTATAATATAGGTATTGACCTATACTAAAAAATGAGTTTTTTTTGGAATCTATACATATCATAAAATTCTGAGTAGAATCTGTACATTGAATATTTTTTGGAAAATCTTATATATATAATCATTATAAGCGATCCAGAGGCCGAATCTGTAGTTTTTAGATTTTTTTTCTGTTTGTCTGAGAATGTATCACGAGAAAACCACTGGACAGATTTTGATGAAATTTGGTATGATGATAGCTGGTTATCCGGGTCAACATGTAGGATATATGTTACTGCAGGAAAATATCTCACTTTTTAGAAATCTATACTAAACTTTAAAACGTAATCAATAAATGACTAAAAATTTAATTATTCGGCCGTTCAGGTCGTGTGTCGTCATGAAATTATTGTTACAAGCACAACTATAAAGTTATAAGTACATTTTGCGAATTCAACATCATAAGAATCCAACATTTTGCAAATCAGCAGATGATGCTGAGATGTTTTAATAATACTTTCATATTTTTGTTATTTTATTCTCGAGTTTTTATAATTAATAGAAGAAAAAAAAATGGGAAAATTTTCCATTCTTACATAATATCAAATATTTTTAGTATCATCAAAATAAGGGAAAAAATCTCAAAATATACCTATAATATCACTAAAAACCTGTTTTCGGTTTGTTGTTATTAAATTACCAATTGGCAAATATAAAATAAAGGAAGTGGTAGCTCAGTGGTAACGCGCTCGCTTGTGAAACCGAGTGAAGCTGGTTCAAATGCCGAATCTCGCACCTCTGATATTTTCATGTGCGAATCATTTCTAACATCATCACCACTTGCCTTATGGTGAAGGAAAACATTCGAAAGACATGTGAACTCCCCCAACCCGCACTTGTCCAGCGTGGTGGACTATGGTCTCATCCCCTCGTATAATTAAAGGAAGGCCCATGCCCAGCAGTGGGACGTTAAAAATGGCTGAATACAAATTACCAATTTTCCTTTCAAACTGTAACTACTTGTTGCAATTGTCATTCTCTATACCATATGTTACTTATCGTAACTAATTGAATGACGCAACCTGGCCAAATATTACAATTCTAGGAAAAGAATTATGTAAATCTAAGCGAGAGACTAAGAAACTTTGTATATCAACAGTGGGCAAACAACAATTTAGGCCCGTTTTGAAAGGTCAAAAAACTAGAATGATAAAAAAATTTAAGTAAACTACAAAAATAAAAATAAAACTAAATATAAAAAAATCTAATGAAAATATTGCCCAGTCGGGCATCGTGAGGCTTAGGGGCCCTGGGCATGTACCCCATGTGTCCTTAATCCTTATGGTAAAGACGGAACTGCCTATAGGCTATATGTACATATATAATGCGCAAGGAAAAAATAAACTTTAGTATGTCTACTTTAGCTTTAGACTGATGATATTTAACTCGCGTATTTGTACCTTGATAGTATCTAATATTGGCAACTGCACAGCAACTGTAGTTTATTGTAGCTCATTTTAGTGTACACGGTTAATTATATTTGATATTACAGACACAGTTATAATTGTTATATGTGTTAAGGCGCGCATTTATTATATGGATCATAATTTCGTTATCCTGTTATAAATAATTAAAGCCTGTAAAAAAACTAAAACATACTTTATATTTACTCAAAATATTATGAACAAAAAGGCAATAAAAATAATATTATACTAAAACAATTTACGAGGACGCAAAACCGATAATAAACGACACCGCATTTTTCAATTGAGTGTGCAACGTGCACGTCAGTTAGAATTTATTTCAATGTCAAGTACCTAACGTTTAATATATCATTATAGATGATGTCGTCGAGATATGGTAATCCATATTGTTATGAACATGACAGTTATCTATATATAATAATAAAATTGTAACAGAGTCGAATCTGTACATTGATATTTTTTGGAAAATCTTATTGAAATAAGTAGTCATTATTATCCATACAGAGGCTGAATCTACGAGTAGTTTTTAGAATTTTTGTCTGTCTGTCGATGACCGCATACACGAGAAAACCACTGGAGAGATTTTAATGAAATTTGGTATGATGATAGCGGGTTATCCGGTTTAACATATACGATACCTTTTACTACTGCAAAATATCTCATCTCTGAGAAATCTATACTAAACGTTAAAACGTTACTAAAATGTTTGTAAATAAAATGTTTAGACGAATTATGTAAAATAACACTTGTCTCGATTGTTTTATATTGTTTTATGCTTTTAGGAAACCAAAAAAAAGAAAACCTTTGAACAATTGTTGATTAGATTAAATGAGCCGAACCTGGAAGCTTTTACTAAGAGCTGTTGAAGAGTTCCACTATTTTTATCCGGCTTATTTACAAAGTTTCAAATTAATAACAAATTATTAGAAGTAGATTTCAAGATTTACACACAAAAGCCATTTAATTTTTTCTTATTATATATAATACCTACTAGTAATTTAAGATTTTTATTATTTAAGTTGATTTGAATAAACATAAAGCAACTTTAACTGCGCGCTCTAAGCATTTTCATATTGGGCGCGATCAAGTTTACTGGACTAAAAGAAGATACATGATTTTATTTATTTATTTTTAGGTCTTCCATCACACCCCCAATACCAAGTAGCCATTAAGCAGATGACAGGACACTCGGGTGTATTCAGCTTCAAGCATTCCGGGGGATTGAAGGAGTCTAAAAAGTTCTTAAGTGCTCTTAAAATATTCACATTAGCAGAGAGTTTGGGAGGATACGAGAGTTTGGCAGAGCTACCGTAAGTATTGTTACAGATCATACAATACTATTAAAGCTACCCCATTTCATACAAAGAAATTAGATTTATTTAATTCGGGCTATTGTGTTTGGCTGAATAGACGATAGATAGCAAGCACTAAAGAAAATCCTGCCAAGTATATATAGGTATTGTGGGCAATATAACAAATTGCATTGTGGGTAATATATACAAACTTTCTCCCGCCAAGCAACAATGATTACATTGTTGTGTTCCGGCTTGAAGGATAAGGTAGCCAGCGCAATTATTACAGGCAAGAGGCATATCATCTTAGTGCTCACAGTGACAACGCACCTGCAATTTTGTATTTTTGTAACATAAAACCTAAGTGCATGAACCGTAGGTGTTATGGGCAACAGGTACCGCTTTCCATCAGGTGGGCTTGTCTACTCGTTTGTCACTGAATAGCTAAAAAAAACTGCAATAAAAAAATTAAATTAAAAATTTTCACACGTTAGACTTCTCCAATCGTTTTGCTTCGTGTGAAATAAATTTTTGGGTAAATATGATTGATTGAAACTGGCATAAATTGTTAATATAATATAAACCGCGTCATCTTAACAATATTATAAATATGAAAGTTTAAATGGATGTTTGTTACTCTTATCACGTCATAACGGCTGAACAGATCTGGATTAAATTTGGCACAGAGATAGATTATACTACTTTTTATCGCGAAAAAATGTACAGTTCCCGTGGGATAGTTTTGTTTTTTTTTTTTAGAGGCGATCCCGAGCGAAGCGAGTGTGAGCCGCTAGTAAAATATACGCAATGCAAACTGTAAATAAAGACTGATCGTCTGTTCTCTCTATCTTCCACATACCCTGATCGCACACGTCTAGTTTATAATATCTGCCACGTATGTGTGGGCATGGCATTAGTCTTTGTAACGTTATTTATCGTGACGATGTCAAATTTAACTGTCTAGAATTACGTGTATGAACAAGTATCGTGTATGATAGTTAGTTAGTTGCTAGATGAAAGACTTAAATACTTTATATTTTAGAGACACTATTTGTTTGCAGAAGCATTTCATCGAAATGAATATTTATTTAAAAATATACACGACTTAAAGTCGTTTACATTTGCTTATCATAAAATATTACCAAGTTTAAATAAAAGGATGTAACATGGATTACGCAGACGCATATGATAAGGTTTAATATATAGTATTTACTAAGCATGGAAATGATTGCTACTTTTAAATCATTATCATATGATAAAATTACGTATATTTTTCACGTGATTTCACCTGCTACTTTTCACAGGCAATGATTTTTTATTTCGACGGTGTGGTGTCACACTTTATATTATTTGCTATTAAAATGAAGTATTAGTAGGGGAGCCCAAGAGGGGATTTTCTGTAGTTACTCGAGCGCGGCAGATTAACATAAAAGAGGTTACCTTGCACTCTATTGAGTACTTTCACCATAATATAAGTCTTCTATATAAAGGGGCGCGTCTAGGGAGGCCGATTAAAATATTTAAAAAATGTTTTGATAAGGTAGAAATACTTGAAACCGTCAGATTAAGGTGTGGTAGGCTAGTCACATCCTGAAAAGTGTCCAATTCAATAATCTGCCGATTTGCACAAGCCGAAGAGGCAAAAATCGACTATAAAGTTTATGGTGATTTGTAGCAGTCACTGTGAATTTAAGTAGCAGGTGTGACGTATGATAACGCATTTCATGTGATTTTTCACTTGCTACTCGTGAAATGTTCCATGCCTAGTATTTACTTAAAATAAAAGTATTACTATGTTTTGAAGTCGGTTTATATTTTCAATATAATATTAGCAATATGCAATGAAAATCAATCCAAATCAACATATTTATAGTAAAAAAAACATAAATACTTGAGTACGAATTAGAATTTAAACAAAGGATTATGTACTGGTGGCATTGTTACTTTTAATAGCTTCTTCCATCGAAATACATATTTTAAATTGCATCGGTGGCCTAGTGGGTAGAATGTCACCAGCATGTGACTACAGAGTACAGACCCGGTAGCACTGGGTTGAATCGCGGGTCGGGCAAGTTAAAGTTAATAAAGGATGCTCTAATATCTACGTGTTTTAGCATTTTTCAAAATTCATCCCTTAAGAGCGTAAAATAGGCCATGAAAGTTTTTATGAAACCTACCTTTTTAGAGTTTTTTTTTGTAGTTTTAGCGCGAGCGAAGCCGCGGGCTCTACTAGTTATTATATATATTTGGAACTAAGCATAAATATTTTTCTAATATTTCAGATCGCTTATGACACACGCGTCAGTTCCCGCAGAACAGAGGGCGGTTTTAGGAATAACGGATTCACTTATTCGTCTGTCGGTCGGCCTCGAGGACACCGACGATATAATCAAAGATCTAGATCAAGCATTGACAGCTGCATTTCAATAAATTATCACCTACTATGTAATAATGACTTTTTAACACAAAAACTATACCGAGCTTCGAACATACAAGTAATTACCCCTGTTTGTTTGCTGTTACTTCTGCTACTGCTAATTTTTTTTTTTTAACGTTGGGAAATGCATTTACGCACGAGGTGTGGGACTCACCAAACAAAGCCTTCCCCCGTCTTAATGGGGCGTTGCAGGATCGCTTACGCATTCAACTACGACGCCCCGACTGCAGGTCTGCCTAAGCAGACCACAACAACCACGGGGTTGGTCCAAGGTCCACTCTGCTATCAGAGAAGTACCAGGAGCAACCCGCATGGTACACCGCCCTCCGAAGAGGGCCACCTCCCACCGCCCACCGAAGTGGGCCACCTCCCTGTGCGTTTCTTGGCTTCGCGCCCGGCTGTATTGCCGGGCACTACTGAGCTCCCCCCACCACGACAAGGTGAACGCACGTTGGGGGGTCTGCTACTGCTAACTGCTGAACAGATTTTAATGTAATTTGGCAACTATATACACATATTGCATTATGGGGATGGAAACTAGAAAGATATTATCCCCGTCCCGCTTACTATGCAAGCAATCCCATCACCCATGAGCAGAAACTAGTATTCAATAAAAAGAAAATGGTTAAAATCTGTTCGCAATCGCTCTGGATTTTTTTAAGGAGGTTATAAAATCGAATACTAATAATAAGTTTGGTCGTCAGATAAGTGAATAGCTGGTCTATTCATTAATATATAATTATTTTTTTAGACACATAGGTTGCATTTGTATGGCTCCCAAGTATCCTTATATTGCATTTGCTAGTAGTTAATTGTATTTGAATTGTTTTGGCAAATTCCTATTTTTTTTATATAAAATAAATTATTTATTAAATTTTTATAATTTTTGTATAAAAAAATTAATATATTTATAACATATCGTCCCCTTTCTGTGTAAACCTCGTAACTCCATTTTTTTCGAAATTGAGATTTTTAGCGAAAACCACTCCTTAGCACCCTTGTAACGTAAAACAAAACATGCAATGTTCATAATGTTGATAGAATTTTTTTTAGAGGCTTTTGATTTTTCTCGTATCTACATGTTCGAATTCAAAAACCTCGTATCTACCGTAAGTATCGCTGAAAACGTTAAGATGGCGTTGTTGTCTTATTACTGAATGTTTGTAAACATGTTCACACTTAAGTTGACTGTATTTTGTTGATTGACATTTATTTTTTATTCATATGAATACATATAAAATTATTAAAATTTGGTAAAATTTGAGACAACTATTTATCAGAAATATTTAACTGTTGGTCATACACAAATGGAGTGCGACTCTGTTCATTCATCTATTGAAAGAAAAAAGAAAAACAAGGAACTCTACGTGCCAGCAGATTTTGTTCGCATCATCAAAGAAGCTAGAATGAATCCAGAGCCATATAAAGTTATTTATGTTGATCACACATTTTTTAAGGATTTTTCTAAAATAATTTTTTACAAATCGATAAGACCCGGTTCAAAAACAGGAGATCCACAAGTTACTGATTTAAAATGTCTTAAATACGATTCAACTGGGCTGTATTATAAACTCGATTACCAGAACGATTGGACCTTATTACCTCAAAAAAAATCTAGAATAAATGTAAATCGAAAAAATATTATCACTCCGTTATATAAAAAACCGATTTCTATTACATCAAGAAAATTCAAAGATTTGCAAAGTTTGAAAAGATTGCTACCCCAAGATTATCATAATTTCTATGATCAATTAAAAGTTGAATCTATTGTAGAAGAATAAGTTTAAAAAATTGTAAAATTGATCCTTACTTCTTAGTTCTAGTTATTGTTCAAGTTATTTCTTATTACTTATTTTTCAGATTATCCTGCTGTTAATTTGTACATTATTAAATAAATTGTAAACATATTTGAAAAAAATAATTAAATCATATTATAAATAGTAATCATTTATAACACATTAAATCAAAATCAAATGAATTTGTTTTAATTAATAAATATAAAATAATAATGAATTGAATGTGAAAGCCTTGCATAACAAAATTTTTCGCCAATGATCTTATAGAAAAAAAAAATTAGTATCAAAACCTCGTATCTGCAAAAAAGTTACCAGGGTATTTGATGAAAAAACTCGTATCTACGTTAAATTGATAATAACAACAAGGTATCGATGCAGATAGCAAAAATGATGTTTAATTATTTTAAGGTGATAAATAAAGAGTATAAATTTTAAATTAGTTATAACTTTTTATGAAAATTAAGTAACTCTAAACGTTTTTATCGATTTACTGAAAATTAAGATTTTGTAGATACGAGGTTTACACAGAAACGGGGCGATATGTGATGAGCGATGACATGTATTTTTAATTTTTACTTATCATTTTTATAGTACCAAACTGCCATGTATAAAAGACAACTTTTTTTTCAAATGAGTATGTATTAAAGCCTTGAGGCCATTTACTTTTCAAATGAATTACAAGATTTCTGCAATTTGAAACTATTTAGTTAGATCACTAACCCAAAAGAGGTATTTTATTAAAATGTTTACTGATTATTTTTACTTTCAAAGACATAATACAGTATTTAATTAATATATCACTACCTCATGTCGCCACAGGCAAAGTTCCGAGTATAAACTTACATTGCATATAAAAATAACAGAGAACATAGCATCAGTAATATTTTTAACAAACAAAAAAAAAGTTATAATGAAAAGAAATACAATAGTAATATGGTGTTCATTATTTTTTGTTTTTATAAAGTACCCATTATGTCCGTTTACCCTAACAAAATAATAAGGAAGTTCAAGAAATAAATTTAATCTCAATTTTATTAAATTATATTTAATTATACTTATTATCATATAATTCATTTTTACACTAATATATAATAATATTATTATTAATTTATTAACTATGTAAAAATAGGATTTATATGTATAATTGTAAAAAAATTGATTCTTTAAGTCATTATATAAAAATTTTATTTGAGTTTTCTTAAGTCATTGTCATCTTGAGTGGAAAAAGGGCGGGAAAAGCGTTGTGTTTTTGTAATGTTGTTTGAGGCGTTACTCTGACTACAAAATAATAAAAACTGTGTGCTTTTACACCGAATTTTACTTGGCTTACCTGACCTTTTTCTCAGAATTCTCCCCTAATATTCAACACTAGCGACTCACCCTCGATCCGCTCGGGTTCGTCTCTACTTACGTTTTAATGTTTAGTATAGGTTTCTCCTAAGAGATGAGATATTTTCCCGCAGTAAAAAAGTATCCTATATGTTGACCCGGATAACCAGCTATCATCGTACCAAAATTCATCAAAATCCCTGTGATTTTCCGGGGTGTTCCGTGATGCGGTCATAGACAAAAATTGTAAAAACTATAAACTTTTTTAATAAGTATTTTCAATTAGAAATTACTTTTATCAACGTATTAATATAGTAATAAAATTTCTATTTATTGTGTTGGTTTACATGAAAAAGAATGATTATTATCTATATAACACAAACTCTGTAACAAGTATGTAACGCGTTTTAGATGTTTAAAACGTTAGTCTCTACCGCGACTATGATTCCTGTAAAGCATTCGAAACGTCGGGAACCAAAAATCAAAATAAATCCGCGAAATAATCCGAAAAGATAGTTTTATTAATAGATTTTATTAAATAGATAAATGACAAATATATTCGCGTAAATCTAAGAAAGTATTATAGTACCTACAGCATTATTCAAAATATATAATGATAGTTGTACTTAAAGGTCACCTGTAACTGTGGTCATATGTGTACTATTAATAAGATGTTATATTGTAAAATCGGTTAGTATATACTTAGGTACCTAGTTACCTACTCTTTCAGAAAAAATAAAAAATTCGCATGCCATACAAGCAAAGACGCTTGCATTGATATTGCCGAGTTTATTCATAAAGGCGCAGTTTCTGAATTCATAAAAAGTAATTAATCAAAAGTTGGTTTGCGTAATGAAGAGTTCTGTATAATTTTATAGATTACTCGTAACAGATTAAGCACTCTCCAAAATCCTCCATATTAACCGCTTTAATACTAATTTATCCTTTTTTATGGCAACATACGTGTGAACGAAGTTTTATCTAACTAATCGTGCTTTATAGCAGAAATGCCCGTGAACCCTCGCAGTAACAGTATATCCCTGTTGAAAAACTCCAATAGAATCCCATCAAAAGTGACAAAAGCCACATAGAAACCAATACATATTTATTGGTTTCTATGTGGCTTTTGTCACTTTTGATGGGATTCTATTGGAGTTTTTAAATAGGGATGCTTGTAAGGTAAGAAATTGTTTTAGTCTTTTTTTATTGTAATACTTAACTAGTAGTTAGTACAGAATACAGATACCCCATTTTAAGCCCCTTCCTATGTAAGAAATAGATAAATTGACTTTGGTTCAGGCTATTTTGTTTACTTAATTAAGCAATGTATTCAGCCCTTTTTAACGTCCCACTGCTGGGCACGGGCCTCTTACATACGAGGGGGATCAGGCCATAGTCCACCACGCTGGCCAAGTGCGGGTTGGCGGACTTCACATGTCTTTCGAAAACTTGCTAGGTTCTCTCAGACATGCAGGTTTCCTCACGATGTTTTCCTTCACCGTAAGGCAAGTGGTAATTATGTTGGAAATGATTCGTACATGAAAATATCAGAGGTGCGAGACCCGGGATTTGAACCCGCTTCACTTGGTTTCCCAAGCGAGCGCGTTATCACTGGGCTACCACTGCCTAGTTTATATTAGTTTATATTATTTGATTAAGCAATACTTAACATTTATTCGCGCAATGTCTAAATTATTTTATAAATATGTAGTACCTATTTTTTATCTTTTACTAATTAGGTACTATAAACACCAATAAATCTATACCAATATTATAAAGAGGTAAAGCTTGTGAGTTGGTGAGGTTGTACCAGCTGTAAGGGGTAATCTCTGGATCTACTGAACCGATTTAGATGTTTGGTAAGAAGATAGTTTGGGACCCTGGGACGGATATAGGATACTTTTTATCCCGAAAATCATCCCTTAAGGCTGTGAAAATGGGAATAAAAGTTTGTATTAGGAAGCAAGCTAATAGTTAATAGATTGATTCATAATATTGTAACAATCAAGTATAGAATTTATTGTTTCTTTTTCTTGAATTCTAATGAGAAATTTCTTATTCTCGATTCCAATAGGAAACATGATAGTGCGTTGAGACCGAGACGGTTCTCTTAATACGCAACTTTACCACGTGAGCTTGTAAAAATACTATATCGCGGGATCCGCATATTTTGATTAATAATATAATTTCACAATATTGACCTACATTAAACTAATTTATAAATACTTTATAAAGATTATTATTTTTTATTTTTTACCCGACTGTGGCGAGGCCCAAAGGAAGGGTTAAGTGTTTGACCAGATGTATGTATACCCCATCCTATGTTCCCTCGTAATTACTAAACGACCAAACCGATTTTGATAGTTCATACGTCGTTAGATTAGTCTTGATATCATAATGGATAATGCGAGTGGTATAGAAGACAAAGTGGGTAGGCATATACCTGCTAACGTTAGTTAATATTACTATCAATATACCAATTTATAATTGTTATTTGTTGTGGCATTCATGTCCAAATGCTCTAAAAATCGCAATTCTTGTAAACGTTACCCAATGAGACGGCGGTGGTATCTAGGCCAGTGAGGTCAACGGCGCTAAATCAATCAGATAACTAACTTATGTACTTTATCGTTACGAATTTATTATGCATGGATAAAAATAAATAAACAGTAATAAAAATATTAACATTTGTTACACATACTAATCTATAAAATATAAATAAATATAAAGACATATAGTCATCAAAAATCTTCTTGTAAGAAACTCTGCAAAGCCTCGAAGCATTTTCACTGTTTAAAGTTTTAATATCCGTACTACACTACTTAACCGAAACTATGTATATATATATAACTATAACTTTTTTAAATATATACATTATATATATAAATATATAAACACCCATAACTAGAGTACAACCGCTGGCACAGCAAGTAGGGTCACTACAGACTGAGCCAAACGTGTCGTCCAAAAAAGAGACGTGTTAAAAAGAGTACCTACTTATACAGGGTTACATATTAAAATACATTACATTAAAATTAAATAACATAACATTAAAATATGTACAATAATACAGTGACAGCAAGATGCAATACATAAACGTCTAAAAAAAGAGAGAAAAAAAAGAGTATTCCTCGCGTTACCAAAATTATGTTAATTTTAAATTTGAGAATTGTTGTACAAAAGTTTTAAGTTAGTACTCTTAAATCTATGTGAAGTGTCAGAAAATATATCGATATCAATAGTTCTAGACTTAGAAAGTGTGTTGTAATTTAAGAACTTATCCACGACATGAACCGTGTACATTTATACATGTCTGGCTCCCATAGAGTATATTGCTACATATATAAACTGGCTCCATTGATCAGTGTCGTAACTCGTATAGGTCGTCCCGCTAGCAAGCAGTCTCTTGTGAGAATTGCACAGAGTAGGTGTATAATATTATGGATTCTTTAATTTTTATCATTCGATAACGGTGGCTATGTAAATAACATCATTCTGATATACAGTTCATTTCAAAACTATCAGTTGATTACGTTTGTATTATTATCGAATTTGCTATCGCTTCGAGCATTCTGTTTATCTTTTTGTTGATAGTAAGTACATTTCATGAATTGTGGCTTGCAATTTGTCTCTTAGTTACCTACTTACATTAAAGATACATTCTAAAGAGTGTGGTGCCTTTTCCCGTTCCTCGCTTGTTTTTGAACTTTACGGTAAGACTAAGCATTTCTTTGCACTTATTGTAAAGTACCTATACCTAGGTATTGTGATAGAAACCGTTAGCTACTTTTATTTATTACAATTTTGGTTACATAAGTCAGCATTGTCTCACTTTAAATGTCTATATTGAAAATAGTAAATTATTGCTTCTATGATAACAATATACTGTAATGTACTATTAGATATATTTTAACTAATAATTGTCGCACATGAAAAATATGTATTTTCTCATTTTATTTTTAGATGACAATCCGTTGGGGAATTGTAACTTCAGGGAAAATCTCCCATGACTTCGTCAATGCATTTAACAGCTATCCTGATATTGGAGACCAGGTCATAGCTGCGGTGGCTGCCCGGGACAAGTCCAGAGCAGAGGAATTTGCTAAAATACATAAAATTGGCAAAGTATTCAGCACGTACAATGATATGGCAAAAAGTAGTGATATCGGTGCGTCTTAAAGTGTATTATTTTAATCATTACATTGTTATTATTATTATTATTAACATATTTTCTAAGAATAAGCAGCCAAGGATATTACAAAATACCTTTATAGGTATATATAAAAATAATACTTATATATAAAAATTAAAAATCAATTGCCGTTTGTTAGTCTCGCTAAAACTCAAAAACGGCTGGACCGATTTAAATAATTCTTTTTTTGTTTTTTAGGACGTGTGTCAACGGTGGTTTAAGTATAAAAAAATAGGGAAACCCCAAAAAAATAATTGGGAAATCGAAGTCAGATTTTGCACCTATAAATGTATATTACATAGTCTACCTATTCCATGACTAACTGTTAAAACGTACCTAGGGATGAACCCGAGAGAAACGAGGGTGAGTCGCTAGTGTGTATATAAATACGAAAATTAAAACAAATTGTACAAATTATATTTTTTAGATGTGGCATATATTGGAGCTCTCAATCCTGACCACTACGAACTAACAAAGTTATTTCTCGAGTCTGGCAAACATGTGCTATGTGAAAAACCGTTATGTTTAAACTTAAAAGAAACACAAAGTTTGATCAACATCGCGAAAAGCAAAAACCTTTTCTTAATGGAAGCTGTGTGGTCTCGTTTTGCTCCAGCATACTTAGCCTTGGAAAAAGAAATTCAATCGGGGAAATTGGGTGATATACAATTTGTCGAAGTCAATTTTGGAGTTCCAATTGCAAATGTTGATAGAGTAAGGTAAACCTAATTTCAATATTTCTATAAGTGTACCTACTAGAATGTTTACTCAGAACATTACTAACTTAAATGATAAAGCATTTTAGGAACATTTCTCATTTTTAAACATATATTCAAGAATACCCTACAAATGTATACACACTTACTTTCATATAGTTATAGTACCTACTAGTAGTCGCCGAGTGAAATGGATGTGTCATGACATACAGACATGAGGAATTACGTGGGTTCCTTTTTTTTCTTTTAGCTATGGAATTGAAAATAATATTTCAATGACATAATAACGATTTTACATTTTTTACAGAAAGAAAGATTTAGGAGGTAGTGCAATTTTAGACATCGGTATTTATAATCTACAATTTGCACAGTTTGTATTTAAAGAAGAACCTATAAAGGTTACTGCTGTTGGTGAACTAAATGATGAAGGTGTGGATTTGGTCGACGCAGTCGTTCTGGAATATTCGGGTGGTAGGAGCGCTGTACTCAATGTACATTCAAAAGTAAAATTGTGGAACAAAGCCACCGTCTACGGGACTTCCGGAAGAGCAACAGTATGTAAATCAATATTTTAGCTTATGATACGTAACACATAATACAAATTTGTGCAAATGAACTTTGTGAATGTGTTTGTTATTCCTTTACACTCGCGCTGTAGCGATTCATCAGATTTAAGTGAAATCGAGATAACTTAAGGAAAACTTTATTTTAAGGAAGAATTTATAGACAAAAATCTAATGTAGGTAACTTAATGTAAATATTTTATGTCTGGCGAGCATAGATGTGTTTACGTTCGCTATATACCTATGGTTATTGGTCTAAGTTACATGAGCGAAGTTTCAAGATATACCTTATAATATCTAGGGTTTCATATTGACGACATGATTGGCTCAGTTTGTAGTGACCCTACTTGATGTGCCAGTGGTCGCGGGTTCGAGTCCCGCTGGGGGCATTCATTTGTGTAATGAGCACGAATGTTTGTACTCAAGTCATGGGTGTTTATATTTATAATATGTATGTATTTAAAGTTATATATGTGTAGTGCTAGTTCTATCTGGTATCCATAACACAAGCCTCGTAGCTTACCATGGAACTAGATGGCGCTGTGTGTTAATGTCCCAACATATAAAAAAAATATATTATTAAGGTTTCTATATTAAGTATCTATAAAGACAATAAAGGAATTAATTACTTTGCAAAAAAATAAGTATATACGTTTTATTTTAGGTTGAGGATCCCTTTCACTTTCCGGATACCTTAATTCACGTTGATGGAAAAGTAGAAAAGTTTCCTCTACATGAATCTAGTTTAAACTACAACTTTGAAAACAGCGCTGGGTTGGTGTACCAAGCTATCGAAGTTGCACGTTGTATCCGAGAGGGTGAGTAATTGTATGCTAGAGTGTTGAAACTTCGTATAAATATTTTTTCTTATTATCTACCTACTAATGAAACTGTGGTAGCTAAAATATTATCCTATAACTACCTCACGTAGAGCATAAATTATAAACATACTACTGGCTCGCCCTCACTTCGCTCGGGTTCGCCTCTAGGAAAACAAAAACAAACCTATCCCACGGGAACCGTACATTTTTTTATTAATTAATTAATTATTAACATTATTATATAAAGAAAAGATTTATTTGTTTATTGTAATCTAAAAATAAATTAAATAAAAATAAATTCTGAAACTACTGAGCCGTCGAGCATTTTTTCACTAATAGAGCTATTTAGATTATCCCACGGTGCTATAGGCTACACAATATAATATTTGTATGGTTTTTACTTTTTTGCCGAGCTGTCAGAGTTTAAAAGCTAATAAGTCGGAAAAAATATCACTTAAGAATTGTGCATTTGAGTGCGGTGCCCAAATGGTTGTATACCTATATATTACTAGCGACTCAACCTCACATCACTCGGGTTTGTCCCTAACTTGCTTCCCCATACAAACTTCCATCCCCATTTTCACCTTCTAAAGGGATGTATTCCGGTAAAAAACTTATTTACTTCCGGTATACTATGTCCTTCCCAGGGTGTCAAACTATCTTCTTACCAAATTTCAACTACTTAAATCGGTTCAGTAAATCCAGAGATTACCCCGTATAATCTCACAAACTTTACCTCTTTATAATATTAGTAGGTTTAGATGTAAAATCGATGCCTCAATATAGCTTAATCTATACATATAATAAATTTGTAACTGAGTCGAATCTGTACATTAAATATTTTTTGAAAAATCTAATTGAAATTGACATTATTACCGATACAGTGTCCGAATCTATAGTTTTTAGAATTTTTGTCTGTCTGTCTCTCTGTTACAGCATCACAGAAAAACCACTGAAGGGATTTTGATGAAATTTGGTATGGTGATAGCTGGTTATCCGGGTCAACATATACTTTTTACCTCGGGAAAATGTCGCATTTCTGAGTAAAAATACAAAAACTGCCATTGTAAGAGTATACTAATATGTAAAACCTAAGAATTTGGGTTTTAGTCATCTGAACGCGGGCGGAGCCGCGCGCAATGCTAGTACATACATATGTACAGAAACTTTTAAGGCCCACAAAAAAAGAGGATCCGCGGTACCATATAACTAAATACCTATTTCATTTTACAAGAATATAATATGGCATACATTTTAAATATTTCTTATTTCATATCATATGATATCATCACACGAATATTAATTTCATAAGTAGGTACATTTTTAGTTATACTACTAGATATTATTATGTGATCTATAGTTATACACAGATACTACAACTGAACTGAAGAACGTTAACTTAATATTTTTACAGGTTTGAAAGAGTCTCCTCGTATGTCTCATCAAGAAAGTCTCGTACTTGCTAAGCTCAGGGATATTGTACGAAAGCAAATTGGAGTTCACTTTGATGTTGACGACAAGAAATATTGAGACACCCTGTCTTTGTGATGAATTCTGTTTAAAATAACTTTTTCATTTTTCATCTTTGTATACATTATATGAAATAAAATAAAACTCGTTTCTTTTAAATAGTTTTGTTATTCAGATTATGGACTTAACGCTTAAAATGCACCATAAAAAGTGAAAATATTAGAAAGAACTTTTTTCTTTCGCCAGTAATGATACGATCATAATTAAAATACTGTAAGAAGTCTATTAAAAAAGAAACGAACTCGTTAAACGGTAGCAAACCAATATTGTGATTCCCAATCCTATTCCTTTCTATTAGGCGCAATCTATATCTATATATAGATAAATAAAATTGAAGTGTCTGTTTGTAATGTCAAAACAACAGCTTTTTACTATATGGATATGAAAGTATATAATAAAAAAAAACAATTTTTAAAATTATTGTTTGGCTGTCTGTCCGTCTATCTATTTATTCTGGCTAATCTTCGAAACAGCTGAACCGATTTTGACAGGACTTACACTGGCAGATTTTTGATGTTATAAGGAGTAACTTAGGCTACTTTTATTTTAGAATAAGAGTCAAGGATTCGCGTATAAAAAAAAACCCATGAAATCTATACGGATAAATAAAATTGAATTGTCTGTTTGTAATGTCAAAATTGCTCACTATAATGAATAATTCTGATATTGGCCGACCTGCTCCGACATCAGAAATGGGATGAACCATACCATGTAACGACGAAATTGGATGATGCTTCGAAAAAGGTTTTAAGCGATATGGAGGCTTTACTAACACGACTGTTAGGGATATGTCGCAAGCACAAACTACTACAAGTACCAATGTGAATGATCTTGTTTTGTTCAATTCTGGTGATGCATAAGCAGATATAGGCGGATGGTGCAACGTCACAGAGGCAAAAAAGAAATACTGAGGGTTTTGATTTGCTAGTAGCTCTTATAGATGCGTTAAAAGGTTGTGTTACTACCTATTTGTTGAAATTAAATCTTAATGAACTAATGCGGACCGCTGTAAAATAAATATTATTAGCTAAATTTTCCAAGCCTAAGCTTATTCAAGATTGTTTTGATGATATTTTAAGATTTCAAGTTAAAACGAGAGAATCAGCACCTAGTCTGAAAGAATATCTAAATCTGAGACTGAGTTGTCAGAATAAATCACTTATTCACACAAACTGGATTTGTTACTTCATTACTGTGTTATAAGGATAAAATGATATGAGGGGAACTGGCCGCTCATGTCGTAACTACTAGAGTACAATTGTTTCAAATTCTTGGTGCCTGGTGGTGTTTCCTAAAGCGTCGATCAGATGTCACCGATTGATATCAAGATCCTGATTGCAAGAGATCATCTTTCGGTGAGCAAGTTCTTTTTCTATATAATAGTGGATCTGCTTGTTCCCTTTTAAAAGAGAATTGTGTCCAAATGTAAAGTACCAGGAAATATTTGGACACAATCACAATCGTCATAATGTAGTATATCTTACTAGTATTGGCAGATGATCTTAAATGCAGTAGGTACTCAGATTCTGAGTGAAATTAAAATTACACATATTTGGAAAAACTTGTTTGCGTATCTGATAATGTTATTTCTGACCCTGATATTTTGGTAAAGGTTTATTATTTATAAGTAACGATTGATAACGATAATCTCTTTGAGCGTAGTGAATCTAATTATGATAGGGTGAACGGTGATTTGTCGCATATACTTGGCTGGTTTGAATTAAATAACGTAGTATTAAATGCGACAAAAATAGAATGTGTCGAGTTTGCATTGCCTGGTGTAAAAATTTTAGTCTGATATGAATAGTGAAACACTGGAAATAACCGAATCAGTAGGTACTATTTTTAGGCATAGCACTAGACTCCAAACTCCAGTCGAACCCCCCATCTTTCGACAATTGTGGGTTATGTATGTAAGTAGTTCCGCCGCCTATGCAGTTGGGAAAGTTGGAAACCTGGCGAATATTGGGCAGGGGCACTGCCCGACTTGAGTATTTTAGTTGTTTTCATAGTGTTTTTTCTTACGAAATGCTTCTTCGGGGCAGTGCCGCGGAGATTAATTCGATATTTATTCTTCAAAAAAAAAAGAGCAGTACGGGCTATTTGTGATCTGGGAGCTCGTGATTCTCTTCGAGGTGTTTTCAAAAAAAAATGGTGTTCTTACGGTTGCGTCACAATATATACTCGTACTGTATAATATATTGCTTGTTCGCGGAAATTTAAATATTTAGGTATGTAATAAAAAAAATTTAACAAAAAAATAAAAACCGACTTCAAACAAAAGCACTAAAAAGTAAGAAATAACTGATTGGTAGTTTTCATTTACTATACATACCTAATCAAATATTTTCGAAGTTGGTATGCTTTGCTTTGTATGGGCTGGCACCGATTTCGAGGATATTTGATTAGGTATGTATTTAATAGGTAGGCTTTAATTACTTAGCCGTTGTGACTTACACACAATCCCAAATACTGCAACTAATCCAGCCACTCTTATTGCAAATTCAGATACCGTGCCGTTGGTTCAGACAGTATTAGTGTTTGTCCTGATCTAGACACAATTTACGTACAGGACGTACGAGGTTGAAATTAGTATCTACTGAGGAGGATTGTTCATTATAACAAGATATGGTTTCATTGTATGCTTTATATTCAATAAAATATGATTTATGTTTAGTGACTAAAATAATCCCAGGGACAGTGTCTTCCAGTCCATGCCTTCTTATAGGGCTGGTTCAAGGGACACAGCTGTCCAGTACGTGTTTACGTTGTGGAGCGGGTCGAAAGGACAGTGTCGTCCAGTCTATGCCCATGGTTATGGGATAGTCAAAGGGACATACCCGTCGGATCCATATTGAGTTGGTTTAAGGAAAGATGTCATCCGGTCCATAAGCTGAGATGGTTGAAAGGATACATGCTTTCATATATTTTGATTTCTGTGTAGAGTGTGACAGAGTATATTAATTTTAATGCTAGTAAGAGTAATGTTTCTGAGTGACAGGATAGACGAGCGGGTCACATAGTTATGTAACCCGCTCGTTCTTGGTTTCAGAACGGCTACAATAAAGGGACGCACGAGGACGGTTGGGTGTCAGTCCGGTCACGACGGCGCGCTCAGTGCCATATGGAGGTTTCGGCGAGCTCATCGGATTAGAGTGTGAATTCAGGCTTCCACAGCACACTCTAGTAAAGCGTCGAAGCGATAGCAAGGTGATACAAACTAGCAGGCTTGAAAAAGAAATTAAAATAGAGAAAAAAGTAGGTATACTATTAGAAAAATAATAAAAGGAATGTCAGATTTGGGCCGTCCGTGCACCACGTATTTTCAAGTTATTTTTTACGTACTTATTTCCAAATTTGTTTCTCATTATTGATCGCTTACGTTTCATTTGTGCTTTATTTTGTGAACATTGTTTTATAGTTTTGTGTGTGTGAAGTGTAATGACTTAGTTGATTAAAATCTACTGTATTTGTTAAAAGACTTTATTTAAGTCACGCCCACTATAATGAATAATTCTGATGTTGGCCGTCCTGCGCCGACATATTTATTTTCGATAGACAGCTACGGTCATAGAGAGAAGGTAGGAACATAAATAGCCTCATAGTACGTGTCTCTTATTTTTTTTCGCACTCTTAAATCTTTTTTTATCTTATTAATTATTAGTTTATTTATTTATATTTTGTTCTAACGTAGGTACTGTTTTCACTCTAGTTAGATATTTGTTAAAAAATATTTGATGTAAATTGCTGGGGTTGATAGATTGCCGCCCAGAAGTTTTCCAACATGTTCACTTATAAATAAAATGATTTATAATTATGAAATACTTGAAAATGAGTTAATTCCAGAGATTCAGTTATTATAGCCTTCAGTTATTTTCTTTAAAAGTTTATCTTTATGATCGCTTTTTTACACTACATTACCTTTTACCTAGCAGGGAATGAAATAGTGTACCAATGTAAAATATTTTATTCCAAAAAAGGAAAGACAGCTGTAATAAATTTATATATAACATTTTTGGTTGAGAAAATTTAAGTTATGATTTTTTTAACATTATTAGCTTTTGCATTTGGCATATATATGTATACTAGCATTGCCCGCGGCTCCGCCCGCGTTCAGATGACCAAAAACCAAATTCTTAGGTTTTACATATTAGTATACTCTTACAATGCAGTTTTTGTATTTTTCTCAGAAATGAAATATTTTCCTGCGGTAAAAAGTACCCATATGTTGACCCGGATAACCAGCTATCATCATACCAAATTTCATCAAAATCTGTCCAGTGGTTTTCTCGTGATGCGGTAACAGACAGACAGACAGACAAAAATTCAAAAAACTATAAATTCGGACTCTGTATCGATAATAATGTCTATTTCAATTAGATCCAAAAAATATTTAATGTGCAGATTCGACTTCATTACAATTTTATTATAGGTATGTATAGATTGTGTAGATATAATCATAAAACATAAGGACCAACTATCAACGTTTGTAAAACAAAAAAAACGTGTGTGTGTACTTATGTACGCACGTAAGAAGTTATATTTACTTCTTTGGCGTAACAGAACAAAAATAGCTAAAGATTTCATCCCGTATGTGTTTGTAAAAGGAATGCAGCTAACTTCATCTGTCGCTTTTTAGCTGTCGGTGTGCGCGCGCATCGTAAAAAAATTTCTCTTATATTTTTTTCCAAACGTGCCAAAAGAAGTATAACTGCAAAAAAATATTAGGAAAAATGTTCTAGACTCTGTATCAAGTATGACAATACTATTAAATACACTCGTGCGCTATATTAAAGATTATTAATGAAATCTAAGTAATTTTGTCCACCCTTAAAATTTTAAATAATTATTTTCTTACACTATACAGATTTATGGGCTTTAACTAAAAAATATATTTCTAGATGACTCTCCGCTGGGGAATTGTAACTTCGGGGAAAATCTCCCATGACTTCGTCAATGCATTTAACAGCTATCCTGATGTTGGAGACCAGGTTATAGCTGCGGTGGCTGCCCGGGACAAGTCCAGGGCAGAGGAATTCGGCAAGATTCATAAAATTGGAAAAGTGTTCGATTCTTACGATGATATGGCAACAAGCAATGATATAGGTGTGCAAAAACGTAGATTTATTGGAAAAATTGCCATTTTTTTCCTATTAAATCCAAAATGTAGTAAACACTAAATAATAAATGATATCGTATATTTTAGATGTGGCATATATAGGAGCTCTCAACCCAGACCACTACAGACTTGCAAAATTATTTCTCGAATCTGGCAAACATGTATTGTGTGAAAAACCGTTATGTCTTAACTTTAAACAAGCACAAAGTTTGATCAATATCGCAAGAAGCAAAAACCTTTTCTTAATGGAAGCTGTATGGTCTCGTTTCGCCCCAGCGTACTTAGCCTTGGAGAAAGAAATTCTGTAGGGTAAATTGGGTGATGTACAATTTGTTGAAGTCAATTTTGGAATTCTAATTGCAAATGTTGATAGATTAAGGTACAAATCAAAGTATTTTTTATTTTATGTAGTTATTAGTGTAAATAGTGTTCTAAGATATCTTATACATACTCGTACTTCAGATGGTATGCGTAGGGTAGCTATGAAAATATGTTTATTTTTGAAATTGATTGCTTTCATTCCCACATTCATTACAGAAAGAAAGATTTAGGAGGTAGTGCGATTTTAGACATCGGGATTTATGCTCTACAATTTGCTCAGTTTGTATTTAAAGAAGAACCTATAAAGGTTACTGCCGTTGGCGAACTAAATGATGAAGGTGTGGATGCGGTCGACACAGTCGTTCTGGAATATTCGGGTGGTAGAAGAGCCGTACTCAATATACATTCAAAAGTAAAACTATGGAATAAAGCCACCGTGTACGGGTCATCTGGAAGAGCAACAGTACGTAAATTAAATATTTTAGATAATAGAAAACAGGTTGATGACTCATTAACTTTTAACGACAAGTACTGACAACATTGGAAGATTTTCTTAAAACTATTACTATACAGACTGATTATTAGATAATTAGGTACCTGTTTATATATTAACTAGCAGAACACGCGGCTGCGCTCGCACTAAAATTACAAAAAAAAACTCTAAAAGGGTAGTTTTGATACAAACTTTCATCCCTTATTATTATACCCCCTTATGGGATGAATTTCGAAAAATGCCGAAACACATATTTATTTAATTGTATTGAAGATTAATACCAAGCATTAATACCAAGTTTAAGTAATTCTGATCATAAATATTCTTTTCAGTTGTGTTATACGTTTTCCCGTGGGAATTAGATAATCTCCCGCGGTAAAAAGTAGCCTATGTCACTCTCCAGCCCTCCAACTATCTCCACACAAAAAATCACGCCAATCTGTCACTCCGTTTCGACGTGAAAGAAAGACAAACAAACAAACACACTTTCACAGTTATAATATTAAGTATGGAAGTATGGATATGGGATAGCTAGTTATCACGTTACCATAGTATGTCATTTATCATTCATAGTTACTATTCGTATATAGTACAGTTAAACATAATTTTTGATTTAGGTCGAGGATCCCTTTAACTTCCCAAATACTTTAATCCACGTCGACGGAAAAGTGGAAGAGTTTCCTCTACATACATCCAGTTTGAGCTACAACTTTACTAACAGCGCGGGGTTGGTTTACGAAGCTGTTGAAGTTGCGTGCTGTATTCGAAAGGGTGAGTAAACACTGAACAGTGTCGTAGTTCTTATAGTTACTATACTTAAACTAAATTAATTTTAGATAAATATATAATTAAGACTAATAAAATCCATCCTGTAGTTCTGTTCAGCAAGAACTTTTATATACTTCATACAACATTAATGCCCGATTTCACCAACAACCCATAAGCTACTACCTACGTATGGGATCCCTAGCTTAAAAGTCCCCTAAACTAGCCCCTAAATTAAATTTCGGTTTACGATCGTCTTTAAGCCCATATTTCGAGCACCTAAATTTAGGGGGCCTTTTAATATTTAGGCGACCCCTAACTATCGGTGAAACAGAAACTGTCCCCTAACAGCCCCCTAACCATGCTTAGGGGATCCCTTAAACTTAGGTGACGTTGGAGAAATAGAGCATAAGTATATTGTATGACGTATTTTCGCGATAAGATTGCCGAGTTACATAAAAAATCTTTTAGAAATGCACATTATTATTATTTTTATCACTTGCACCATAAATACTAAATTTTTAATTAACTTTAACAGGTGTAATAGAGTCGTCGCGTATGACTCATCAAGAAAGTCTCGTGTTAGCTAAATTGATGGACACTGTACGAACTCAAGTCGGAGTTCATTTCGATGTTGATGACAAAGAATATTAACACATTTTTACAATTAAAACATATAAAGATATTATTAATTATTATATATTGTGCCTTTAGCCCTTTTTAACGTCCCACTGCCGGGCACGAGCCTCCCTTCAACACGAGGGGGATCAGGCCATAGTCCACCACGCTGGCCAAGTACGGGTTGGCGGACTGCATATATCTTTTGAAAACTTGGTAGGTTCTCTCAGACATGCAGGTTTCCTCACGTTGTTTTCCTTCACCGTTAAGACAAGTGGTAATCATGTTGGAAATGATTCGCAATTAAAAATATCAGAGGAGCGAGACCCGGATTTGAACCCGCTTCACACGGTTTCCCAAGCGAGCGCGTTACTATTGGGCTACCACTACCTCATATATATTATTATCTATTTCATTATTATTATATATCATTTATAAGAAAAATAAATACATTTATTGACTGTGAAATTTGCCTTTTCATCATATATTTTTTTGGCGCCTGTGACGTGTATAGCGATGAGCAACCATAAAGACTTCAAGCCTATAGAATTTTATTAAGAACCCTTTTAGGTGGTAAATAACACAAAAGCTTGTAATATACAATATAATAAAACTATGAAACAGTATGTATTACTTTCGTTTATTTGTATTGAAAGATAGTCTTCAGCAGTAGAACTGGTAACATAAAAAAAAATTGTGTTTTTTTTACCTTCTGTTATGTTCATACTTATTAAAATGTCAATATTATGATCACTAACATGAACAAGCTCTTATTACATTTAAATGTCTCAGTAACAGATTATTATAGAACACATTTTTGGTGTAAGTAGTATGTAATCACAAATGTCTTATTCACAGTTGTCTATCAATCGGCTAGGTCATATTGCCTGAAGTATCGAGACACTAAACATATAAATATGTTTAATGGTGCTGCAGATATTTTTGAAGTGTCATCTTCTGGGTTTAAATGTGATCTGTAAATGCATATGAAATATATAAATTAAGTTATGTGTTATGATATATTTTCCAAATATATAAAATTAAACACATATTAAATATTCTATTTATCAATAGACATTTACTTATATTTAAATGGCATGTTAATAATTACCTTATTTCAGCACATTTTCTTGCTAAATTTCTTAAAATGCTAACTGTGTCAGAAACAAGTGGTTGTCTTGTACAAGCTAGGAAGGCATAAATCCATTGACCTAATAAAATAAAATGAAAAGCAAATTTGTTAAACTTTTTATATTTTATAGAAGATAAAACTCAAAATTATAGTATAATTATTTAAAAAAATACCTGTTTTCCGGTCTATAGTGCTTCCAGGCTTTACATCATCTAATAATTCAATTAATACTTCTAAGCCATGATCTAACATAGCATTATGTAGACCTAGTACGCAAGATAATTTTGGATCTGTTTCTGCAAACAATGTTTTCCAAGCAGCAACATTATTAGGATCTATATCTATTTTATCTATTTTAGTAGGCCATATGGATTTCTTAGTTAATAACCTGGATACATACATCCGAACTTCAGAGAAGTCAGCAACTTGAATATTTTGCCACTCTATTGTTGGTTTCAAATTATCTGGTGCTTTAGCATGAGGAAGCTTAAATATATAAGCAATAACTATTAAAGTCACATTGAAATAACATTTCAGTTTAATACTAGAAAACTGGATAAATGTTAACTAGTGAGTTATCTACTAATACAGTCGACTCTCGTTAATTCGAAACTAGAGGGACTCTTAAAATATTACGAATTATCGAGTATTCGAAATATCAAATGGTTCGAAATTTTTGAGAGAAAATAAATAAAACTCCGAATTATTAAGTGTTGATTAATTATTATTAACTGCTATCCTTTAACAATGACAAAAGTTTAGAGGTACATTCGTGTACATATCCATAATGTGAATTAATTAATCTTTCGAAAGAACTCTGTTATACTGGTTTGCTTCAAAACACATTGCTGCTGCTCAGACTGCTTAATAACTGTATACCAACGAAAGAGTAACAGTAACTGAAACGAAACTAAACAAACCAATTCGTTCGGAAGTGTGTGTTAAACTAATCATAACAAAAACAAAAGCTCGTGTACGATGATACAAGTCTGAACTTGTCTCAAAATGTACTTACAATCTTTCTACATACATATCTCTTTCTCTTTGCAACTTTGAATTGTCGAGTGTTTGACGCCGACGAGTTCGAATTAACGTGTCGTTTTGTTACGTAGCAATGATTTTTTTGTTCGAATTACCAAGTGCATAAAAATGTATTGATTTAGTTCGAAATATCAAGAGATTTTGTAGGGAACTCGTGATAACTTTGAATTATAGAGAGGTTCGAATTATCGCAGGTTTGAATTAACGAGACTCGACTGTATATTTAATATTTACCTCTTTAATAAAACAAGATTGATTTCGAGCAAACTTTGATAAATCTTCATTACATTTTGTTACAGCAGCATAATTTTCCCTTTCTTTCATCACTTTTAAAAGAAATTCTTCACCTGTGGTTGGGACTTCTTTTAATTCCACATCGGGACTTATTTGAAGGCATGGAGACAGAAGTGTATCTGAATCATCGTCACGATTCTTAGCTTTATACAAACATTTTTTTGTGGCTGCCATTATATAGTATTTTAAATTGACTTAACTACAAAATTCTTAACAACCAATATCCAAAAAGATTGATTCTAGTTAAGGTTTATTTAAATCAACATGATTTTATATTTATTCGCAGTTAGTAGATATGTATACAGTATATTGTATATTTTTAGATTTATATATATAATTAAAATATAACAAATTATCAATTAAAAAAGTCTATTTACGAATTACGAGTTACGACATTGACATTTGACAATTGACAGTCGTGTTTAACAAATGACATGACATCAGACATGCCAGGTTACCAATTCAAAACAGCATTTTTTTTTCTTTATTGGCATATAGTTGCGTTAACAGACGCAATCTATTCTGCCAGTGTCCCGTTTGTGAGGAAGACACGAATGATATTGAGCGGTAATTTGGAATTTTGGGTACTTTAATGTGGAATAAAAACTATAAATTAATGATCGGTCTACAGGAGTAACCTACAACAAAATTATGTAATACAAAAATGACATATTTAAATATGAAAATAATGAGGACTATATTATGATTTAATTTTATTATCTACTATAAATTTAACCAGTTTTTTAATGAATAGGCTAAATACCAGGGCTAAGAAACATTTGGTGTTAACTGGGCGGTGTATTTGAGGAGGGATTATATTATGTAGGGAATATTTTAAATTAGGGCAATTAAAGAGAATATGATCAGTCGAACCCTCATCTAAGCCACATTCACAAATAGAGCTACTTCTAATTTTTAATTTAGCTAAATGAACCGGAGTACACGCATGGCCTTTTTTTTTTTTTAACGTTGGGAAATGCATTTACGCACGACGTGTGGGACTCACCGGCGTAATACAGCCAGTACTACCCACTAAAACCCAACAAAACCTTCCCCCGTCTTAATGGGGCGTCGCAGGATCGCTTACGCATTCAACTACGACGCCCCGACGGCAGATCTGCCAAAGCAGACCACCACAACCATGGGGTTGCTCCAAGGTCCACTCTGCTATCAGAGAAGTACCAGGAGCAACCCGCAAGGTACACCGCCCCCGGAAGAGGGCCACCTCCCACCGCCCACCGAAGTGGGCAACCTCCCTGTGCGTTTCTTAGCTTCGCTACTACTACTGAGCTCAGGTTTTAAAATTCTTCCACTTGCTACTATAGCGCCACCTTAATTTGCTCCCTTTCAACGGACTTTTTAATACACTGAGATGGCCCTCCTTACTACTACCCTCCAAATTCCAATCTCCACATTCTTAATTCCTATTTCTTAGACCACAGAGCACAGTACCAATCCTAGACAATAGACATAGACAATGACAATTAGACATGCTACGCATGCGGCATGGTTAAATATTTAAAAATTTTGGATTTCATGAGTTTATATACAGCGATATTTTGTATATTATATATATCATTGATGCAGAGATAGTGATATATAACAAAAGTTGAAAACCATCTGGAATGTCTTCTTCGAGTAATATATCTCAATCTGGATATTCACCATCTGAACCCGAAACTCCTCAAGTACAATTATTGCAGAAGCTTAGTTATTTTTAAAATGAGTACTCTAATTTAATTGTTATTAATAATATTTACATTGCAGAGTACAAATCAAACAAGAATTCAAAACTTCGATCAACATAGTGATCTTGGTCACAGCTTTGAACAATCATTGAAGAATGTACATAAAGAAATGCATCAGAAGCGAATTCAATCTCTACGTAAAGAACTTGATTATTTAAAATCCACAGAATGGAAATTTGAATATGATAAGGGTTTTGTACAGTAGACTCTAGTTTCGTATTTTGTACTTTGGAAATATAAACTACTAATTAATTTAAAAAATAAAAATGTTTTCATATTTAACAACATTTTTAAATTACGTACTCAAAAATAAAGATAATTGTGCATTGGAAGATGATGAAAAGGAAAATTTTCTAGCAGATGAATTATTAGAGCTTGAATTGCAAGCTGAGAAAGAGCAAGAAGCTGTTTTACCCCAAATTCTTGAAAGAGAACCACTAATTAATACAGCTTGCTTTCAAAGAACAGGTTATTATTTAAAAAATGTCTTTTCATAATTAAAGTATTATAAAGTTATTGTTCTCAAAATATAAGTTTTCATCATAATATAAAAAGAATTTGGTTTTTAGGTCTAATAACTGACTGTGGAGAAAATTTTGTTATGATTGATGGCTTAATTTATTTTGATCTTAACGGATGTACCTTAAAATTTAATGTTAATGACAGAATTGTATACTTGGGTTACAAAGACGCTAATAATGCCACTATAGTTGTAAGAATATTGGAGAATGAAGGCTCTTATTGGGGTGATGATGAGGTTGATGCTGAAGAAAAGAATTTTGACATTATTGAGCACATTTTAATTGGACAAGTTGAAAACAGACAAGATAGATTTGTCTATATGACTGAGAGTGATTTAAAATTCAACCTGGATGATGTTGAAGGATCTTTTGTTCCTATTAAAGGTGATTGGTTGGAATTAAAATGCTCAGTGCAACAAGACAGTAAAAAACTATCTGATATTTCTCCTACACAGGTATTATTAAACTTATTTTTCAAGTGTATGTCAATTTTTTATTCCTTCATCAATTGTTATCTAAAATATTTAATAAATTGATTAGCCCACACCATTAGGTTTAATGATATAATTATTAAAACAAAATTTATATAAATATTATTTTAAGTTCAATAGTATTTCTTTTAACTTACAGGTATTAAAAGTGATAAGTTTCAATTATATAAGAAAGAAAATAAAATCAGCAATTGTCACAGAATGTTTTTCAAATGGTGGTATTTGTGACAGACAAATTTATTACAATAACAGTGCTTTAACAAATGGTCCTCAACCAGAGATGGGCACAAGGGTAAGTTTGTTAACATTATACAAATTTTCATTAGCATTGCAACTTGACATAGTTGCATTGTATTATAGTTTGAAATTATAAATTACTACCGGCTCACCCTCGCTTCGCTCGGGTTTGCCTCTAGAATATCTTTTTTTTCTAAAAGTTCATAACAAAAAAATAAAATTAGTCAAAATTTCTTTCGACTAAGCTATGCGCAGGAGATATTATAGTGCACAAGTGCACTCTCTATTTCTGTCACTCTCATACTCTGGTGGGACCACCACTCGACACGACCTGTGAGAGTTAAGGCGCAGGACCGACCTTTACGTGCTCTCCGAGGCACGGGGGTGAAACACCGCCAGCTTCCCAACTCCAGGCTATTACTGAGGCTTACTATACATAAATAATAAATAACTAAACTTGGCCCGACCCGGGACTCAAACCCAGGACCTCCGGTTGTGTAGCCATACATGCTAGCCACTACACCACCGAGGCAGTAAACTAACATATACATATAACATGAAGAAAAACGTTAAATTAAATAAGATCTAGGATTGTTAGTATAAAAAAATGTCATATCTATTTTGTTATAGGTTTTAGTTGAAGCAATAGAAAGTACACAAGGTTCATGTAGTTGGAGAGCAATAAAATTATTAGTAATTGAAAATAATTCACCAAAAAAAATTGCTAGTGAGTTACCAAATGAAGAGGATATAGGCCTTACTTTAGAAAAAGAAAAAGGTATAGATATGACATATCCTTTGAAATTTGAAGATGTTAATTTTCATCAATCTGCAAAAATTAACCTAAACATTACAAATACAAGTAATCACTCGTATACTATCAATAAATGGATAATTTTAAGTAAGAAAAGAGATTCTCAGATAAATATAAAACCATTCATCAATCAACCAGTATGCTTGGAAAGTGGAGAAACATTTAAACTCACAATAACATGCATTCCAAAGTTTTTAGGCAATTCCAAAGAATGCTTAGTATTTTTGTTTAAAGGATTCCAGATTAAAAGATTTATTTATATAAATATAGTAGATGGTATGCAACATATGAGTGTTTCTAAAGATAGTTACAAATATTGGAAAGAATCGGATAAAATTGAAGCCATGAAAAAAATTAAAAATAAAAGTGACCTTTTTGTTCCTGGAGTGAAACCGTGCAAAACACCTTCTTTTGTTGCTGTCAAAATAGGCCATTACCCAATACCAGAAAAGATATGGGCAGTTGTTTTGGGTGATTCAGATAAAATGGTATATACTAATGATTTTGCTAAGATATTGTATAAAATTGAAACTCACTTGCCATTTTTGACACAGGAGTTATGCATTACTAATTATACTGATAAATGGCATACTCTATTATATATGGAAGAAATTCAAGCAAATTTAAATATGAGAGTCTATGATAGAGACAAAGTTTACTTGATTCGATGTGATGAATATTTGGCTGTTGAAATAAATGGACTCTCTGAGAAAAGACCATCATTAATCAAAGGTGACAAAGTTATTGTAAAAGATATTTGGAATGAAAATGCTTCTCAATATGAAGGTTTTATACACGCAATTAAAGGTGAATTAGTTTTGGTGAAATTTAATGCACAGTTCCAAGAGACATATAGTGGTTCTGATGTGTCTATAGAGTTCCATTTCAGTAGAACAATTTACAGAAGATCACACTATGCTATTAATCAAGCAATATCTAATTTGGGGCCGGACATATTATTCCCATCTCGTGTTAAAGTTAAACCACCCCAAATTTCTTATGAAAATGTTAATAACATCACATGGTTCAATAAGAATTTGAATAATTGTCAGAAAAATGCAGTAACTAACATAATTAAGGGAGAATGTCGACCATTGCCATATGTCATATTTGGTCCACCAGGTACTGGAAAAACAGTTACAGTTATCGAGACTGTTTTGCAAATATTGACACTGTTTCCGGAGAGTAGAGTTTTGGTGGCCACACCATCTAACAGTGCATCCAATTTGGTAACAGAGAGATTAATAAAGTATAAAGGATCTTTCTCAGGTTCAATTGTAAGACTAATTGCAAATTATTTAATTGATTCCGACAACATTCCAGAAATCGTGCGCCCCTATTGCGCTACCCTCGATATAGCCACGGAAAACAGTACGAAAACAATGTATACAGTGAAAAATAAAGTGCATCTAAATTGCCAAAAGTCTCATATAGGAAGACATCGGGTTACTATTGGTACTTGTTTCTGTCTTGGTGCTCTAAAACATTTAGACTTACCGCAAGGTCATTTTACGCACATTATTATTGATGAGGCAGGGCAAGCGACAGAACCAGAAGTTATGTTGCCGATGACTTTTGTTGATAAAAATCATGGTCAAATAATACTTGCGGGCGATCCAATGCAACTAGGGCCCGTTGTTATGTCGTCATATTGCAGCGAATATGGTATGAGTGAATCTTATTTATGCAGGCTTTTAGAAAGGAGTCCATATTTAAAAGATTATGATGCATTCGAAAATGGTTTTGATAACCGACTTGTAACTAAGTTAAATGATAACTACAGATCGCTAGAAGAAGTGATAACGTTGTCGAATCAAATGTTTTATGATGGAACTCTCGTTGCTAAAATCAACAAAAGTTTGCCTTGGACATCCAGATTTATAGATCCCATTTGTGAAATATTTGACTGCCAAACTAATACAGGTGGAGTGTTTGTATATGGTATTAAAGGTTACAATCTAAGATCGGAAGAAAGTCCATCTTGGTATAATCCACAAGAGGCATCAATGTTAGCTCTGACTGTATGTAAACTTTACAAAAAAAATATAACAGCCAATGAAATTGGTATCATAACTCCATATATTGCTCAGGTAATTATTATTTTAAAAAAGCGTGTGTATGTACGCACGTAAGAAGTTATACTTCTTTGGCGTGACAGAACAAAAATACCAAAAAGATTTTATCCCGTATGTCACAACTCTGTAAAAGGATTGATAAATTAATCAAATAAGGCATAATATAATCATATATTTATAGAATATCATTTAATTAAGGAAAAAATATAATTTTATATATTATTTGTTAGACAATAATAACGGTTACCATGGCAAAAAACAGTTATCACCTAATTTTATCATGTCGCTTTTTTTGGCTGTCGGTATGAGCGCGGATTGTAAAAATTTTACTCTCATATTTTTTTCCAAACCTCCCAAACGAAGTATAACTTCAAAAAATTTCGAACCTATATTTTCCCTCTAATAGATTTTAGAAGTACATCATTTATAATTTTAATATTTTCTAATATGACTTATTTTTTTAGACAAAGTACTTTCGAGTTCTGTTTGAATCCATGGCGCTGGATCTTCCTAAAATAGGGACTGTCGAAGAATTCCAAGGACAAGAAAGACCTATAATTTTAATATCAACAGTGAGATCTAATGAAACATTGTTACAAGAGGACATACGACATTCATTAGGTTTCGTAAAAAGCCCAAAAAGATTGAATGTTGCATTAACAAGAGCACAAGTTGCTGTTATACTTTTTTGCAATCCTCATGTTCTATCAACAGATCCTTTGTGGAGCAAAGTCATAAAATATGCGATTTCGTCTGAAAAATATATGGGCTGTGATTTGCCACATGATTATATTTAAGCTATGTGTAATGTAAAATAAAAAATAAAAATAATCATTTATTTTTATTTATCATTTAAAAGTTTAATTGGAAAATACAAGTAATCTCATGAAATTTTCTCATAAAATAATTGCCATAGGTGAATTGAATAATGAAATCAAAAGTAAATTTTAATATACATGTAGGTATATTAAAGTTTATATGTAAAGGTTTAGTTTAAAATTAATATTGAAAGTTTTTATTTCATTAAACTGGATTTCGATTATTATATAGGTAAATGCTTATTATATAGGTAAATGGCGGTGCTTCACTCCCGTGCCTCGGAGAGCACGTAAAGCCGTTGGTCCTGCGCCTTAACTCTCACTGGTCGTGTCGAGCAGTCGTCCCACCGGAGTATGAGAGTGACAGGAATAGAGAGTGCACTTGTGTTTGCGCGCACACTTGTGCACTATAATATCTGCTGCGCAGTTGGCTTGTCTCAATGAGATTGGCCGCCGTAGCCGGAATCGGCCAGGAGAACATCATCATCATCATATTATTGTATTATCCCATAATATTTAATTTTTGTGTGTTTTAATTTATTGGCGAGATTTGCCAAAAAAGCAATTAATGTATATTTCCTATTGCGTAAAAAGTCACACGGGAAATCTAATCACCGCAAAAAATATACAATGAATACCTATTTTATTTGCGTGTCGGTGCTATGTAAATCTATTATTATCTGTAATACCATAGACAGCTAAATGCTAATGTCAATGAGTCAAGGAGAAGTATAAATAAATAAGTAAACGTCATTTTACGGTTCTCCGTATTCAATTATTTTTTATTTATTTAAATGTATTTATAGTTTTTAAAAGAAAAATAATGTTTCCGAAGAAGTAGAATTAAGCCAGTAACATATGCTAATATAAACTTAAATGAACGTAAACTGCATTGTTTTAAAATGGAAGCAAATAGTGTTGTTCTATGTGACAATCTTATTAAATGGTTGCAGACTCTAAATCTTACTGCCAAACATGATAGTCCCTCAGGTATTTTCGATAAAATAGATTTGCTTTATTTTTTAAACATACTCATGAATTTACGTATATTTTGTATTATTATTATTACATTAGTCATTGAAAAACAAAACCGCTAGTATATTATTTGCAATTATGAGGCCTAGATAAATATATGTATCATAAAATTGGAAAGATAATAGAAATAAAGTTAAAATATTATGGCTAAAAACAACATTTGAGAAAATGTTTATTAAATAATATTTAGTATAATTGTTTGATTGTATGAGATTAAGTGAAAGTGTCTGTAGTTAGTGTTTAATTCACAGAGTTATCAGATGGTGTTGCAATAGCTGAAGCGCTCACTCAAATTGCACCTGAACATTTCACAACAACTTGGAATTCTAAAATAAAAACAGATGTAGGTCATAACTGGCGATTGAAGGTCAGCAATTTGAAAAAGATTTTAGAAGGTGTTGTTGGTAAGTTTAGTATCTTATATGAGTAACATAAAATACTTACATAAAAGATAATATCTTGTATAATATTAAGCTTATACAAAGCAGTATAAACTCCATTTTTTTATAGAAAGTAAAAAGAATGAACAAATTTTCATTCACTTAGAACACTTAAAATATTATAGTTCTTACTATACTTAAAATATTAGCATTAAGGTATTGTACACTGAATTTAATTGCTGCAATAAAAAGAAAGCAAGAGGACTAGTTGAAATTCCTTAAAGTATCTTTTTTATTATTTACTGTGATATAACAATGTTATGTCAGTTTATCATCAGTTATTTGTTTGTAATTAAAATTCTAGCTCTGATTAACAGCAAAATATTTAATTAAAATGGTTTTTCTTCATTTTTTGCTATAATTAGCTCATAAAATACACCTCATAAATATAAATTAGTTGAATAATAAGTGCAGCGAATTAATTTTTGTGAAAGTGTTACATATGCTACTATGTTTTTTTTTGTATTTGTTCATACAGTTGTTATATAATGAAAGTTTTAATGATAATTTTTATTATAAAAAGGATTACTTTAATTTGTTCTAAAATTATATTTATTTGAAGCTAGTTAGGTTAAGAATAATATGTTATTTGGTCATAAATGTCAAATATTTCAGTAATACATCATTTCCTAATTCCCATAAAGTTTTATGCAACAAACATCTATATGCCCATTTAAATTACCGATCTTAGCATTTGGACTAGGTTGACACAGTCGAAAGATATTCACTGCTAAAAATAAGCTTTTCTTAAAAAAAACTGAGCTAACAAGTGATAAGCTATCCACACACAATAGGTTCCAGGGACTGTGAACAGGTCACTGGAACACCTAGTTGAATCTCAGACTAGTTAGATACTTAAATTATTTAACTTATTGTCTGTTTACATACTATTACTCTTCTATTTTATAAAATCTTTTCTTAAATTTTTGCTCTTAAAATAATTATACATATTAAACAATATACATAATTAAACACATTAAAGAATATTATTTGTTTAATATGTATAAATGTACAATGTGTTTGTTGATTATAAAATTGTAATAACATTATTTTGAGATACTTAGTCTGCTTTACAGATAAATAATTAAAAATCTAAACTAATATTATAAAGAGGCAGAGATTGTTTGCTTTATTGAATGCACTAATCTCAGGAACTACTAATTTGATTTTTTTTCCTGTTTATTGAGAAATGCTATATAACATCATGCTACACCCAAAGGAGTGGAGCAGTAATCATAAATGTCAACAAATCAGGCAGACTTCCATACATTATGGTTAAATTGTATATATTATATAAATACTAGCAGAATCACACTTCGGTTGTGTACAAAAAGTCTCTAAAAAGGTAGTTTTATACAAACTTTCTTCTCTTTATAGAATTAATTTCAAATAAATTTCAAATAAAAATGCTAAAACACATTTATTTAATTTTACCGATGAGCATTAATACCAAGTTTCAAGTAATTCTGATCATAAATATTTTTTTGGATTGTATTATAACGTGTTTTCCCGTGGGAATTAGTAATCTCCCGCGGTAAAAAGTAGCCTATGTCACTCTCCAGCCCTCGCAACTATCTCCGCCCAAAAAAATCACGCTAATCCGTAATTCCGTTTCGACGCGAAAGAAGGACAAAAAACAAACAAACAAACACACATTTTCACATTTATAATATAAGTATGGATATATCAGGGATAAACCCGAGAGAAGTGAGGGTGAAATGCTATACATATAAGATAAATCCAAAGCGATTTTTTTGAAGATTGACTGCGGGCGAAGCCTCGGGTTCTGCTAGCTAGTGTATTATAAGAGTATACATAACAATATGAATAATGATTAACCTTGCTGTCATTAGCATGAACATAAACTTCCTTTACGAACGAACCCTTTTGTATAAATTTTATAGTTTTAATACATATTTTGTATCAATTGAATTTGTCTTTATACATAGGTACTATTTACTTTTTTCTCTGTTGCGCATTATTATAGCTTAAAATATATGATCCGAATGTAAAAATTTGTCTTATACTCGTAGCGTCGAACCTTCGACTTCCTACATCTAATATCATACGGTTGATAGAATTTGTAAAAAGGAGGTTTTATTAGAGAACAACTAAGTCACTAACTACTTCTTCATCGCATTCGTTATGTTTTTTTTTTGTAATCGTTTTTATATCAGATTTTTTCTGTATTTTATTCTAGAGGCGATGAAAGTATTATATTACTTCGATTAATTAATGTAATGTATTTCAAAGTATTGGTATTATTATTTTGAAAGATAAAAATGATTACTGCACGTTATTTGCAAAAGATAAATGTAGAGTACTTCTGCGGATATATTTTATCGATCCTTATTTCTTTTGATAACTGCTTCGGTGGTGTAGTGGTTAGAATGTATGGCTGCACACCAGGAGGTCCTGGGTTTGAGGTCCTGGGTTTGAGGTCCTGGGTTTGAGGTCCGGGTCGGGCCAAGTTTAGTTATTGAGTCTTTCTGTTTAGTAAACCTCAGTAACAACACGTAGTTGAGAAGTTGGCGGTATTGCATCCCCGTGCCTCGGAGAGCACGTAAATCCGATAGTCCTGCTCCTTAACTCTCACTGGTCGTGTCGAGTAGTCGTCCCACCGGAGTATGAGAGTGACTGGAATAGAGAGTGCACGTTGTGTCTGCGCGTACACTTGTGCACTATAATATCTCCTGCACAGATGGCTAGTCTCAATGAGTTTGGCCGCCGTGGCCGAAATCGGTCAGGAGGTCTTATATTTTGATTTATTTTTAGTATATTCCATAAGAATTATTTAGTATTTTACTAAAATGTCCGTAGCATTAGCATTTTAATTTTTTTTCATTTGATTTTCTTTGCAGATTAAAATACTTATCGATTTGTCTTATCTTAAGTGTAGAGTTGAGTTTAAGTTGATAGCATATAATTAAAATTTTCATAAAAATCTGTTCAATAATTCTTGAGTATAACAAAATGATAATACGAACATTTATTAATAAACACCTTTCCTCATCGATACTATAAGTATGATGATATAAAATCTATTTTTCAGATTACCATCAGGATACATTAAATCTAAGTTTGACAGGATTCTCTAGGCCGGATGTTGTTAATATCGCCGAACATGCGGACCCATCGGATATGGGCAGGCTGCTGCAATTGGTCCTTAGTAAGTGTTCATGAATGAATTAAGAAATTTCTACATTTGTTTTTTATTAACTAGAAAAATAGAAAATTTTAGTATCTATATTACGATGAACTTAATATTATGAATCGCGAGATATACTCATAATAATGTTACCAATATATCATATGCGGGTGATCAGTGTGCACTGTTTGTATTGACCATACAATTTGTTTATGTATGATTCAAACCAAAACGCAATATTACAATTGCCCAACACTCATCGTAAAATAAGACAGAAAATGTATAATAGTATTTATTTACAAGGTTCTGGCCATCACTTGTGTATGTATTGAAAAAGTGCTCCATTATAATGTTGAAACCCCAAGTTATTTATAAAGTGAATTGTATAAAATGTATTATTATCTAAAGTAATAAATCTAAGATATAAATTCCATCAAACAGGCTGTGCAGTCAACTGTATTAAGAAGGAAGAATACATCACGCGAATTATGGAGTTGGAGCTATCGTGTCAGCGTTCGATAATGCAAGCGATACAGGTAATAGTGAAATTTAATCATTGATCATCTCATAAGAAATAACTTTACTCGAATACATCGGTAATACTAAACGGACCAAAATGTAATATTTATTGCAAAAATAAATTAGCACATATTATTTCCCAAGTGCACTTTCGATGATGTATGCTCGTTAGTGGCAAAGAAATATGTATAGTTTAGTTACGCACACTAATGTCCTTGGATCACGAATAACGAATTGTACAACGCTGCACGTACATGTTGATGTTAGTTGCCGTTCAAGTTTTGTTATTGTTACACGAACACTTGATGCCAATTTATTTTTTCTTCCGACAGTGTTGTTAGATTATTATTTTTTTAAATGACTGTGACATCAATATTACTTATATATTAAAATTATTTATAGTATTCGGGGGTTTATAAATAATATTTTTTTATATAAGGAATTGGAAAATATAACATTGGGCACAAATCGTGGAAGTATACATTCGGAGACGACCGCCGCTGACCAGACCGATGCTGACATGAGAGAGGCGCTCGCGCAAAGATGTCACGAACTTGACACTCAGGTCGGATTTTTATTTTTTTTAAATTATTTTAATAAATTATGACTATTGTAATAGTTTTGCCCTTGAACACCCCTCTGCTGGACACGGACCTCCCCTCAATACGAATCCGCTTCACTTGTTTTTTTAAATGAGCTCTTTACCAAAGGGCTTTTAGAGCACTAATTAATAATATTATTCATTTAAAAATAATGACATTATATAAGGAAGTGTCATTTATTAGAGCTTTAGCATTAGGCCACAGATTTGACTTATTGTTAGAAGAAAGAGCAGTACTGTCGCGCTCTATGCCGTGATATATCAAATAAAAAACATACTCGTCGAGTATAGAACTCCTTTCCTTTACAGAATTTTTATTATGTATCAATTATGAAAATGATTTATTCATGGTTATGTGTGTTTTTGTAATGTATATATGTATATGTTGATTTATTGGTCTATTAATACAGTAACGGATTTATGTGTTTTTTGCGTAGAGATATTTTATGTTCGGTAAGTGGCATAGGTGATACTTCATATTCCGTCACACCAATAAAAATCAGCGTTCCCTTTTTCTTCTGAGATAACCCGCCCAACTTTTAAGTGCATGATTTTTTTTGTTTTGATATATAAGATCGTATGTTACATATTATAGGAAATTTGTCATAGATTACGTAAAATTGTTTTTTACGTAATAATAAAGGATATTTTATATTTGAAAAAAATAGCATGTATACTTTTGGCAACAATATGCGTTTAAGAGCTAATATTATAAATGAAAAGGGCATCTATTGAAGCTAGTCTATACTCGTACATATAATAAATTTGTAACTAAGCCGAGTCTGTACATGAAATATTTTTTGGAAAATCTTATTGAAATAGACATTATTATCGATACAGAGGCCGAATCTATAGTTTTAAGAATTTTTGTCTGTCTGTATGTCTTTCTGTCGGTCAGTCTGTCTGTCTGTTACCGCATCACGGAAAAACCACTGGAGGGATTTTGATGGAATTTGGTATGATGGCAGCTAGTTGTCCGGGTCAACGTATAGGATACTTTTTATTGCGGGAAAATAAACTCTGAGAAATCTATACTAAACGTTAAAACGTAAACAAAATAAAATGATCAACAGGTAAAAATCCTCCAAGAGGAGAAGATGACACTGCTATCGGAAGTGAGCAGGTTGACAGCGGCGCGGGAAGCAGAAGGGTGTGAGGATGGTCGCGAGCTGGACGAGGGCGGCGCGTCGCTCGGGCCCGCGCACGCCGGCACGCTGCGCTACAGCCACATGCGGGCACAGCTGGACGCCCTCAAGGATGAGCTGGACAAGATAGAGTTGCAAAGGGACGATCAAAGGGCGAGGGCCGATGCCCTGGAACGAGAGCTGGCCATCACTAAGCTGAAGAATGAGGAGTTGCAGGTGTGTTGTTTTGTTTTGTTGTGTTTGTGCGTGTGCGGATTATAGGTTATGATTTGTTGTTTTGCTGGAAGGGTTTAAATCGGAGTGTTATTAGTATTTATGCAACTAATCGATCTATATCCAGGTGAAGTAATGATTGGTTGAATGTATAAGTAAATATAAACATGAGTTGAGAGAGTTTTTTTTATATTAATTAATTTTTTGGCAATAAACAAAAATAATATATAATACTTTCTTAGATTTACGCGAAATAATATATAATAATGACATAGTAATAGTTTTTGTTAAATGAATAATTAAATTGTAGATTTTACTTTGCTAACAGAAAGTTTGGGATCAAATGAGATTAAACCGTGAAGGCTGCTTAAAATGTAACACTTGTATGTTAATCATAGTGGTAGCATGGATATTTCTGTACGGTGCTTTATAAGATTATTTATTGTAGTGAAACTTCTTTAGAATCGTTGTGATTTGAAATTCGACAAAACGACAATGTGTCACAGCAAAGAGACAAGCACATAAATATATAGGATTAAGCCGGCGAGAGAATGAGATAGAATACATTATATAGAAAGTGAAAAATAATAAAATTAAAACTGAATAATATGCAATGTATATTTATGTTAAATAAAATATAAAATAAGTTTTTAACTTGGTAAAAAATATTATAAAAAAATAAAATAAACCTTATATAATATTCATCTTAGTCTCTCGTAGATTCTTTTTCTGAACTTCCACTTGCCGTGTGTGAATTGCACACACACTTTTTTATTTACCCAATTGATTACAACGCCATCTATCAATAAATATATAAACTTTATCGACATTATCTGTTTTAAATGACCAGATGGCAGCAGTAGAGAACGTGGCGCTCAAAGATGAAGTGGACGCGCTACGAGAGACCGCGGCGAAGGCGGCCGCCTTGGAAGCGACCGTCGCTTCGTATAAGAAGAGGATGGAAGAGCACGTGGATTTGAGGAGACAGGTATTATATTTATTCTCTTCTGCGTACATTTACATATTTCTTAAATAGAAAAACATCGTGAGAAAATCTGCATGTCTGAGAGAACTTATAAGTTTTCGAAAGATTATGGCCTGATTCTCTTTGTATTGAAGGGAAACACGTGTTCAGCAGTGGGACGTTAAAAGGCCCGCATACAACGCAATGTATACTGTGTGTGTTAATATTACCATAAATGCTAGTGATGACTCGTAGTTTTGATTATGCTGAAAAGTTGTGCAGATAAACTGGAACTTGTGCAACGGTCAATTACTTTATAGTTATACGTTTATATAAACGTACAATTTAATCTGTATTGACATAATTTAAAATTGTATCTAAATTGTAATTAAAATATGGTATTGAAAATATATTTAAATTAATTTGAGCTATTTTATTTCCTGTTGGTGTAAGGTTATATATCAAATACACTAACCCCCGACTTATAGTATTGCAATCTAACACGCAAGCCTCTGTAAACAAACGCGTTAGAGCCGCTGTGATCTGTGTCTGATTAGATGAACACTGTTTTGTATATAATAAAGTTATGACAGGATCGTTATTAATTTTTTATACATTAATTAATAATTTAACAGCATAAAGTTTTTTTGTATGTCAGTCTATATTACTATGTCAGTTAATATCTCTTCTTTTTTATCTTATTTTCATACTTGAATATATAAACAAGTTTCATTTGAATCGTTTAACTTGATCCCAAAATACTTATTTACTAGCGGCTCACCATCGTTTCGCTCGGGTTCGTCCCTAGGTACGTTTAACGGTTAGTATGGAATAGATAGACTATATATTATTATATAATATATCGTATATGATATATAGCCTAAAGTCTTCGTCAATATTTTTCGAATCGGATTAGTAGTTCCTGAGATTAGCGCGTTCAAACAAATAAACTTGTTTCTTTATAATATTAGTATAGATTACACCCCCTAGTCAAATAAACCCTAGGCAAACGTTCTATGTAAAAAGTTGACTCTGTTAATACACTCATACCTGGTCGAAATAAATTTATGTATATTTGAAAAACAAAATGAAATCTATCGCTCGGGAACCGTATATTTTTTCGGGATATAAACTAGCCTATGTGTTATTCCAGACTATAATCTATCTCTGTGTCAACATTCATACATACTCACAAACTTTCACATTTATAATATTTACTTTATAATATTTATACAGATTATACAAACAAGAATTGGTTATTTAATATGATAAGATGATATGTATTTGTTAGGTATGTACATATTTATTAAAACAAACAAAAAAACAATGTGTAGGTGAAGTTGCTCGAGCGCGCCAACACAGAGCACGTGCAGCGCGCCATCGAGCACGAGCAGGTGGCCACGCGCGTGCAGGGGCTGCGCTCGCAACTCGATATATACAAGAAACAGGTAAACAATCATTTTTGAGTACATTTTTCATTATTTGCATATTTAAAAAAAAATGTTATATATTATGAGATTTTGCGCTTCCACGTGATTAGTTGCAGATAAGACGCTTAGGCCGCGATCACAATGCAAATCATAATTAATAATTAGTCCGTCTTTGCATTCCGTACCGTTCAGATGTCTCTCGTGTTGTTATCTGATTTATTATCAAAGTAGGAGATGACAGTGATACATCGGAAAGTGAAAATTTATAAATGATGTATACAAATATTTAAAAAATACAATTAATTTTACTTTAATGTTGATTTTCTTTGTATGTTGATTTTATTTTATTACAATTTATTAATAATTCCTCACTAAAACATTAGCAACATGAATGAGCCCTATGATGTCAAACCACTTGCAAGCGTTAGTGGGCGGAGCTAGACAGTTTTCTATCCTTATCAGTTTGTATGCTAATGTGGGACAGAGAAAGCGCTTTGCATGGTTCACTCCGTGAATAGAGGTAAAGGAGCCTAACTGTACCCTATATGTTACAAAATTATATACAGATCCGTCAAGTCGCTTTAGTATGAAGGAGTAAGAAATACACCAATATAATAACAGATGTTAGTGTTACTAGTTTTGATGTATAGTTTTTTTTATTATAAATAAAAAGAAAATATACACATTGCATATATACTTATTATTTATTTCTTAATATAATTGATATAATTTAGCATTTATACATGTGTATCACGTTGCGTGAGGTGGGCGTTGATAATTACAACTCGGTTATAACTAATGCAATTATTAACATTGAAACTTTGTGTATGATATTTTGTGCTAAATAATGTTTTTGCTGAATAAATAAATTAATGAAACATCAATTTTGCTTACACAATAAAATAATGCTTACAGTAATTATTTAGTATGTACTTATATTTGAATGCTTGTGTCAAATATTGCTAAAGAAAAATAATAAAAAAAAACGTGCATGTGTACTTACGTACGCACGTAAGAAGTTACACTTCTCTGGCGTAACAGAAGAAAAATAGCTAAAGATTTTATCCCGTATGTCACAACTCACAACTCTTTGTTTGTAAAAGGAATGCAGCTAGCTAACTTCATCATATCGCTTTTTGGCTGTCGGTGTGCACGCGCATTTTAAAAATTTTACTCTCATATTTTTTTCCAAACATCCCAAAAGAAGTATAACTTAAAATTTATATATACTAGCGATTCACCCTCGCTTCGCTGGGGACAGCCTTCCCCAACTTGATTTCCCATTTTCACCCCCTTAAGGGATGATTTCCGGGATAAAAAGTATCCTATGTCCTTCCCAGGGTCTCAAACTATCTTCTTACCAAATTTCATCTAGATCGGTTCAGTAGATTCAGAGATTACCCCCTACAACGTCACAAACTCACAAACTTTACCTCTTTATAATACTAGTATATTAGTATATATATATTTAAATGGTCCTCTCTTCAGGTGACGGATCTAAACGAGAAGCTGGACGCGGAGATCACGAAGGCGGACAAGCTGGAGATCGAGAACAAGAAGCTGAGCAGCGGCGCGGCGTCGCTGCAGCGCGAGCGCGACGCGCTGCGCCACGAGCGCGACACGCTGCGCGAGGCGCTCGACGAGCTGCGCTGCTCCACCATCACCGCTGGTACCACTCTACTGCCTTTTATATATTTGTTTTATTTTGTTGATGTTCTACAAATTAATTTAATGGTCTATGCACACGACATGTCATGTACGCGTCACCAAATGTGCCCACTATAAGCTATATTGGATGATTTATCGCTCTAAGATATATCATCGAACTACGAACGAGTGGGAGAAAAATATATAAAGAAAATAAGTTTAATAAAGTGCGATCCTAGTACATATTATATATCGACGGGTGAAAGGCTATTTGGTTTAAACGGCATTTTCTTAACTTTACAGGAGAGCCAATTTAATGAATTTTTTTGAACAAAAATTCATTAAATTGGCTCTCCTGTAAAGTTAAGAAAATGCCGCTTAAACCAAATAGCCTTTCACCCGTCGATATGATACTATTACACAATAGAACGCTTAGAAACAAAAACCTGTCAACTCCTACCGCAAGCCGCGTTCTTCGTTCCAAAAATTAAAAAAATCTAAAAACTGGCTGTGTGTCGGTTTAATGCTACATATTTATAATCACTATAAAGAACAAGGTTGAGTTGTGCTCCGAAACCGACTCATAATTGGAGACTTTTAGTTATTTATATATATGTGTCTGAAACAGTATACATAATTTTTTACATTTACAATATAGCTACCTAATTCTAATTTATATTTTTATGTATTTCTAATTATAGGAGAACACATCATTCGCAAAAAAACAGTGTTTTATAATGCCTAAAAGTACTAATAAAGAACACAAAAAAAATGAATACAATTAAAAAAAAAGAACAAGATAACAATAATTAAATTCAACTCAACAATTACATTAAAAAATGCTGTATAACTTTAGAAAACACTTGTCACATTTTTTTATAAATTGTGAGAGCCCATCGCAACCAATGTCCAAAGATGTCATGCGCTTTACGCAGTTGTTGTATGAACGTGTAATACGTGATAACGGAGCATTACCATCTAATGTAAATATCTTATGAATTAAAAAGTTTTTACTTGATTAGGTGCAAGTGAAGACAACATGTCGCGGGAGCTAATACCTAACGATATAAAGGAACGTCTCATACGATTAGAGCATGAAAATAAATTACTAAGGCAAAACCAGGGCGCGCAAGCCGACCAGGCATCTGTTCAGGTGAGATATGTTAGCTTTAAATTTTTATTTGAATGTTATAATATTTATTGAATAAAATTTTGTCTTTAGAGTAAATGGAACGTAAAATTCGATATAAATTAAAAAAGGCTAAGTGCTATTAGATACGGAAGAAGCCACGCCCTAAAACGGAATGTGATTTTATAGATATGAACAATCATATTAGGCCACGCCCTTTTGCTATGTAAGTGGTGGCCGTGATTGTGCTGAAGTCGTGCGAATGGATACATATGTATAGGTGGTCCATTGTGTAGTAGTATAGTAACCCATTGCGTTGCCACGGGCACTAGACAGTCCTTGTATATCGAATATGTTATTAATCTTTCTTAAACCTGAAATCGAGATAGGTTAATTTATACCTATCTCTATTTCAAATTTCGCTCAAATCCGTTACACAGCGTAACACGCATTTATAACATTAATGTGATTATTAATAAAATAATCAAAATTAACAATTATTGAATTTTGAAACCTTTTTGAATGTAATCCATTTGAACGCCTCATCGTATTATCAAACCATTAGCAACCTACCTTCACTTCACTCGGGTGCCTAATAATTAAACTTAATTTCATACAAATCCATTTAGTTGTTCCAACGTTTAGTAGTAACAAACAAACATACACGCACAAATTTCGCATTACTCACATCGTTTCTCTTCCCAGGCGCTGCTAGAAGACTACGCGGCGCGGCTGGAGAAGCAGCGCGCGCTCAACCGCGAGGCGAACGCGCGCATCATGCAGCTGGAGGCGTCGCTGGAGGCGCCGCACCCGCGCCTCGCCTCCGCCATCGAGGAGAGCCAGCGGAAATGTTTGTATACTACTTTGTATTATAGTCCGAGAGCTGGCTGGCATACATAGCGCTGTTTACCCGCACTCTTGCTCATCTTCTTGATCGTTTGGCGAGTTAAACAAAAACCGATTAAATGATCTGCATTTTTGTAATTAATAATTTTTAATTACCTATTTTATACTAATATGAATAAATAAAATCGCAGCGTGCCTAAAATAATTTATCAAAAATTTATAATTTTGAAAATGTCAAACTTTTTAACCGATTAAATGATATAGCTTTATTATTTTTATGCTCTTTGATGATAAAATTAAAAGATACAAAAGTTTCGAAATTCTTATTCTAAGTGAAGGGAAACGAAATAAAATTAAATGCGTCCGTAAAGTCTTCATCAGACTTTTTTTTTATTGAATACAGAATGAATTTTACAATACTTACATTAGTGTGCTCATTTTTTATAAAATTAATCAGTTTAACTATTTGCGAATCAACGACTTAATTATCTATTCAAGCAATCCCGAATTAGCGCTGTCCAGTTTATTTGTATGGGATGATTCATCTGTACTAGTATAGCTATTATGTGATCTGTGGTAGTGTTATTAGAAATGTCATCTTTTATGTAAATTATTTTAATTTATATGAAAAATTAAGTTACATTTATTTGATACTAGCAGAACCCGAGGCTTCGCTCGCGCTTAAACTACAAAAATATGTAAAAAGGTAGTTTCATACAAACTTTCATCCCCCATTTTACCCTCTTATAGGATGAATTTCGAAAAATACTAAAACACGTATTTATTTAATTTTATTGAAGAGCATTAATACTAAGTTTCAAGTAATTCTGATCATAATATATTTTTCTATTGTAATATAACTTGTTTTCCCGTGGGAATTAGATAATCTCCCGCAGTAAAAAGTGGCCTATGTCACTCTCCAGCTCTCCAGCTATCTCCACACAAAAAAAGTCTTTCCGTTTCGACGTGAAGGAAGGACAAACAAACAAACAAACAAACACACTTTCACATAATATATTAGTATTACTATGGATATATCCTTTTGTGTTAAAATCAGAAAGTATTAAGACATTTTGGTACTATTACCAGCGCTTATAGTCGAAGAGCTACAAGCAGCGTTAGGCGAGGAGCGGCGGCGAGCCAGCAAGCTGCAGGAGGCGCTGTCGGCGCGCGAGGCCGAGTTGCTCGCTACCGAGGACAAGTATAAGAAGTGCGTGGAGAAGGCTAAGGAGGTCATCAAGTCGCTCGACCCGAGGGCTACTGGTGGGTTTCAAGTGCTGTTAGCTTATCCCACGGGATACTAATGCCGGGATAGATGTAGCTTATGGCACTCTCCCGCTCATAAAGTTTATATATCTGTGTAAAAATTTCTGTTTGTCTTGTTCGTCGTTGCTGCGTCAAAGAAAACCTCAGACTATTAATAGTATAGACAGAGTGTTATAAAACAAAACATGAGACAATAATGTTTTAAAATTATATACAAATGACAATTTGTATACTGAGTGTAAATAAATGTTCATTAATTAAAATAGGTAACGGATTTTATTATAATAAAGGAATTTTATTATAATGAAGGAGGAAAATTAAATAAGCCAATGTTATGCTAACTCTCTTTCAAGGGGAAAACAACTGATGTATCATTTTTATTATTCGTATTTTGTTATCAAAAATTGTATATTAATTAAACGATCTTTATGGCATAATCGAGAATAGTAGCATAAACAGCAAATCACGCTACTATTTTTAACTTTGAATTAAATACGGATAATGGATATTTTGTTTTGGTTAACTTAAAATTCATAATATTTATTAAAAAAACCCTCAAGGTTGCAATAACTTCTCTTAAGCTCATTTTGAATTTGATTTATCTTTATAAATATGAATTCATTATATTGCTGTTCATACCGATAAATTTTACGATGTAAATACTTATATCAATCTTGTCTCATTCTGGAATCGAATTCACAGTATTCGTCAGTGTAAACTAAAACTGTTGCTTCAACACAATGACTTATACATAATATAATCGAATCAATATTTACTACTATATTATAATATTTGACAAGACGTTTGGCTCAGTTCGTAGTCACCTACTTGCTGTGCCAGCGGTCGCGGGTTCGAGTCCCGCTGGGGGCATCCATTTCTGTGATGAGCACGAATGTTTAAACTCCAGTCATGGGTATTTATATTTATAATATAATAGTGTATCAACTATCTAGTATCCATAACACAAGCCTCGTAGCTTACCATGGAACTAGATGGTGCTGTGTGTTAATATCCCAACATATATATTTATTTATATTTATTCCACATATTGAATGAATATATACTAGTATAAATATTTTTAGGTCAACAGTCTCTGTCGGACACTACGCTGGGCTACTCGCGGGGGCCGGTCGCGGCGAGCGCGAACGCGTCCCGCGCTGACGCCGCGCCCACTAATAACAATCGTCACGAGTAAGTCCCTTAATATGTTAACTTTACATTATTAGTATGTATATTGTATATATAGAAACAAGTTATTTGTGTATTATAGTATATTATGTTACATGTGTATTAGGGTGGAGCTAAAAAAAATTGTTTTTTTTCTTAGCTTGGGGGTACTTACACTTTGTAGCTTATAAAAAAACAAAATTATTGATATAAAAAAATACTCAACATTTTGGGGTGGCTCACTGATTTTTAAAAAATAAAATTGTAATATTGCAATTTTAAAAAAGTTGAAAAAATAACATGTTACTTTTTTGTATTAAAGTGAAAGCCGAGTAGAAAATTATTTTTTCATTAACAAAAATAAAAATAAAATTAATTTATTGTTTTAATAAACAGGAACGATTTTATCTCGAAACCGTTCATGAAATTGGTAGTTTTTTAATAACCCTATAATTTGACAGCTTTTCACTTAAAATCAAAGGCTATCGTCCACTGCAAGGATATTTATACTGTAATACCAGTTACACGAACAATTAGGAGGATGAGGTATCAAACTGCATATGTGATCCATCAGGTGGAGTGGCAGCGGCAGCGAAGAAGGCGGTCGCTGCCTCAACGAGCAGCGCCTGCTCGCCTCCGCCTGGTACCAGCTGGGCGCGCGCTGCCACCGCGACGCAGTCGAGGCGCGCTTCGCTTCGCTCTCCGCCGGACACTCCTTCCTGGCACGCCAGCGGCGCCAGGGCGCCCGCCCGCGCCCTGCGCCCTCCGCCGCCCCATGACACGCCACGCGCGCCCGACAAGCGCTAATACAATCTGCAGTGAACTGATGACACTATGGAATAAATAAAACGACACGTGTATTGTGACAATAGTGGATATTTATAATCTTGGACTCTATTACGTTCTCTTACTTTTTCGCCGCGCCCTGACACGCTCCGCGTGACCGATAAGCTGTATTACACTCTGCAGTGAAATGACATATATATATATATATATATATATATATATATATATATATATATATATATATATATATATAGTGTTACTAACTGTGGACTGTTTCTCAGCTAGGAGTCCATACCGACCGAATTCTGCTATAATAAACATTCCAAAATTACACAGCACACATATCGCTATATATGTGTACTGTGTAATTTTGAAATGTTTATTATCTAATGCAATAAGCACAGTCTACTTATCCATACAATCTAATGTGCCTAGACAAGGCAATTGTTCGGGGTGAGATGAGACGCGAATGAGGCGCTCCCGACTGTCATACTCAAGTTTATATGACAGTTGCGAAACGGCGTTGAAGTTGACGGGTATAATTGCAACTTACCGCGAGATGCCACTACAGTGCGTTATCATTGAAACCGTTCGCATTTCTTGACAATCGCCAACTGTATGGATATTTATATTGTGCTATAAGTCTGAAGCAGGAACATTCTCTTTACCATCCTCGTATGTCGCCTCGTACCTTAAAAAACCACTACCCACGAAGACCGGACAGTGAAGTATAGCGACTTGTGTATTGTATTCAACGTTTACTCTAGTGATTCAGAACAGTATTGTCCACTTGTTGAGTTTCTACTAACTACCGAACAAATTACTATTTAAGCAATTGTTATTGTTGGTATCGTGGATATATACAAAATGGCGATTCTGAAGTACCTGCATAATTAAAATTTCACAAGGTAAACCTGCCTTACAATTTTATTGCATACATTCATTCCTATCATGAAGTTATCTATGAAGTCTTCTAGTATAATATAGTAAATCGTTCTGAAGAATATTTTATTCAAACCTGTACACCTTTAAAAAAAATTATGTTATGTCTTACATGGTTTCTAGTTCCAATAGAACAGTATTTACAGCGTCGCCATTTTGTTTAAAATCCGTGTAATTTATTGTTGCGATTTCTATAACGACGGTATTCAATAAATGTATGAAATATTTATTTAATATATATAAGCAAAAAAATGTAATGTCCGAATATGTCGGATTAGTTTTTCATACAATTACTCTAAGTACCTTTGTGTCTTATTCACATCAAGTAAATATTAGTGTAATAATATATTTTTACAGTGTATATGTACTGTATATTTAGTAAATCTATAACTTCATTTCAATGATATATGATTCCTCTCGATGTTCTCTTTTACCGTAAGACGTGGTAATCATGTTGGAAATGGCAACATGAAAAGATCAGAGGTGCGAGACCCGGGATATGAACCTGCTGCACTCGGTTTGAGCGAGCGCGTTACCATTAAGCTACTACTGCCTTATATACGGACAGAATATCATATACCGAAAGAATATAATTAAAATATATGTACATTTATATTATATTTCGACGATACTTATGTATTGCTTCTCATTTAGTGTTGTGTAGTACTTGTATGGGTAGCATATTCAGTAGTTAGAATTGAGATGAAAAACAATAGATTATTTAAAGATAATCTTCTTTTATTAAATGTTTTGTCAAAAAATGTTAAGATTTAATATCTAATAGCAAAAAAATCTCCAAAAAAAACGTGATTTTATATTTTCCTTATTGTTTATACATACAATTTGTAAATGTTAAATTACTACACCACCATTTATTTATACACCAGCAAGATATCTATTGTTAATATGTGAGAGTAAGTCGTTAGAGCTTAGCTTTCGGTCCTGCGTCCGTAGCTGCTTAACAGTAGCCTATGTGTTACTCCATCATGATGATGTCCGACCGATTTCGGCCAAGACGGCCAATTTCATTGAGACTAGCCAACTGCGGAGGAGATATTATAATTTATAGTGCAGCGCGTGTGTCGCTGTACACACTATGTACACTCTCTATTCCTTATGCTCTCAAATTCAGTCGGGACGATAATTCGATATGATCGGTGAGAGATCAGACGCAGGACCGACGTCATTATGAGGCAAGGGATTGAAACACCGCCAACTTCCCAACTCCGGGCTGTTACTCGGCCTTTGTTAATAGAAAGACTCGATAACTAAATTTGGTCCGATCCGGGACCCGAACCTAAAACCTCCGAATGTTAAACTATGCACGCTAGCCATTACACCACCGGGGCAGTAAATTCCATCATAGACGATCTTTGAACTGAATATCACACAAATCCAACCAGATGTAGCGTGAAGGAATAACAAATATACATATACTTCTACAAACACATATACCTAGAAACACACACACATAGAAACAGTAGTCTGATAGTAGATAGGTGTTATTACTAATGGTGAGGACAAGAGGAATGGTATTTTGCTGCGAAACATTTTTTTTCCTACTGTTAAGATTATAATATAAATAAAACATATACAAAAATATTTCAATTAAATAAATTACGTTAATTTAATAGTTGGAATAAAGTTTTTTTTTATACAATCTACGCTTTCACTGATTGAGAAGTCGTATAAAAGAGTATTCTCCATCTGTTATACCCCACTCTTGTAGTGCATATATTTTTCGTAATGTATATAGTATATAGTCCAAGATCCCGGTGCCCCCAGACGTTACTTATTTTCTCATAAGAAATATAAATGGGATAAAGTAGTGTTAGTACGTACTTTGTGTGTGTGCATACCTGCTACCTTGGGTCGACGGCCAATTCATAGGTACCAGGTGCTAAAGGTAGATAAATACAGTACTGATTTTTCTTAAATTCTCAGTGCTGATTTTTACATATGTTTTAGATATTGTTGTTAAAAATTAATAATCATTATTGCCAGACACTTTCCATCGGCGCTTACCCTTACCAGACGCGTTTAAAGCTTCAAAAAAAATAACATATTCTTACTTATAATCTCACTCTTGATTTTTATGTATGATACTTGGGGAACTATTTGAATACCCCTGGTCAGCAGCCAGACCGATTGGAGGGGTCAAACATCCCCCCAGACACACATAAAGTGTCGCTAAAATTCTGCTCTGTTCGATATAATCAAGAGAGATTAAAGATTCGTTACATACAAAATGGAATCGAACCTGAAGATTACAAGGTATTTTAAAGTGATCTGGATGGAGAAAATTTTATAAATAATAAATATAAGTTTCTTTAACCTATGTTTTACATCTTATCATCGAGTTAAATTGAATACTACTATTTAAAAAAATCATGTTTATTAAATCTTAAAATTATACAAAGCTATACATGTCTTTCTTCTTTCGGATTATTTGTAGTTTGAACATTCAGCGTGATCTTTACTGTCATCATCGTCTAAGTTTGATAAGTCATTATCAACCCAATGTTGGCATTGACTATCTTCATTATCATCCATATTACTTTCATTTTCTGTAACAAAAATAACATAATTAAGAATCAAAGAGTTATACGGTTATATCAATTATTCAAATTTAAAGTATAATACCTGATTCTTCTTGAAGCGATTCAATGACAAAGCTCGGCAATTGGTCCCCATCGAACCAGTTAAAATGATATTTATTATCTTTCAACGTCCACCCATTATTGTCAGGACTAAAAATACTAATTTTCTTCATATGAGCATTCTTCCAGAGACTAGTGATATAATTAGCTCGTCGAAACTGCTGTGAAAGCTCACTTTTGCATGGTGGTAAGTTACTAGCATCAAAGTTTTTCACATTTTTACGATTGAACTCTTCATTTACGTCACAAACCATATAAGTGTTGATGAAGAGTTGGAGTCGGGCAGCATCTACGTCAATTATTCCGGCCACGTTGTACAGTTCACAAATAAATTTTTGTATAGTGTTGAACACATTTTGCTCCAGTTCTAAGTCACTGAATAAGTCTACATCGCCGAGTTTTCTTCCTTAAACAATAATAAATTCACATCGGAATTCTCACAAAACACACACTTTAATAATTCTGCCATTATATTTTTTAGAATACTATAAATATTTTTTTTTTATTTCAACACGTTGTAAATAAAATGACAGATGCACTAAATTAAGTAGCACTGAATAGAGTAGCCTAGAGACGTCAATAAGTATAAGAAAGATATCCATAAATAGATATCTCTCTCACACTCAAGCGTACAAATAATGACCTCGCGCTTATACACATAGCGACACTTTATGTGTGTCTGGGGGGATGTTTGACCCCTCCAATTGGTCTGGCTGCTGACCAGGGGTGTTTAAATAGTTCCCCAAGTATCATACATAAAAATCAAGAGTGAGATTATAAGTAAGAATATGTTTTTTTTTTGAAGCTTTAAAGCGTCTGGTAAGGGTAAGCGCCGATGGAAAGTGTCTGGCAATAATGATTATTAATTTTTAACAACAATATCTAAAACATATGTAAAAATCAGCACTGAGAATTTAAGAAAAATCAGTACTGTATTTATCTACCTTTAGCACCTGGTACCTATGAATTGGCCGTCGACCCAAGGTAGCAGGAATGCACACACTCAAAGTACGTACTAACACTACTTTATCCCATTTATATTTCTTATGAGAAAATAAGTAACGTCTGGGGGCACCGGGATCTTACTCTAATACCTACATATGAATAATATATTGTAGCAAATAAAAACGATTCCATTTATGTGTTCAATTATAGAGCTATAAAGGTAGACTCAAATTTAGTTTGGGTCCAAATTGCAAGAATAGTGCAAGCGAATTTATTTATATTACATTGTTTTTCTCGGATTAATTAAATTTTACATTTTTATTTTTGTATTTTCGATTGGTTATCTGTTGAAAGTATACTTAAAAACTTTTTTGAAAGTTAATAAATTTTTATATCATTTTATAATTATTATTTATCGGCATGTTTCGTTTAAAAATTGTTGCACTATGGTCACCCTAAAAAGACAATATTGATTTTATTTACTAGTTAATATACATAATCTACAACCCCAACAGATTTTTTTAATGATTAATAACAAGCTGAAACTTCGTGATTAGCTTTATTTTGGCGAAACGCTCAACTATTATTTCTACGAGAATTTGATAGTGGTAGGTACAATTGTGGATTGATTCCCAACATGTCGAAATGGTGATACTCCAAAATTTATTACTAACAGGTTGTTTTACGATTTAATATCGAAGTAATCCAACATTAAACAAGAAAAAAATGTTGTCCTACAAAACAGATGGATGATCTAGATCATATCGTCCCCCTCTCCGAACTTGTTAAAATTAAAACGTCATAAAATTTATTAATAACCGGCTGATTTTAATAGTATCTAAATATATTAAAAATATGCATGATTGAATGATCAAATTGTCCTACAAATAAAATGGTAGCATTTCTTAGTTCTGCGCTCGGATATTGTCTCCCCCACGGTGTCGACATGAAGAGTCCTGGACATGAAGTGGTACATACAATTATGGCTTGATGCTGAAGCAACAATTATATCCACCACTATCAAGTTCTCGTAGAAATAATAGTTGGGCGTCTCGTCAAAATGAACCTACTTACTACTTACGCTTGTTATTAAATGTTTAAAAAATTCCATTGGGGAATGTAGACCAATATAGTAATGTCATAGTTAACGTTGGTGAATGTCGTGAGATTAAAGTTTTACGATTTTTGGGATGTTAATTGTTACCAACATGTAATAAGAGAATGAAAAATAAAACTGACAGTTCAATATACGTAAGCGTAAAATGGATATGGATAAATACAATGTAAATAAATAAATAAATGAAAAATATGTAAAATGATAAATCTGATAAAGCCGTTTAATTTTGTTGGATGATCACAATGATATTACATCATTTTTGTTACGGTTTGTTCAAAGAAATAGTTTATCATTTAATCTATATATATAATAAATGTGTAACTGATCGCGGTTTGTACATGGAAGATGTATAAAAAACTATTATTGGGGGTTTTCATTAAACCAATAAAACCCAAAACAATGAATTTTAGAATTTTTGTCTGTTTGTGCGTTTGTGCGCGCTAATCTCAGAAAGGGTTTAACCGATTTGGGTGCGGTTTTCACTAATGTATTGTGGTAAGCTTCACTTAACATTAAGTATTTGTTTTATTTCAAACGGTTCAAAAAAAAAGTTATGTCAATTTAAAGAATCACCTAGGGCCGAACCCGAGCGAAGCGAGTGCGAGTCGCTAGTTTAACTATATGCAAATAAGAGAAAGCAAAACAAAGGTGCAATAACGGAGACGTATGTATGTGAGTGCGAAATGTGTTGTCTTCTATGCCGTGGTATGTTTTTTATTGATTAGTTTCTATATAAAAATACATTTTAGTAGGTATATTTATTAGCATTATTTTATTATACACTTTCAAACGATATAATTTGAGATTTGCTATTTTATAGTATTTAATTTTTACTTATGTTTTTTCTTCTGTACATACTCTTGCTTATTTTTATACTTGTGTTTTGCTCATGATTTTAGAAAATGATTTATTATTCTTGTTACTTTATTTTTTTTAACAGTAATAGAAAATAATTCTACCATAATTGGTGCATTTTATTTAGAAATTAAGTTCAAAATGACATAACACTCATTTTAAATAGTTTTTGGAACACAGTTCATTATTTATTTAGAAGTATTAGACTACAATAGCGATTATAAAATAAAAAAATATATATTAGTTAAACTTGTATGTTCTATTTTTTTTTAATTTAAGTAAAATTGAAAATTAATAATATGGTTGATGTGGTAAATAAGATTTGTTAATGATCCATCAACTAAATTATATTCCTTATTAAATTGTAAAGCTATGGTTACACTGACGTCTTACAGAACATTTTTTATCAATAACTCAATACAACTTGTAATACAATTTTTTTTTATTGAAGAAATTATTAATAATTCCATTTTAATATAATTGAAGTAAAATTAAAATTCTATTTATATCTTATAAACGAAAACAAAATGGCGAAATTCTAAATATGGCCTCCAGTGGGGATTGGCCCTACAGTTAATTTGATTCACTCTTGATATTCTCCAAGGCCAGATATCAATCATCCTGTCTGAAATGAAACCTTTCGAGTATAAATTAGATAATTATAGGGACTCGAAATCTTAATATATGCAAATTACATTGAACTTAACTGAGGCAGTGTATTCACAGCTTAAATCGTAAGAAAGCTTCATACCTCATGTGATAATTTGCTTGTTTAGTATTAATTAGTAACAAATAACAAACCAAACTTTGTAAACTTATGTCTTTAATCGTATAGGCCACAATAACCACACTTAAATGACTTTTGTTATTATTTTCTAGGGAGTGATGTTTATATTCATTTATAATTTATTAATAGTTGAAATAAATTTTAATACATTTACTATATTTTTTTCTTTAAAATGTCTATTTAATATTTTAAATAATACAATAATGTTTTTTGGTTTGTCTTCTTACATGAAGCGTGGTATGAAAATTTTGAAAAAAAGTTAACTGCCTCGCTGGTATAGTGGCTATCATGTATGGCTGAAATCCGGGGGTCGAGTCCCGAGTCGAGCCAATTAGTTATTGGGTTTTTCTATCAAAAACGTAATTCTTAGTATCAGCCCGGAGTTGGGAAGGATAGTATAGATAAGCTTTACTCTTTGGGTTCAGAGTTAAAAGAACATAGTGATATAAATAAAGTCATTGTCCCCTTTCCTCTAGTACGTCTTTGGTGACAGTGCCTTAACCAGTGCCAAACCAACCAAACGTGCCGGGAATCGAACCCGTAACTCTAATGTAGTTATATCGTAACGAGCCGACGCAATCATCCTCAGACATCGTCGTAGGTAGGTACGTACATTGAAATACTATAATACTATATAATATAATACTACAAAAAAATATTTTAATTCTTTATTTTTCACTGAGATCACAAGTCACAATAATAATTTTATAATCACAAAACAAAAACCTATAAATACAATCACAGACATACAATTTATTCGCATAACGAAATAAAGATTAAATTAGTAATAAAAAAAATATTTTTACGTCCCACCTCAAAGTATCAATTTAAACGATATTTTCGAAAAGTGTTATTGGTTTAACAGTTAAATATCGACAATATAAATTAGTGAACATTTCAATCTTTAAATTTTTAAACTTGTATAAGTACATAATGTTTCAATTAGCCACTAATCCTAGACCGTTTATCGTAGAACATTTGTAAACTAGGGCAGTATATTTAGACCATTTTTACAGACTAATCGAACTTAATAACCTGACGTTAGTCAAAATCTTCATCAGAGTCTGTCTTTAGAACACTATCGGACCCGGAGCCAGGCTCGCTGTCCACTGCTATTTCACTGCTGGCAAAAAAGAAAGTTTTAGTATTCATAAAATATCTCTTAAATTCTCATTTATTGCAAAAACACATAAATCTTATATAACTTTTTTGTCGTGTTGTGTACACGAAGTTATTTCTCAACATCAACACAATGATTTTAACGACGGTAAGAAACGACGATTTTTAACGATCTATTCGAGTTTGTTATGACATAAGTACCTTATCGTTAAAGTACTACGTTTTATGTAAACTAATTACTTGCAAGTAATTAATAAATAATAAACAGATCATAAAATCAGCTTTGAAAATTGATTAGATAGAAGTTATCCAATTTGCTGAACCTTCGAGACCAATTCTTTAAGGTCCACGTAACATATTATTCACATTAGCTCTATGGTATTGGAAGTCAAAAAAGAAAAGCATGAGCAAAGGCGAGAGCGTGTTATTCTTGTTTATTTTGCAGAAAATCGATGGTTATTAAGGTTAGTTAGTTTAAAAGTGCAATAATTCACGTGACGCATAAATAATTAACAATCTGAGTGCAAATTCCGTTTGAAAATTTAAAAGTGTAATTACATAGTTAAGTGTTCAGTATTGTTGTATGAACAAAGCGACGTTAAATGAAAAAATACACTTGCTTAAAATTAAAGCGCACAATATGCAATAGTATGATGATTCATTCTGATTCAAAAATTAACTTGCCTTTTCCCTTTAGCACAGGCCAAAAGAACCTCTACGATATTTCTGCCAATCAAGAAACAACACAATGAGATGGCTGGCCAATGAGATTATTTTTTATTGTGTTCACCTGAGTGCAGCAATTTCATATCAACATAACTAGTTCATTATAAATAATTATTATCAACTTAGCGTCAGAACATTGTTGTAAATGATGGATCCGTTATGAGAAATTTTTAATGGCGCCGGCCGTCTATATTATTTAATATTGTACTATTTATTCTTAACTACGTTATAAATATATTTTCTCATGCATATGATTTTATATTTTTATTACTTTTTGTTCGAAACATATTATTGTAATTTCACTGTACTTAAGTTTCTATGAATAACTTAAAGTAATAGTTAGGTAGTATAGATAAGACTTTATTTATGGTCAATCCAAGAGATATGCCTACCTCCTTGTATCTACTTGCAGTTTATAGTTATGTGTAATTGCGGTTGCAACTTTACGTGATAAACATACATTTTATCTACCATTTACTAAGTTGAATCTAAGCTTTATCTAAATAAAATAATTATATCATTTCAAATAAAAAAAACAGTATCAGATAATATAAAGTAAAAGTAATATATACATAATAGGTATGTAGTTGACAATAATTACTCGTTAAGATCCTTAGTAAGCTGAATGTCTACATTGGCGGCGTTATCGCCAAGTCCGTTGAGGGCCTCGCAAAAGTCGCTACCCACGCTCTGCAAATGCTGCGTATTCAGATGGAGTCCCTGGACACGATAAATTACATGGAATGACGTAAAGCGTAGGAGGCCAAAGTAGGAACGGTACAAACGAGGTCTTATTATCGGCTAAATCTCACTTATTCTTATTAATAGTAATTAACTGGCAACATTTATATAATAAAAAGTTTAATCAAATAAGTATCTACATTAAAAGTAGTTTTATATTTTTTTCCTGTTGAAAACATGCATTGAATTGAACGAAAGATGAGTAGACACACGACGTGTAACATCTTTCATAATTGTTTTGTTTTGCGAGCCTTGTACGTAACATCGTAATATACTATTTTTATAACAGTCTTTTACGCGCAACATGATAACAAATAGTGATGGGCGAGTAAATTTCCTGGCATCTTTTAATTGAAAATATATTACTCATCTTATCTGTAGATCTTAAAGAGACCTAGACATCCCTATATGTATGAGTGTGCGTGTCAGGTACTTAGCGTCGTAATCATTAATCTCAGATATGCCATCTTTTGTAATTGGAAAATAAATGCTCTGAATGCGATACACATTGCAGATAATTAGATCCTTTAATAATTTACATTATAATTTAATTAAACCATTCTACGATACTATAGCACTTAATCATGCATGCACATTGACGTTTAACTGAAAATTTATTCTACTAAAGTTTAAGTATGCACAAATATTTAAACAATAGAAAGAAAAGTATTTTTAATTTTTATTTCATAACCTACGTTTGGGCGGGATGAGTAGATTTTCAATTAAGTTTTTAATTGCTTGCTAAAATAAAATAAATATAATACATGTATGTTTGTTGCTTCCTCACGCTGTACCGGCTGGATAGATTTGGATAAAACACAACAAATTTAGTACACAGATAAACTATGACCTGGAGTGACACATAGGCTACTTTAAAGCCACTAGGGACGCATCTGAGCAAAGCGATTACATGTGCTAGAGTATCCATACATATAATAAAATTGTAACTAAGCCGAATCTGTACATTAAATATTTTTTGGAAAATCTTATTGAAATAGACCTTATTATCGATAGAGGCCGAATCTATAGTTTTTAGAATTTTCGTCTGTCTGTTACCACATCACAGAAAAACCACTAGAGGGATTTTGATGAAATTTGGTATGGTGATAGCTGGTTGTCCGGGTCAACATATAGGATACTTTTTATCGCGGGAAGATGTCTCATTTCTGAGAAAAAATACAAAAACTGCAATGTAAGAGTATACTAATTATTATGTAAAACCTAAGAATTTGGTTTTCGGTCATCTGAACGCGAGCGGAGCCGCGGGCAATGCTAGTAATAAATATAATGTTAGAATACAGAAATAGTGATGATATGCCAAAAATTATAATATTACCTTGTAGGGTCCTCTGTCGAAGCCGCAGAACGAGGCCTCCATGGTGTAGGAGCGCGTGACACCCAGGTGGCGCCACACGGTGACGCGCGCGGTGCTCTCGCGTTCGCGCTCTACGCGGAACGAACACGAACCGAGAGCAAACGCCGCGGATATGCGATGCATGAGGGCGGGCAGCATCTTTTATAAGAAAACTCTATATATATATTACAAAAAACACTCATCTTTTATATTTCTATTATTATGTATGTATATTACTTAATACGTTAGCAAGTTTCTAATAAAGTATTGATTCTAGCTTTAAATTAATTTACTATTACATATACGTACATAACGTACCTCTTTATGGGTAAAACAAAATAAAATAAATTATAATAATTTCATTTGATATTGTCCGGAGCAGCTGAAATGATTTTACCAGGACATTCAATGGCTAGTGATTTGGTAAAAAGTATAAAGACTGCTTTTTACTCTAGGTGAAGAAAACTGCTCCAGTGTAATAAAGGTTAAAAGTTTTTTTTCGGCATGAAATAAAAACAAATGAATGCTGAAACGAAGCGAGTGCGGTTTTATCTACTCACTAGTATTAAATAAATTAAACTTATAAAGCTATAGCCTATGCATACTCGTTTGTTTACAGTTGTTAGTGGTTTTTTTTTCAGTGGTATTTGTGTCAATTATCTGTTACTTAGGGCTTTTTGCTTCTACCAATGAATTAACGGAATTGAAAGAAGATATGCAGAAAAAAGTTTTAATTAGCATTTCTTGCGTAATGTTAGCTAGTATTGATTCTTGTCTTACGTAACTTACAAGGTATTTAACAGGCTCATCTTGCACTAGCCGGTCGTTGCTGCACCAGCTCTCTGCGCCGGCGCATCCATAAAAGAACACATTCTTCTTGCGTGAGTGTCCATGATAGTCGCAGTACACTAACGGCGGTTTCTTCCAAACGCGTACTAAGTACTCTATTAACCCCTTAACATAACAAATAGTATGAATATAAATATATTTTGATAAATATTACATAATATGTTATTGTTAATAACATTTAAAACAAAATATAATAAGTCTGTTATATAAACTCTACAAAGGTACCTACACCATTTACGCGCGGTTTTATTTTTTATCTACATATTTATACTTGCAGAAAATTAGCCTCATAAATAGGATTGTCTCACTTTAATCACTAATGAGCGAAAATTCTTGCTATAATTACCTTGGTATGGTAAATAGAAGGATGCAAAACGGGGCTTGGCTTGGACCAGCGTCGATTTAAATCTTCATTAGTTAAGCCGCAGCGATGGCTGGAACAACATAGACGTCATCCGTATTATATAAATACTAGCATTACCCGCGGCTCCGCCCGCGTTCAGATGACCAAAAACTTACAATGCAGTTTTTGTATTTTCTCTCAGAAATGAGATATTTTCCCGCGGTAAAAAGTATCCTATATGTTGACCCAGATAACCAGCTATCACCATACCAAATTTCATCAAAATCCCTCCAGTGGTTTTTTCGTGATGCGATAACAGACAGACAGCCAGACACACAGACAAAAATTCTAAAAACCATAGATTCCCCCTGTGCATCGATAATAATGTCTATTTCAATAAAACTTTCCAAAAAATATTTAATGTACAGATTCAACTTAGTTAGAATTTTATTATATGTACAGATTACCCGGAAGCTCGGCTCTGCATAACGATAAGTAGCGTGGACATGTTCAGTGAAGTGACGAGTCGCTAGGTCGAGCCAGCTATCGTCATTTCGATATCAGGCTAGTTAGGGATGCAATGGAGCTTAGGAGTTGGACATTAAGCTATACCGTATCAGGTTACGCTTGCGAAATGCATAAGAGAGTATCATAGGCTCTAAAAATATCGTCATAGCAAACCTCAGTATAAATGAGCTTCATCTGTATCATTAAAATTATATATCATACTAGCATTGTCCGCGGCTCCGCCCGAGTTCAGATGACCAAAAATCAAATTCTTACGTTTTACATATTACTATACTCTTACAATGCAGTTTTTGTATTTTTTCTCAGAAATGAGATATTTTCCCGCGGTAAAAAGTATCCTATATGTTGACCCGGATAACCAGCTATCACCATACCAAATTTCATCAAAATCCCTTAAGTGGTTTTTCTGTGATGTGGTAACAGACAGACAGACAAAAATTCTGAAAACTATAGATTCGGCCTCTGTATCGATAATAATGTCTATTTCAATAAGATTTTCCAATAAATATTTAATGTACAGATTCAGCTTAGTTACAATTTTATCATATGTAGATAGATTCTACTTGGTGGCCTTTGATATATTAGGTAATAATTGCTTTATGGGTAAGATTGTTACGTATTTAAATTTTTTTCACAAAAGCCATAAATATATTTGCGAAAAATAATGTCATATTTTAAATAATAATTGATTATAGGTTACGTATCTGTCCGTTCGTCACAAGTTGTTGTCTCTAAATTTATTTGATACCAAATGTATAAATTTATTGCTTCTATACATATGTAAATTGTATACATATAGGGGTATATGTATAATGTACATATATATACAGTATATATAGTAAGTACAGCCAGAAGATCCTATAAAAATCCATGTGTATGACGTGCATATTAATTGAATATACTTATATTAAATTAAAGGCTCATTATGTGGGGTAATTTATATCTAATTTATTTATTTTCATTTTCATACTGAACCTAACATTTTTAAAAAGCACAGGCTGTCACTCATAGGTACTTCAGACGAACAATATAACGAAAAACTGATGTCTATAAATACATTTTTTACCGAATCTTCTTCTACCTTCATACGAATCCGATACGCGCTTGACCAACTTCCTAATATAGAATACTTATTTCCATTGCATTCTGTGTGGGTAAAAAATTAACACCTTTTGTATCATAGTTGTAGGGTATTTTAAAGAACATTGAGGCGTCATGTTTTTTGTTTGTTTGCAAAGGCGTTGGTACGCCTGACTTCGAGGTTTTTATTAGCCTTTTCCAAACGATTACCTATCTATACAGCTCCATCCAATTAGAAACGAACCTAAGACAAGTTAATCACAGCAGTATATTTACATTTTGACCTCTTAATATGTATAGTATAAAGATAATTTCATTACATGCGTGACATGACTCCACGGCTATAAAAGCTATATGAAATGATAATTGATTCAACGGTCATATAAGGTTTAGCGATCGACGAAGAAAGCTTTGAGGGCAATTTGATATGACAAGCCATTAAATTAAATGATTGGCTGACCACGTAGGAATGTAAAATTGCATCGCATATATGAATCTATAATAATAAACGCAAAAATTTTACAGAAACTATATGAAAATGTTGAGTACACAACCCTTTGGGTAAACCAAAGCCAAAGTTATAAATAACTGTTGTTACATTTTAAATGCATGAAAGATATCAATATAAAACTAAGTATCTTCCTTAAATTTGTTAAATAGTGTAAGGTAAACTCCTTTTTGCGACAGTTTAAATATATTAGATATCGATTTACTCATGTTTAAAACATAACGAAAGAGAAAATACGAGCTCGCCAATCGAAATAATCCAAATAGAGTGCATAGTAATAAATAAACAACGAAGATAAACCTGCATGTAAGTCAGCAAGTCCTATACTTTGCATCTCTCAGCATGGGTGCATTTATTTTTAAATGGAAATATTTTTTGATTAAAATGTATATATGATAAACATTAATCATTATGTCCCATGCATTAATAAATATAGCTATTTTGTATACGAATGATTTCAAGTTAATCTAGTGTTTCTATGTTAGTTTCTTCCATATCAAATGGAAGGGAATTATGACTTGAAACTCATCTGTGTGAAAGGAAGTGCGTACCGTTGAGATTTCATTTCATTACTTACATCTACGAGTACGTTGATTAAGAAATAGAAATGTCTTCAATTGTGTCATTATTTACAGCTAGATTCAGTGCGTATACAATCTACGACAATCCTCTACGTTCTCGCCCGTTATTACAGAGTAATTCTAGTTACGAGCAATTCTAGTACGTGGTTCTGACATAATAGTATTTTACTTATACACAGCTAGGTCCCTATATGTAGGCACGCAATGCTCAATTGTAATAATTAAGTACGCCACCTCTATCTGCAATACTAAAGATCCAAGAAGTACAATAAAATTGGAACATTTTATATGAAAAAAAAAAATACTTTAAAGATGCAAGAAGAAAAGGCTGAATAGTGTATATTATGTAGTGATATCGTTAGTACAACATTCGATGCCTGATATGGCACTTTTACCCTGATGATTGAACATTCAGGCTTTGTCCAATTACGAGCGGTTCAACGAAGGACATCATTAGCGGGCGGCGAGGCGGCGCGGGCGCACTCTGCAGGTCCTCGACTTTGTATAGGAGGCGCGCGTCCTTCTCATGCAGCGGCCTTCGGTCGCAGACCGGTTGCGCATCTTTTACTCTAATCAGGGAAAAAAAATAAGCGTCGGCCGCATGCACAAATGAAAGCGAACAAGCGAGAAACTGCACACCGTCCGCCGTGTTTTATGGTAGATTGTTGCGGTACAATAGCAAATAGTAGGGCTGCCATATAATCGAGTATGCTAGCTTCGTAAGAGTAAATTAAAATTGCCATAATACTTTATATGTATTTATACTGTTGTACTAGTTTTATTACTACAACAAGACAAGTACAAGTATATTATACAGTATTCTTTAAACATTAAGAAATAGAAATACAAGCAATAAAATAAATACAATCTGTGGCTAGGAATGACTTCGGTATGTAAAGAATATACAGTTGTAGCCCTTTTAGACGTAGTGATGACCGAGGCTGGTTCAAGGGTCCGTCTGCCATCTATTTATAGAACGCGCCGCACCGATGCTATCGGCCCTCAGCCATGCCTCGGCCCCGCACGATCCCAACCCGCCCCTATGCACCCTTCACATAACATTTGCCCACTAAAAGAGATCAAAGAAAAACTTCCATATTATGTTTGCGTCGGCTATTCATATGATTATTACGTCCATTGTTTCTGCCGTTGAAAAAAGTAATCGCCGTAGGCCTTAGGAATCTTAAAGCTCAAAGTATTTATTAGTTAATCATTATCAAGTGGAATAGCAATGAATCATTGATTTTGCATACGAATGAAATTACGAGGGGACTTAACAAAGAGGATTTAAAAGACGATAAATATCGAAATAGTCGATTGTAAAATATGTTACAGCTCCGCCACACGTTACGCTCATCCGTATGCTCGACGCGGAGGCTGTTTCCTGCGAGCAATAAGGGAGGGAGGTGTTCAACTACGGGTAGTCGCTACTTCACGCTTGCCTCTTAGTATATTTGTCTCTGTCTTACAGAAGTAATAGACATTAGATAAGTGTTAAAATCGAGAGTCCATGGTTAGGTATCATGTCAGACAATTAGAAAGATTGTCAAGATTCGCTTGGCAGCAAGCAATGGCAACTCTGTATTCCTAGGCGATACCGGACATGGGGCGAGTTATTTACGATGGTCGCGAGACAATCGGCCGGTTGCAACACTTATCCGGTGTCACCGACGTGGTGCCAATATAATGACGTGGCCATCTTCATTAAATACCAACCTTTAGAATGATCACACGTGCCTAGCCTTTATTTATAGAAACGCTGAATCACACGCTGGTTATGGTAGTTATAATAACTTTGAAATGACTAAAGGAATTGTTCTCTCAGTTTACGTTTATGCGCTGTTTGTTATTGCTTTGTGTGGATATTATCATTGGTGCTTTAGATGGGCTTCGTTGATTGTTCTCGCATTTTCCCATAATGTCCGCGTGGTCGGGTCGAGCTAACGGCGTTGCCACTACTAATTGATTGTATTTGCCGTCTGTTGCGGAAGCGGAGCAATTCGCCACAGGTCGGTTCAATGACACGACATTTCTCGAACAACTGTCCCTACACCACTGGAATGCAGTCTCTTTATATCACGTATCACTTCATTATAAGAACGAGCTAATACCATAGGTTATTTATATCACATCACATGTTTCTTGTCGATTTCGTAAGGCAATCGTAGTGTATTATTATAGTTTGCGAGTGCTTTGTGATAAAATACATTTATTATTCCTACATCCAGCTATACATATAATAAAATTGTAACTAAGCCGAATCTGTACATTAAATATTTTTTGGAATTTTTTATTTAAATAAACATTATTATCAATACAAAGGCCGAATCTGTAGTTCTTAGAATTTTGTCTGTCTGTTACCGCATCACAGAAAAACTACTAGAGGGATTTTGATGAAATTTGGCATGGTGATAGCTGGTTATCCGAGTCAACATATGGGATACTTTTTATCGCGGGAAAATGTCTCATTTCTGAGAAAAAATACAAAAACTACAATGTAAAAGTATACTAATATGAAAAACCTAAGATTTGGTTTTTGGTCATCTGAATTCGGGCGGAGCCACGGGCAGTGCTAGTATTTAATATTCCTACATTTTCAGAAGAACCATGTATTCAAATATTTAACAGGGTTATTAGGCATTATAATAAAATATATTTTACTTAATGTTAAGACCTGATTGATAGCAATCAGACAACAAAAAAATTTATCTCTGAAGAAATAAACAAGCCGTAAGCTTTACGAACCAAATTATAGTACGTATAATGTATATTGTATAAATGTAATAAAGTGCCTATATAATATTAAAAAGATTACGTTAGTGTGAAAACCTCTTTGTTTATATAGTTGGATGGCCACAATGCTTGAGTTTCAACATTACGTAGGTATATTTATTTGGAATGTAGTACAAAAGGTAAAACTTGGATACAAATGTGATAGTGTGAGTCATAAACTGGAGGTAGTAAGGATGAACAGATAATAGGCGGTCAGCGGGTGCTTGAGGGCAGGGCGCAGTATATTAATATAATCGCGCAAGCTGGACGACCTTGGCGCTCCTTGACCTTTCTGTTCACCCTTTTGCTGCACGCTACATTTTAATTGTTAAGTGAAATGGCTTAATCATTGTTGCGTAAAATCTGAAATACTGTCTGAAGCTGGGTGTCGACGCCGATGACTTGCGGATAAGTGTCGTTGACTCCGCCACGTTCTTACAATGATGCAATACAAGAGGGATCGTAATGTTGTGGTACTATTCGCATAGTATCGTCTAAGAAATGACACATCTACGTCTATATCACGGGGTTTATGTAGTCGATTGATTCTTGATAATGCCTTATCAAATATATTTCATCTAAATTATTATGCAGAATAATATTATTATTAACACTAGCATTGCCCGCGGCTCACGTACAGAAGACCAAAAATCAAATTCTTAGGTTTTACATATTAGTATACTCTTTCATTGCAGTTTTTGTATTTTTTCTTAGAAATGAGACATTTTCCCGCGGTAAAAAGTATCCTATATGTTGACCCGGATAACCAGCTATCATCATACCAAATTTCATCAAAATCTGTCGAGTGGTTTTCTCGTGATGCGGTAACAGACAGACAGGCAGACAGACAAAAATTCTAAAAACTATGGATTCGGACTCTGTATCGATAATAATGTCTGTTTCAATTAAATTTTCCAAAAAATTCTAATGTACAGATTTGACTTAGTTAGAATTTTATTATATGTATAGATAAAACGTTTTACAGAGTATGTACATAAGCGTGAAGTAGTGAAGTAGGTGGCGGCAACCGCGGGCTATATCTTTGCCTCTATTTTATAAAAGGCTTGCACTCTCTGCCATCGTAATTCATTAGCTGACTTCGTTCGCCTCTTATTATTTATGGCCCCTTAGGTTTTGTCCTGGTATATTCTCAACGTTGCAGCACTCTCTTAATGGATGTACGAGAAAGGAATAATAAGGACATTTGAATAGAGGCAGAGCACGTTAGGTCAAGGTTTTCTTTAGTACTTCGTCCCTTTCATAGGTCTTCTTCCAATGACTTCTTGTGATTTATCGCATGACAGGCTATTTTCTAAGCCGCCTCATAAAACAGCCGGCTTAATAACTTGAGTTCATTAGCAGTCTTTATTATAATAAATTAACTATTATGTTTAAAATTTTGTCTCTAATGGCGTTTTTAGTGCAATTCGTGTGTTAGGTAAAAGTTCAAATTTAAATTCATAATATTTTATTCAGCAATAAATTATTACATTTTTTTACTGAACGTCATGAGTCTACTAGCAGTTCGGAAAGACTCAAACCTGTCAAGTCTCAGACCTGAGAAGAACTGGCGAAAGAAACTCAGCGGGAATAATATTAACTCGTTTTTTTTTACATTACATCTTTGTACATCGATTAAAATTAGCCTATATATATATATATATATATATATACTCTATTGCACATAAAAAAAAAAAAAATTACAACTATTAAGAGATAATTGAAGGCAAAGGTGAACTAATCTCTAAAAGAGATATCTTCCAATCAACCTAGGAGGTGAGAAAGATTGTCATTTAGCGGAGCAGTAAAATGCAATGTAATATGGAAATAAAGTAAAAAAACATGTTATTTTTATATAAAAAAACACAGTTTATATAAAAATAACATACTACATGTAGTCTTAGTATAATAAATAACACAAAAATATAAGTATATAAAATACATAGATAACAATAATAATAAAATCCAAAATATAAGTTACCTCTATTTTAATTTTCACTGAAATCCACTGAGCTGTTACAAAGTGAAGTAGTTATTACGTTTTTTTACGATTAATTGATTTACATTCATACGAGTTTACAATGTAAATATTGCATTCTGTTATATGATATTTAAGTTCTCGCCATATCGCATCGTATCTCGCTTACTATAATAACCGGGTACAGGAGAAAGATTCATAATACATTATGTCGTTAAATCTGTATTGATAATAATTAAAAATAATTAGTCCCATATCCGCATAATGTATGGTATTTATTTATAACTAGCATTGCCCGCGGCTCCGCCCGCGTTCAGATGACCAAAAACCAAATTCTTAGGTTTTACATATTAGTATACTCTTACATTGTAGTTTTTGTATTTTTTCTCAGAAATGAGACATTTACCCGCGGTAAAAAGTATTCTATATGTTGACCGGGATAACTAGCTATCACCATACTAAATTTCATCAAAATTCCTGCAGTGGTTTTTCTGTGATGCGGTAACAGACAGACAGACAGACAAAAATTCTAAAAACTATAGATTCGGCCTCTGTATCGATAATAATGTTTATTTCAATAATATTTTCCAAAAAATCTTTTATATACAGATTCGGCTTAGGTACACTTTTATTATGTGTATTGATTATACTATTAGTTTTAATAGTTTTTATACATACATATATATTATAGCTGTTATGCTTTGGTTTTATTTTATTCGAAAAAATAAAATAATATTTCAGTAATAGTAATATTAAGAAGGCTTAATAGTCTCATAAATATGTAACGACACTTTAAAATAATATACGTTCCCTTGGTAATATACGAGTATGTCAAAAAGCTCTGCGTGTAGTAAATATTTTTTAAATGACTGTGTAGTTAAAACTGTGAAACAATGTTTCAGTGTCCCGTTTTCATTCGTCCTTTTGTTTACAAAAGGACGAATGATTAGATTGATTTAGATGAATCTTTTAGATTGATCTAATAGGTCACAGCAGATTTTTTCTCTAAGAGCAAAAATAAAATATAAGATTAGGTATATTTCAAAAGTTATCTTTTAAATATTACAACAATATGCATAATTAAATGTGGCGCACATAATAAACAGTTGAACTGTGTGAAGTAATTCGTACTATTTCGTTAAGTATTGTAATATATCTAAATATACGTATAAAAGTGAGCCCAAAAACATAAATTTAAGTTTCTCAGAAGGCCCTGCAATTAAAAACTGTGAAGGATTCTCCGTTTTTAATCGCAGGGTGTTGATGGTCCTATCCTTGAAACATTATTCAAGGTGAGTTGTCATGGACTCATCTTCGGCGTCACTCACGATTTAAATGTATTAACAAATATGGCAATATAACAATTAGATTTAATATTAAACAGCATACATCCAAAAAACGAAAATATGTAAAAATAAACGTGTAATTTAACGCTTCAAGCGCGGACAAAAAAAGAATTTAATCTGAATAGTCATCGACAGACCTCCACCGTGTCTCCTGCTCCTCCATTGAACGAGACATTGGCGATATAAATTGTACATGGTTGGCGCGCCTTAAAGCCATAAAATTGAATTGAAGAACAGACAGCGACATATTGCAACGCTCTTCACATTCTGCTAACATAGTAATTGTAGGCTGCACTATATTCTGAAGAGGCTGGGATAAACTCTTGCGTTCTCAATAGCACTCGTCTTGTGCAGTGTTTAAAATTAGCATTTTTTCATTTCTGCTGTACTACGTCAACGACGGAATCGAATAATATTTAATTTAAACGAAAGTATGTTATGGTATAAACAAGTACCTACTCGGGTAGCGTGAATGTCTCAACGTCATTTACCCATGTTCGTTTTAAGCATGAGCGGTGCGGTAATTTCATTCGATATCGCGACTGAACGTGCAATATAATAAGATGTTCCTGTTTGATGCCATGAAGACACTAAATATATATGTAAAATGACCAAAAAATAAATATATATTATGTACTAGCAGTACCCGCGGCTTCACCCGCGTCTAAACTTCCGATCGCTAACAAAATTCACAGGATAACCCGCTGTACTAATCTTAAGATTACCTGAAAATTTCATCAAAATCGCTCCACCTGTTTTTGGAGTCCATAGGAAACATATAATCACACATCGATTGTTATTTAATTTAATCAGCAATTTTAATTTATTTATTGCTCGGAAAATGGAGTCTTTTATGAAAATTTAGTGACACACCGACTGTAGCGCCACCTACCGGATCCATTTGTGAATTCAAACCTTGCAGGAGACCATTGAAATATACAAACAAAATTTCATCCAAATCGGTCTAGCCCTTTAGGAGGAGTAGGTTAACAAACACACGTACAGAAGAATTATATACATTACGATATGTAATGTTAATCTTAAAAGCGGCAGTTAATTAAATTCTCAATTATTCAATAATAATATCTATATAATGTTTAACATAAACATCGAATCATTTACATATTCTGTTTCCTAGAGTTATATAAAACATTACTTAACATTGCAAATTGAAATAATAATTGCGAGCATTGTCGGGGGCAACGAAATAGTTAAAAGACGTATGCTTTGATGCAGAACTTAGCGAGCGTCCCAAGAGAATCTGAAATCGAGATTTATATTCTTTCCTGTTTACTAACAATACAATTTTTCCACGATCGATTTTTTATATATTCTATCACACAAATGGAGAATTTTCTAATCAAAAATTGAAGAACAATAGCTTCGAGTAAGTTCAAGCGAATTCGATTGGCACTTAGCTTTTTATGTAAATTATTTGGTCATGTTTTAAAATGAAGCAATAAAAGTGAGCAAGATCTCAATCACTGCATCAGACAAACACTCGAAGCGAGTTAAAATCAATATTTGCTAGAGTTTTCAAACCAACATTGATAACAAAGGGCTAGGGAATGGATGCTAAACACCGAGTTCAAACAAAACATTTATTATAAACATAAAAGGAGACGCTTTTTTTGAATAAATGTTATGGCGTTAAGGCGAGTTGATCTTAAATTTATACAAGTTAAGGATGGTTTTGACGTTCATTGTGTTCGTGAGAAAGCATCGATTGGCTTCGCAGATGGGCTATTCAGATTGAATTTACGATATTTCAAAATCACGTTCATAACCTTGAACCCCCGAGAAGCAAATTCACACTTCGACTTCGCCTTAACGATCGCATTGTTTCAACTTTATCAATATTTTGCATACACATAAATTATTTGTATTTGTATTAGTTTGTGACCGATTCAAAATCTAGATTAAGTATATTTAAACTATCAACTTTCGTTCTGTGATTTTGAGCATAAGAAGTGAATATAATACATATGTTACATTAACCGGAAAGAAGTGGAAATATTACGTAAATTTATGTAGAGGTAAAACATCAAACGTACTGTAAACAGCGCCAATGACCTCTCTTAATTATGACCACGCGAAACATCGTAATGATGCAACTTGGAAATGTTAAGTCAGGTCGTTATCCGCTGAATTATGATGTTATAACGGAAAAGTGAGCAAAGATTCCATGAATTTTACTTAAGAAGTATAAAAATGTAGTCGAGCACTAATTTTGTTAAATCTGTATAAGCTCAAGAGCCTTCGAAATAGGTTAGATGAAAATTATAGAGAGGATGGTGGAACGGTACCTTCGTGGAGCGCACCATGTAGCGTTTAGTTCTGACACCTCTCTCGGACGGATCCTGCCAGCCTCGACCAATTATAACGGGAACCTATCCTACCTCGATCAAATATAGCGACTGCTGGGAGTAATTGCTTAAACACATAATCACCTATGTCACGAGAGCGCGCGGCGAATCAATATCATAGGGCTTTTCAACAGCGATAGAACCTTCTATGTTCTTCCTTTCAATTATGGATGTAATTATGCGTAATATATTTGCTTAGGCTAAGATATTTGTACGGAGAGAGAGAGAGAGAGAGAGAGAGAAATTAATTATTAATTTATTTATCTACAAATTGGAAGAAAGTTCATAATCAATTCGTAATCTATACATATAATAAAATTCTAACGAAATCTTATCTGTACTGTAAATTAAATATTTTTTGGAAAATCTTATTGTCATAGACTCTATTATCGATACAGAAGCTGAATCTATAGTTTTTAGAATTTTTGTCTGTCTATCTGTTACCGCATTACGGGAAAACCACTAGATAGATTTTGATGAAATTTGGTATGATGATAGCTGGCTGTCCGGGTCAACATATAGGATACTTTGTACTGCGGGAAAATATATAATTTCTGAGAAAAAATACAAAAACTGCAATGTAAAAAGAGTATACTAATATGTAAAACCTAAGAATTTGGTTTTTGGACATCTGAACGCGGGCGGAGCTGCGGGCAATACTAGTTACTGTATAACATCGAAATTAAAATGTTACGCAGAAAAGATATGATCTGATTTGTATTATTAAAAAGAATAAGTACAAAAAACTCGTAAGGTTAAATAAAAACATAATATAATACATACTTAACATTTTAGTCGCCTTCTTGTTATAAAAGCTCTCATTTATTGCTTTATCGATAAATAGTTAATTAGCTAGCGCGTAAGGATATAAAATTGTAATTATAATAAAATATTTAGTATAACACTACTCGTATTTTATTTTTATACATCATGGCTAAGAAATTAATAATTGAATATATTGTGTCTATGAGGGCCTCTTCATCCTGAATAATATGCGCTTATCATATACATATAATTACAATACACTAGCATTGGCCGCGGCTCCGCATGCGATCAGATGACCAAAAACCAAATTCTTAGGTTTTTCATATAGGTATACTCTTACTTTGCAGTTTTTGTATTTTTTCTCAGAAATGAAATATTTTACCGCAGTAAAAAGTATCCAATATGTTGACCCGGATAACCAGATATCACCATACTAAATTTCATCAAAATCCTTATAGTGATTTTCCTATGATGCGGTAACAGACAGAGACAAACAGACAGACAGTAAAAAAATACTAAAAACGATAGATTCTCTTTATCGATAATAATGTTTATTTCACTAAGATTTTCCAAAAATATTTAATGTGCAGATTCGGCTTCGTTACATTTTTATTATATGTATAGATTACATAACATAAAGCAAGTATAGTCTGTGAAGTTGTGTAAATACGAGTAAACCATTTATTTGTTTGAAGCCCTGTGTCTCTGAATACCGGTTAGGCGTGATTCTTTAGAATGAATTTGCGAACAAAAACCTTAGAATCCAGGCACCAGTAACGATCGGAATAATTGAAAATGTTACTGGAAGTCTTGTCTCAATTAGGAGCGCAATTAAAGAAGCACAACATCAGCATCTCCGTTTTTAACTTTTTTGCAAAATAATATTATATAACACAAACAATATGGTAATTACCATTATGTTTTCTTTATCGTTAAAAGAAAAGCGAGAATACGTAGAGATTTATATTTATGATTGTATTGTACCTTAAAAGATTTAAGTTTATTGTTATCAAAATATATCTTATGTCTGCACGTCAAAGATACTATATCTTAATCTTACCTTATTCTTATATGTGTCAATTAAAAGAAAGCAATATATCTTCCCTTTAATTGAAAGAATTGCAATAGTAGAATAAGACTGTTTGCTTATAACAAAACAGTTTTTAAAAGTAATTTTATATTTTCTTATTATTTACAGAGACTTATAATAACTTGGTAAAAAAAAACAATTAAAATAAATTTCAGAGGGTTTCGTCCACTTTTTTTTAATTATATTTATAGTATTAAAATAGAAATAAAATTGAAACTTAACGAATTTTTTCATGTTGTCAAGATGACAGACATGTAGACATGACTAAATCTCTTATAAAATTAATTAACGAAGAGCGCACCAAAATAGAATGAAAATAGACATACAGCCTTCAATAATAGACAGCCGATAGCGGGCCGTGCTTGCCTCACTAAAGTATTGTTTAGGGTGTACGTGAGGTCCTATTATAGGCAGTATTCAAACGTCGGAGTCATGCACCCGTTCAATTAAACGCTGTCCGAATCTCTGTAACATCTCACGAAAAAAACCTATAGTTCGAATCTCGTTTCTTTTTTCCTCTTTGAAGCTATTAAAGTAATATAGATTTTTTTGTGAAAATAAAACTGTGAATCTTATTTTATAGAGTTGCATCGCATCGCTGGCAAACGTAACTCATCCGATGTAAAACAATACGATAGGCATCGGTTGAATGCGATTAAAAAGAGATTTAAAAACATTCCCGGAGGCATTGAGGCAATTTAACTTTCTTCTGGTTGGTTTTAAGTGCAGTATCTTGTTGTTAATGGTTCAATAGTATCGAGTGTACATTGTGGGTGCCGATAATGATTAGATTACGCACTCCGATACGCACTTTTAGCCTGTAACCATATAAAAATAGACTGGTAGATTTATTGACATATATGTACTAACATTTACAAAAGCATTTCATTCAAAATGTTGATCTATAGTGTTTATATAGTGTAAGGTGCATGTGCAGACCCGGCCCGGTGGCCGCGCCGGACAAACAGAGTGGCACCAATTAACGTGGCTCTCAAAGGCACATGCTCGAAGTGATGCAGCGGCGGTGCCTTTCAACTCTACGCACTCTTGTACTTTTATTTATGGATAAATCTAATAGTGAAGTGAGCATCACATTAACGCGAATATTTTCTTGTGTAAACGTGTCTTAATATTTTGTATTATTTATAGATTATTTTTCATTTTATTATCAAATCTAATACAAAAGAAATCCTGTAGGATAATCCTACAGTATAGCAACGGACAAGTTAAATTATTAATTCAACTATAACATATTTACTATTAACGGATATCTATTACCGAGATGAAAGAGATTTTATTACTTACTAGCGGCTCACCCCCGCTTCGCTCGGGTTCGCCTCTAGAAAAACACTAATAGGGATCTATTAGTTCCCACGCACCGTACCGTACATTTTACCGGGATAAAAAGTAACCTATTTGTTATTCTGATGTATGACCTATATTATTGTAAAATTTCATCAAAATCCAATCAGTAGTTTTTGTGTACTAAGCTGTATAAGTTACTATAGTTTTTTTACTGTCCCACGGGAATCCTTTAATTTTCCGGGATGAAAAGTAGCCGATTTGTTATTGTCATGTATACTATATTATTGTAAAGTTTTATTAAAATCTAATCAGTAGTTTTTGTGTACTAAGCTGTATAAGTTATTATAGTTTTTTTTAATTATCCCACGGGAACTAATTAATTTTTCGACCTCTACAGTTTTATTATAGTATAGATTAACGTCCTATTCCCAAATATGAACAAACTTGAGTTCTACTGGACATACCCTACAACCTCTGATTACAGAATGCTACTACACGAATGCAAGACACGAGCGGTACAATGTCTCGACGATATATATCACTATATATATATTCAATTAAGAAATTATATACAATAGTTGTAAATTTCAAGGCGACTAAGATAGAGACGCTCAGCTTAAGTATTTGTGGGAATAAGGAAAATTTTAATGTCTTGGAAAACATAATGTAATATTGTTACAATGATTAGGGGTTCCCGTTAAATAATACTTTGTATGAAGGCGAGAAAACGACTAGATTGTGCTGTTTTTATATCTAATTGAACAGTTGCTTATTTTTTTAGCCGAACTCTAATTCATTTTCTAAAATAAAAGTATCCTAAGTTACTCCTTATAACATCAGCTATCTCCCAGTGAAATTCCCGTCAAAATCAGTCCAGCCGTTTCGGAGATTAGCCAGAATAAACAAAACATAGACAGAAAGACAGACAGACAGATATTTGAAAATTGTGTTTTCTTATAAGTACATATGCATTTAGTAAAAAGCTTTTATTTTGACATTGCAAACAGGCACATCCATTTTATTTAACTGTTTCTTTTTCTAAAATAAAAGCAGCCTAAGTTACACCTTATAACTTCAACTATCTGCCATTGAAGGTTCTGTCAAAATCAGTCCAGCCGTTTTGGGAAATATCCGGAACAAAGAAACAAATAGGCAAAAAATTAAAAATTGTGTTTTCTTATAATTACCGTACATAATTTCATATGTATTTAGTAAAAAGCTATTATTTCGACATTACAAACAGACACTTCTATTTTATTTATCTGTAGTATATAGATAAGTTTTGTTCCGACGACAAGCACAAGTTTTATGTTATATAATAACTAGATGTACTGATACTGATAGAGACATCCACTTAAATCTGTTCAATAAAAAAAAAATTAACTTAATTTCTTTTTTGTATAATACTAATTCTATTACTAATACTAGCGACTCACCCTCGCTTCGCTCGGGTTCGTAGCTTGGTTCCGCATACAAACTTTCATTCCCATTTTCATCCCCTTAAGGAATGATTTCCGGGATAAAAAGTCTCCTATGTCCTACCCAGGGTCTCAAACTATCTTCTTACTTAATTTCATCTAAATCAGTACAGTAGATCCAGAGATGATCCCCTACAGCGTCACAAACTCACAAAATTTACCTCTTTATAATATTAGTATAGATTATAATGGTAGAAGATGTTCATATCTATTTTGTTTCAATGACATAAAATTGAAATAAGTAAAAAGTACAGGTGTAACCATTTCACATTTTAGATATTCGCCTTCAAAGTATATAGGTATGTACATTTTAAATTTTTTCGTAAGATTTATATGACCTTTGAGGTATAATTTATTTATTTAAAATAAATAATACATACGAGTGATTGGCGAAGATACTGCGTAACACACACAAATAATCACTCGATATGAGTATTTTTTCCATTTTGAAGTGCTGAAATGTTAAAGTTACAGATCGATCGGTACTTTATCCATTTCCTAATTTCATAAGAAAAGCTTTTAATATCACATCATTTTAACAGATTATATATATATATATATATATATATATATATATATATATATATATATGAATAACAGTGAATATAGCGTTAAAGAATTATTTATCGACACCTATGTGAAATGAAGCTATCAATTTAAAAACGCATCGCTTGAGTAAGCATCATCGAGGTTTAAGATACCACCCGCGATAGCTGATATGGATTATTAACACATTAACTTACATATTACACGATTTTTATATTATGTAATAGTAAAAATAATCAATTATGAAGTCCCATATCAGTATTTTATTAGAAAGAGTTTCATAAATAAAATCAATAAAACGACTTGATTTGTCCTTACCTAACAACAAATAATATACGATGGGCTATTTAATGTCTATATTTATATATATAATTCTTCTGTGAGTGTGTATGTCACTGAACTTCTCTCAAACGACTGGACCGATTTTGATGAAATTTTTTGTGTGTGTTCAAGGGGATCTGGGAATAGTTTAGATTCACAATTTGAATAATAATTTTCATCAAAAAAATTATTAAAAATAGTTTGAAATTTTCAAATTAAAGACGTGTAGACAGGACAACGTCTGTCGGGTCAGCTAGTACATATTATAAAATTGTAACTAAGCCGAACCTGTACATTATACCTTATTATACCTGATAGCTGGTTATCCGGGTCAACATATAGGATACTTTTTACCACGGGAAAATATCTATTTCTGAGAAAAAATACAAAAACTGCAATGAAGAGTATACTAATATGTAAAACCTAAGAATTTGTTTTTTGGTCATCTGAACGCGAACGGAGCCGCGGGCAATGCTAGTTACTATATAAACTTAACTTATTTATGTCAATTTTCTTAATGAAAGACTTATTAACGATTTCCAATAAGGTATGTAGATATGTGTATTATTTATTTCTAGTAGATAGGAATTTGACAAAATTTGAATAGACTTAATAGTCAATTTTCTATATAAATAAATAGATTACATTGTTGGTTATAGACCAATAAGCTTGTTAAGCTTGTAAAGTATATTTCTGAAAAACGTACTTAAACTTGTAGGTACTAAATAATTGCTGGGATATTTATCTGATGAATTGAAGAAATAATGAAAACGCACCCTTAAATGAGCCGCATTGCGCTGTTGACGAAGAAAAAACGACAGCTCTTTGAACAAGCGAAGAATTCGCGACGATCCCAACAAGAACAAATTGAGCGCAAACGCTATAGTGCGCCTGCGGTACGATTTACCGAGATAACTCCCGTGTCGTGAAGCGCGGTTGCGCGGGCGCCGAGCGTCCGTCCGTCGCCGGATGTCCGCGTCGCGTACTGCGTCACCGGTGGAACGAGCCCGAAATACGTTGTATCACCATTGCCCATCCACCTTGCAACATTATCTGTGAACTCGATCTTAGAGGGTAATGTACGTGGTGTTACAGGAGACGACCGTCGAAGCATCGTTACCATTGTTTGTGTAGACGTGAGCGCGGGACGCGTCGCTGTTATAAGGGGGGGTTCTGGAGAGCGCGCGATCAGTGTGCCCGAGTGTCCCGTGTTGCGTGTGCGCACTCCAGCGAGTGATCCCGCAATAGCTAGAAGAAACGTACCCGAATCTATCAACATGCTTTTACTCGCAAGCTTTTTCCTGCTTTTCGTAACCACCCTCGGGCCAGTTGCAGGTATGTTAAGCAAGTTATATATATTTTGTTTATTTTAACTGAAACTTTAAATGCAAATGTTATAAAAAATGGTAATATTAATTGAATCTAATTTAATATTACTAATTGAACTATGTTTTTTTTTATTCTATAGTTATGAAATAATATAGGTAATTAGTTCATAAATATGTACATATGAATATGAAATCGAAATCATCTAATGTTACTCTATGGATCTACTCCAGTGCTACGTCGTCACTCGCTGCAAATTATTGTAACAGGCTCAACGACTGCGTGTTGATTACGGGACGCTTTTATTTGTTGATAACTCAATTATTTTTCATAAGCAGATGTGGAACAAGCTAGAAATAATCTAATCTGAATTCATTAACTTTTAAGTTGAAAGTGGAAAATATACCAATAAGTCTTCTATTTTTAATCAAATAAACTTCTCAGCTTAATTTAGTTCTACAACTACATATATATTATACTGAATATTGTACAAATTATTCGTTATATAAACACCATTTACTAAATGTCCCATTTCAAATATTTTATATATTTAATCAATACTTATTACTTAGCATTTTAGGATAACCGGTAGTAAAGTAATAAACTAACTATAATCAGGATGTAATAAAATAAGAAATGGTTGCTTGACATTCCAAGTTTACGGCTTACGTTTTAAGGCTGCTGTTGTGACCCGCGGGTCCTCGACCTTCATTGTTCTGTTTCTATTGCAGTACAATGGCTGTAGGTAGCTTACAAACTCAGCTATTATTTAAAATTTCTCATATTACTTTTACATACTATATACGTAGTCTTTAAAATACATTATCGATACAGGAAAATGCTAAATGAAAGCTTAGAATTTAACAATTTCCTTCCTGAGCAGAAATAGGGGCCGATACTTATTACTAAATTTAAGGCCATGATTTATTTCTCCACGTGGATATTATTAGTTTAACGGTCAGATCCTTATAAGAAAATTATAGTAGCTATATAAATATTTTTAGATCAAAATGAACCAGAAATGTACTCGAAACTTTTGTAATTAATCAAACAATTTTTCGCTATTAAAATATTACTACTATAGTCAGTAAAATACATAGAAGAAATTTTAAAGTTAAAACATATTAATTTTCCTTTCCTGTAAATAAAAAAACTAATATCTAGATATTATCTAATCGAGTCCTATAAATCTACCTACCAACGCGCAGCTTAGCGTTCTTAATTTAACAGCGACTGAGCAAAGTACCGTTGACTGAAAATAATTACATTTAAAGAAGCAAAATGTTATCATCACGTTAAGTAATAACGATTAAATAAAATTAAAACTTGTAATGGTTAATTGAACGAACGGAAACTTCATAGCCCACTTTATTACACGCTTTTTACTATGGTTCAAATATTTGCTGTACATCTTTTGATTTATACATAATTTATATTCACCGTGAGTTGTTTTGTGATAAAATTTAAGCTATTGCTTATATTAGAAAAATTATTGTTTTTAGTAGGTGACTTTATCTTAGAAATCTTATAATTTCTTTTTATGAAATATACACAGACCTGTTCTATTATTGATACAAGTGCGGTTATTGGTATGTTGTGAATGTGCAACGTATCAGAGATTATTCTAGTTTTGAATTAATGCATGCTAGAAAACTATAGACACCATAAAATAAAAAATATATTTAAAGACTTTATTTTATACTAGCGATTTACCCTCGTTTCGCTCGGTTTTGTTCCTAGTGAAAAACAAAAACAAATATATTCCACGGGAACCGTACATTTTTCCGGGATAAAAAGTACTCTATGTGCTACTCTACACATATAGAATAATCTATCTCTGTACCAAACATCCAGTTCCATCCAGCGTTCTGTCGTGATTGAGTAACAAATATCTATCCAAACTTTCGCATTTATAATATTTATGGGAAGTCCTTTCAATTATCTTTTAATAATTGAGAATATAAAAACAAAATCAACATTAACAAGTAAAGAGCAATAAAGTAAAAAGTCTCTCGCTAAAAACTATTCATAAGTGCAAAAACAAATTTGAGTCTGTTGTACCACACTCTAAATGGCGATAAAGATTCTGTACTAAAAAGGAGTGCTTATTTACTTTTTATGGTATTGTAAATGCAAAGATAATAGTCGTCATGACTCGGAACAAAATTGTAAAGAGTCAATGACACCAACAGTCGCGATTAATGTTTTATTGGAGTAAAGAGAATTACCTCATCAAGATTGCTTGGTGAATAACATTGAGTCCTTGGGCGCCGAACAATTTATACAAATCAACATCGCTGTAAGCGATTTTGTTAATGAGGCGTATCCGCGGTGTTAGACAGGTTATCGACATGGCAGCAAAAAACTGTGGAACGGAAGTTTTGTTGAGAAAAAATAGCGAGGGTCGAGGAAGAACCACGACAGGTGCGAGTTCAATGCCCAGCAGATAGTCCCCTAGGATAGCCACGTATCTTTACAGTTTCTAAGGAATAAAATTATACTTTATCTGCGCGTCTCCGATAGGCCGCAGCTCTACTACCGGTCTTGTAAATGATGCGGTAGTGATATGTTTATGACTTCACCTAAGGCAACTCTTTTTAAAGCTGTTAAGTGTAGTGTGTGCCCACTTTGTGACGACGATGTCAAGTCCACCGTCAAGAGCTGGATCTGCATTAGCATTCCATTTCATACTGTAATTACAGACTCCATTATGCAAAAATGTCGTAATGTTAGCTAACATTTAATGCAAGAAAATAGCTTTTATATAGATGCGAGCTATTATAGTCAATTACATTACCATTGCATCTCTGCATAATCTTTTCTTTGGGTTCTGGTGAGTGTTGGTATTCTTATCTAATTATATTGTGTATAATTACTTCTTGTGCACATCTCGTTCTTGTACACTTATTTTGCAATTGAACCAAAGTATACAGATGAATGATGAGTCCAATATTTAAGTTTCTAGTTCTAATTTTTTGTTCTGAAAATTTCTAAGAAACAAATATCTACATAGCTACGAGTATAAAATTTATAATATGTAAAAATACTACTTTGAAGATTGGTTAGAAGAACATAAAATTGGATTAGCTTTCAATCTTTCGGTGCCTTAAGGTCTTATGTTTAATTTATTGATCCTTCTATTTTTTTTCATCCAAATTCCAGTTTTGACTCGCAGCAGATGGTGATTATATCAAGTTTCGGGATTCACAATTTTTTATAACTTAATATATCGAGTTTTATTTGGATAAATACAATTTTATTACCGTATTAGACTTTCTAATACCTTTAACTTCAAGGGTTCAAAATATTCTTTTTATCATAGAGCAAAGCGCTGTCTCACTTTGCCAATTAATTTTATGTTCAAGAAAATATTTCGTTATATCTTTAGAAAACCAAATTCAACTTTTACGCTTTATAAGATTTGCGTGTAGCGTGGTTGGTTAGGGCATTAGCGATCGCGAACAATTGTTTGCCTTGTTTGGCAAGTTCGGGTCGGCATCGGGTTTTGATGACTAAAAATAGTACGGCTGGTGCATTCCAGCGTGGGGGCGAGTGCGGCGAGGGCGCGAGCGTAGGCGTCCTTGGATTCGTCTTCTGCACGTTCGTTCCCCATTAACTTGGTCCCTTTTTTGTGTTCCGATCGTTATCTGACCGCAAACAATCCGATCGAATTTCCCACGGATGGGATCAATCAAAAACATTTGATGGAGATCTAAATTGCGATTTTATTACTGCATGGTAGTAATTCGCGGTGGATTTTTTTTTTCAATTATCGTTTTTAGAATGAAATAAATTAAATAACTTTTTACTATATGAGAACATATTATAATAAATTAGTTATACATGTAGTTATATGTTATATACTTTCGTTCCCAAAGAAACTTAAAATTAGGAATCTGGTGTATGTTATATTTTTCAGTATTACACACTGGTTCACTATTTAAAAGAAGAGAAGTTAAATCTAGGCGCGAAAGGATGCCTCTACTATCTCCGTTATGGCCGTAAAATGCCTTGCCGGCTACCTTGCCCTTGTACTTGGCGGTAACGTAACTCAGTTGGCGGGGCGAGTTATGGCGACCGATACGAGCGACTGGTTTGCATTATGCAATCATGTAATACAATGCAGGGTTGCACACACGCTCAAGCGCCGCTCGCGGCGAGGCGTGATCGCGACGTACGCACAGGTACTGACTTCGGACTGGTAATCTCTATAAGTTCCAAATAGTTTTATGATGTGAAAAATATAATAAAACATTGTTTAATAGACATGTACAACCTTTTTATGATATTTTCATGGTACTCAATTTTATAACTTTTATAGTAAAATATTACTCGGATATCCAGCTTTTAATGTGAGATTTATTTAATACAAAATGCATTTAACGAAGGCCGCTCTTGTATTGTAAATAAATATCCTTGTAAAGACACGAACGACCATTTCAAGTATAGTTCTGTAAGACCACATCTAAGAGTACTATTTATAGAGCTTAAGTTCCTTGCAACGACCGGTCGTACACCTCTGAATCACAATTAGCTCAGAGCAATTATAATAAAATAACTTATAAATAATTTTCCGGTTTATCTTCTCACGTACAATAAAATTTTCTGAAATATTGAATTAAATATTAACTTTTTAATTTACATGTTTTATTATTTATTTATAGCTTGTTAAAAGTATAGTATCTCATCAAAAGTATATTTAAAATAAATACTATAATTTACACGGAGCAATTTCTGATGAGAAAAGAAGGTGCGTTTGAAGTTTTAAAAAGTAAAATCGAAAAAGTGCTACCATTACCGGGACTAAAATTACTTGAAGTAAGTGAGTACTGTAGGCGCGATTCTGATGCTAATGCTTTCCATATGTGGAAGCCGTGCTGCGTAACAGCCTATTATAGACACCCTTGCGAGTGAAACTATAAATCTACGGTTTTATTTTAGCAGATACTGGTATGGTAATATTATGCAAATGTTGTAACATCATGTTGTTACTACTTTAGTAATCTTAT